TGAATTAACTGTTGATGATATCAGATTACTTGTCGAACTATTCTATTTACCATATGAACACGGTGCAAATGCACAACAGATGTTTTGTGACTTCTATTGGTTGAGATACAATTATTCCAGACATGGAAAAGTAAGAAAATAGAAAACTCCAGATGTTATATCTTATGTTTTTTCTGTTTAGTTAGATGAATGGCGTTGTCGTGCATCGTCATTTCATGATCGTGTCAAAAGTATCAATCGTCTTGTTCAACGTTTAACAACAATTCATAATCGATGTTTACTTTATGATATTTACAGTTATATAACCGATATTAGTTCAACAATTTCTCTTTGTTCTCGATATCTTTATTGGCTTGGTAAGATTTTCTTCATTTATTTCGTTGATATTTCATGTTTTATTCTGTTGAAGATAATGAAGAGAAACGTTCGAAAGTGTTTTTGTCAGGTGATGTTGAACCAGGATCAAAACGAGGTGGTCTTGTAGGAGAATATTTGGTTGGTGATTCATTTATTTAGTTTTTTCATTCTTATATTTCGTTTTCTTGTTCAGAATATTTTACCAAGAGGTGATTTTCAATCGATTCTTCATCCCGATGTGGATTGTTCGTCAGATATATTTTGTATTCGACCGATGATAACAAATGATCAAAGTTGTATGTATGAATTATGTCGAAGGATTTGCAATGAAGATGAAATCGATGATCAACTGAAAGGAAATTCGAATGTTATTGGTGATAAGTAAGTGAAAGATCGTTGGCGTATTTGGTTTTTGTTGATAAATTAAGTTTAGAATGATTGGTGGTTATTTGTTCAGTCTGTCAAATCATTTTCGTTTGTGTTATTGTGTTGAAAACAGCAAAGATGACTTCTGTGCATTTGTATTGACGATGATTGAAAGTGAAAAATATGATAAATTCATTGAATCAACATGGATTAGCCAACTTCATCAGAAATATTCAACAATCGATCAAGTAAAATCTTTTTTTCCCGTTAATTTCAACAGGAAATTCGTTGTTTTCGGTTTTGTTAGAATATCTTTGAATCAACTGAATATCCTCAATGGATTTATGATCAATATCCTGTTCGAATACAACTCTTTGTTGATTTCACAATTCTCACTCATCAGACATATTTTCTTGGAAATAAATTAATGAAAATCATCAGTGATCAATTGATTCAACAAGGTTTGTGATCTATTTCAACAGATGATTCATCGAGAAATTCTTCTTTCTATTTAGGCTATCGTTCTTGTCATGCTTTAGTTGACGAACGAAATTGTTTGTTATATCAATATTATCTCCGACTAGGTTTTCTTCCTATTTCAACGATCGAACAAGATCATCATGTGATTCTCGTAGCAAAACAATTTTAATCTCTTCGTTTGAACATGTTTATTGCAATAAATTGTATTTTTAATAATGAAGATCTTCGAAATCAATTGAAAATGAACAAAACTACCGAACATGATTGAGTGAACGATTTCATTATTCGTATGAGATCTTGACAGGGAATTTTATTTTGAAGATAATCAAGAAGAAAAGAAAAAACAATACACAGACGAAGATGACCCTGTCTCCTTTTATCAGTTTTCTTCTTTACATCGAAAGAGCATTGCGATTAAAAGGGAAATAAAACATGTTTGTTTTGTCATGCGTATTTTGATCAATGAGTATTTGAGTTGATTTAGCTAATACGTTTAACAATCACATTGATCATAATAATCGTTCTTCTCACCAATGGCAACAGCTAACTGAAAATAATGAGAAGAATGACAATGAATTCGTAATGATGGCCGAAATGTGAATGTCATTCTGATATGAAGAACGAAAATAGTCAGATTACGATAATAATTAGGTCAAACCAATAGGAAGACTCGAATATTCGAAGTGTATTGAACTGCGTGTGAAAGAAAAGAAAATTTGTTCGTGAATGATTTTCGTCGAGTTGTTTGTCTAAACAAAAGAATATCGAAAAGAGTCCAGCGAAGAATTAGTGACACTATCAGCTTATTCCAATTGTAATTTCGTGTGTTTCAAGTCATCTCGTATTCTGTTTTGGAATAGCGCAACACCATTTTCCATTCGAGATGATAAATATCCAGGTTTATAAACTCCCGCATTCAAATTGTATTGAACTTGCTCGCAAATCATCTTATCTTCGTTTGTTATTTCCAATGTTCTTGCTATCGCTTGTTTCGCGTCAGCTATTTGTTTATCTTNAAATTCACGAAAATAAACTGTTCAGCAATAATCTCCATGTGAATTTGTTTGAGATTCAAACATTTTTTCTCATCCGATTGAAATTTGTAATCAAAATTCGGTGTTGCCTTCAATGATCCATCTCGAGAATCGAATAGCCATGCATGATATTGACATTTGAGTAAAGACTGATTTCCATACAAAGCAACACCGTGATTATTTGTATTGATTGGAACAATTGGGCCAGCTCGATGAGAACAAACGTTGTGGAAAGCGATTAATTTATTCGTCAAAGGACTTCGATAGATAAATATCGGATATCCAGCGATTGTTATTGACAAATAATCACCTAGTTTTTGTAAACGATCAAGTCGACCAGCATATATCCAATTTTTTGCAAAGATACTTTCACGTTCGAGTTGATAAACCGATGAATCATGGTAAAGATAGGTAGGCAATGGTCGAAATAAATCTTTACTTGATTTTATAGTTGTTAACTTTCGTACAAGTGATTTTTGTAAATGGAAAGTTTTTGAAAAGATAAAAATCATTCGATTCATCATTCAAGTTCTTCGCTCTACTTAAAAAAAGTTACTACTACCAGTGTTGTTATCTTCACTTTCGTCATAGATTTGAATGTTATCATCAGTAAATAGAACAATCTTAATGACACAAGAGAATAATAAGTTTTAACTTGGTAACAATTTTAGTTTTGATATCTTCAATTTTTGCTTTTCCATTTACTCTTTAATGATGTTCTTTCCGCATAGTTCTTACTGGATGAAAAGAAGATGAGGCAGCGAATTATCACATGAGACGACAAGATCAAAATTTGTACCATGATGCGCAAAAGGTGCTCTTATATCACAAACAGAAAATGAAATATTCATCTGACCATGTCTTTCAGCTTCTTGCTTTGCTCGTTGAAGTTCGTTTGGTGAAAGATCTGAAGCAGTGGCATGATGTTTATATTGTGATAAACCAATGGCTTGTGTACCTTTTCGATAAAAGAAACATTCAATACAAGTTCGACCGCCAGATCAATAGAATTGAATAGTACTCGGCAGTTGAAGATCTTGCCGATCGACAGATTTCATATATACAAACGATAAATTATCGATGAATGATATTGAATCAAGAAAATTCTTTCGGAACCATTTCCCTTGTCACAATAGAAACAGTTGCTCTGCGTAAAAACAACTTTGAAGAAATGAGAAGTATGAAAGAAGTCGCAATTCGATCTTGTAAAACACCAATGTGATCTATTTGTGGTTAAAGATAAACCATTTCAGGGAGGACGAATAGATAATGCGTAGGAACGAATCATCTTTTTGTTATAGATGATATCAATGAACATGATCTGAATCATTGGATGAAAATAATTCATATAATTAAATCGCATAAAGAGTAAACTATTCCAGAGAGTTTTATTGTTGATTACCTTTCACATTCACCTATCGACCGGATGAAATAAAGACTTCTTGGCGTTCTTATCGATAAGTGTATTTTAATATTTCAGTTTTTCATCTAGATGTCACAGTTTTCATGTTTATCCTTTGTTCACGCTCATTACATCTTGATGTACAACAGTAAACAAGAATATCTAATGTTCGTAGTCCACTGGTACATGTGACATCAAAATGTCTTAGTAAAACATAAGGATCAAGTAAGAAATTCGATTGTCGTTGATGTAATCAGTTCTTTTTGTCGTCAAGGGTAGTGAATTCTTTTCATATGTGACAGACGGTGAAAAGTTATCGATTGATTATGTCAAAGATGGTATTGTATTGCAATTGAAACTGTATATTGATGGTGAACTCTTCGTAGTCGGCATTAAGGTAGAAGAAAATGAAATTCGAAAACATTCATCGATCTATTGTGCTTTTATTTCAGTACGAAAATCTCTTCGAAGACAATAATTGTCGAGTTAAATGGCAGCAACACCTATCTGTTAATGGGTGAGTCATGGTCCGATTTGAATACAAATTAATTTTCTTACACTTTTCATTTAGGAAATTTCTATGCTTAGGAAAGTTCATCGAGCTGTTAGACTATATAAGGTGTCTGCAGCATTCAACGTGATAAAAAACGAGAATATTCGTCTTACATAACGCGAAATCAAAAGGGACACATGCGAGATCATCTTGAGGGTGGGTTTTGATTCAATGACAAGGAATGTCCTTTGTTTTGATTTGATTTTTTAAAAAAGAAAACATGATACCAAGGAATAGAAAACCCATTTCTTGAACGATCAGTTTCATTTTGCAATTTCCATTCGATATAATTCATCTTTTATCTGTTAAGCTCACGGACGGCATCGGTCAACTGGAAAAAAAAGAATATATCCATACGTATATATAACGAAAAATTGGCCTACATAGAGAGAAAAATGAAATTTTTTCCTGCAAAATTATGCGATTTACCTGATGAAATTCTTGTGATCATTTTTAAAAAGCTGCTCAACATTGAAGTGCTTCATTCTTTGGTAGGTATTAATAAACGACTTCATACTTTTGTTCTTGATTCAATTTTTACAAGAGCTGTAACAATAACAGCACCTTTTAACGACCAAAACCAACTTCCTGATGACGTAATTGATCGATTTTGTTATGAAATTATGCCCGAGATTCATCACAAAATTGAATGGCTCGATGTTGAATTTTCAACTATGCAACGTATTCTTTATTCAGCAGATTATCCAAAGTTGACTGGACTTGGTGTGTATGATCTAACGTGGGAAGCAGCTAAAGATCTTTTCGACGGTAAAGTTTTTGTTCACTTTTTGACTCATACACTTATACAGACTGATTAACACATAATATCAATATAAAAACTGTTTTTCTAAGATGCATCGATAAAGTCAATCGCATGGTAGATTTCAAATGAGAAAAAATACGTGTTGTTTGAAAAATGCCGTGCCCCCGACGGCAAAATGATAGCATTCGGTCATATAGGGTTAATACAAAAATAGAAGTATAGAAGATTGAGGAAAAGAAAACATCACTTAACGACACGTTGCAGAATTCGAGAGAATTACCCAAGTTAACATTTAAACGGACCAAATCCAATCGGAACGCGGCTTTCTGGGATTTGATCGATTCCGATGGTAGAACCTGTTTTCTTGCAGTCTAATTTCATATTGATTAGACCATTTTTACAATGATAGTGAAGTTATACACTTTCGTCGCTAGTTAACATCGAATGATTTCTAATTATGTATTTCGTCTGAACGTATGAAATTCTCGCAGGCTGAGTTCTTGTTGGATGTCGAGTTAAGTGATTCAACTTCAATCAAATCTAAATCCGAAATATTTTGACTCTGACGGAAAGAGTGGGGTATTTTCATATAAATATAGTTGCTGTTTCTACGAAGTGTTTATGTTTTTTTAGACGAAAGTTATTTCGTATCGATTTTCAAAGACCGAATATTATCACTTTTTATTACTATGAGTGACTATTCCAAACGAAAAAGTTCAGTCCAAGATGTCACTGAACATATTTTTATACAAACGTTGACTATGTTCAGTAATTTACGATGTTTAAAGTTTGATCGATCGTTTCTGTATCATCGATTAACGTTGCATGAAACATTGCCGAATGTTTATTCTTCAAATCTGTTAGAATTACACGTTGTATTAGACTCGTACCTTGATTGTCTTTATATACTTGATGGTCGCTTCGATCAACTTCACACCTGTTGTGTTTCTATTTGTTCATCATCTATTGGTCGACTTGAGAAAGTCATTAATGAAGTAAACTATCGCTTTGAAAAATCTTTTTTACTAAAGAATTTATATTAGTTTTTTTCGTTTAGAAGAGCCTTTCTAGTTTAAAACATTTCTCGCTTACTCAGGGTGGAATGACGATGATGTACAACAGTTTTCTTATTCCACTTTTACGTTGTATGTCGAATTTAGAACAACTAAATTTATATTTTTTCTCTGTGAATAAATCAATCATCGATGGTGACAACTTGGAAAAGAATATTATTAGTTATATGCCAAAACTGAATAAATTTCTATTTGATATTTGTTCAGTTGTCAGTCTCAATGAACACATTCGCTTTCCATCACACGAACAAATTCAAAGCACATTCAAAAATTTTCGAAGCGAACAAATTATTTCATATGTTAATTCTTTCTCAGAAGAACATGAATATCATTGCCATATTTATTCGATCAGTCTGGCACGATGGTTTGATATACAAGCTTAACGATCTACGTCTTCCCCAATACATCATCAAGTACCTGATCTCGTTCTTAAACAATAGAACGGCTGCAATTGAAATAGAAAACATCTNAGGTTTCACCATATTCTTTCCACGCAGTTGTTCCTGATCATAATCACGAATTGTAATTAAACATCCACCACCTGGTCGCAAACACGAAAACATCTGTTTTAGAGCTGCTAGAATGTCGTCATCGGTAAGAAGATGAGGTAACGAATTATCACATGAAACGACAATACCAAAATCTCCACCATGATGTTCAAAAGCTGTTCTCATATCACAAACGGAAAATGAAATATTCATTTGACCATGTCTTTCAGCTTCTTGTTTCGCTCGTTGAATCTCGTTCGGTGAGAGATCCGAGGCCGTGACATTGTATCCATTTTTGGACAAGCCAATAGCTTGAGTGCCTATTCCACAAGAGACGTCCAAGAGTTTTTGATGTTCTGGCCAATACGATCGAATAATCTTTGTCAGTTGAAGACCTTGACGGTCAACAGACTGATCCCAATCTTCGAAGATCACATGGTAAAATGGACTTAATTCATCGTAGAAAGTTGACATGTTATTAGATCTAAAGATTCGATTTGAAATAAAGAAATTTGAAATACTATTGGGTCATTCATGTTGATTTATTTAATCAATTATTTTTACAAACAAGAACTATTAAAAATCGTCTTCATCTTCATCATCTGGATCATGTCCAAGATGATCAGGAGAATAAGGTGATGGAGGTCGATTATCTTCATCGGATGAGTATTGATTTCCATCACCATTTCGATTGATTTTCTGTGTGGAATGATAACGATCGACTAGTGAATCTGAATCAAGATTGATTGTTCTGTTCATTTTCTTCTCATCTTCTTGTTCATCAGAATTCTCCTAAAACATGACACATAGAAATCGATTCAAGATCATTCATAAATTTACGTGTAGTTCATCCGTCATATCCGACGCTGTTTCTTGTTGATCCAGAAGAAATTGATTCCATTGTTGAAATTTCTCTTGTTCGTACTTATCATCTTCGCACATAAATTGTAATTTCAGTCTTTCACTATGCAACGATTTAATTGACGAAATTTTTGTTTGTTTTCCATTTGATAATAAATCGCCTTGTTGGTTTATTAAAACAAATTCTTTATAAATCGGCTGCTTTCGAAAAATTTCACCAATAGAAATTCCTTTGTTATTTTTTCCATCCGGACACGATCTATTGATCCCAACACGAATAATAAGCAAATTACATAAGAAAACCTGGTGACTTACCTCAATTGAAAAGTCCATCCTTTCGTATAATTTGAACATTCCAATGGTTTAATTTGTTTGATAGTTTGAATACACTGTGAAAAAATTTGATCGAGTTGATTCATCAACTGCTTTGTATTATCATAGATCGCGCGAAGNTTTGTTATTTTTTCCATCAGGACACGATCTATTGATCCCAACACGGATAATAAGCAAATTACATAAGAAAACCTGGTGATTTACCTCAATTGAAAAGTCCATCCTTTCGTATAATTTGAACATTCCAATGGTTTAATTTGTTTGATAGTTTGAATACACTGTGAAAAAATTTGATCGAGTTGATTCATCAACTGCTTTGTATTATCATAGATCGCGCGAAGACATGGATCGTGCATAGTGTGCAATTCAATGAGATACCGTCGAAGTATAATTGGTATTTGACAATTTCGAATAATATTTATCGAAACCATATCTGATAACTGTTGAGAAAAGAGATCTTTCAACGATGCGACACACAGTGTTATATAAGATGAAATATCTTTGTCGATACATTGATAAACAAGTGACCGGTACATTTGACGAGGTTGAAATAGATCTAAAGGAGAAATTTCGTGAAGAAAGCTTCTGTGAAGCAGAAGACGAACTAACTTGAAGGGTAGATATTTTCTTGATAAATTATCTGATTGATGACAACGTCGAGAAATTGTAAACAACGTTCAATGACTTCAGGACGCATTTGTTTTTCGAGTAAACGAATTTCTCCATGTCGTCGGTGAGGACGAGTAGTTCTCTGAATATTCATCTAAAATTTATTCAAAACGTAATCATACACATTTTTAGCAAATTTCAAAATTATTCAGTTGGATTTGTTTGACGATCTGAAAGACATGGAATGTTGCTTAGAGAAGACTTCCTCATCTTCGTTTACTTTTTGCCATATCTTGATGAACAGTCGCTAATGTATTTGTAAGAATTGAACATTCGCGTTCAATGATTTTCGAATAATTTTCCACGTCACCTAATTCCTACAAAGATCCAAGTAGAATTGATCATTAAATGGAAGAAAATCAACTTTTAATGCGTCTGTAAACTGTCCAATGAGAGTTATCCATCCTTGAGATTGTTTAGCAAGGATATTTGTCTGTGTAGTTAACTGTTTTAGTGCTTGATCAATCCGCTTTTCATTCTTGTAGCACTCGGATACACTTTTATCAAATAGAACTTGTGAAAAACAGGATAAGAATATATGAAAGTCTTACTCATTGTTAAGTTCGTCCAGCACCAAACGTGTTAATCGATCAGTTGAGAATAGTAACTCTCGCTTCTTGATTTCTATCGCAAAGAAAAGAGACGCGGATTAAAATAGAAAAAGCAAATTTGATGGAATGATAATCACCTTGCTTCTGTTTTAAAACGGTGACATGTTCTTGATGTTGACGATAAATGTGAGACAACATTATCCGGCAGATACTTCAAATTAATGATTCTTCAAATAAAATAAGTTGTTTCAATATCAGCGATGACGACCTACCAATTCGTGACAGGTGTGTTAGATGACGCCACTTGGTTATATCAGCAGAAAGACGAAATTTTCATGTCCAAACGGGACTGACTTTCTCATGCATTTGACTGAATCATAATTTCAAATCGCTTTTTTACGAGAAATAGCTGAATGAGTTTACAGAACCAATTATAAAACCCATGTTTTTCTTCATTAAGTGGATAAGCCATCTTACACTATATTCATTTTCCGTGCTACAGCGCTAAAAAGTGCTTAAGTGAAACGGTACTCATGCCACCTGTAAATACGACAAACGTAATGAGCTAAGTCAGGCAAGTGCGATGGTTGTTTTAGTTCTGAAGAGAAAGAGATGGATCAGCATCGTCTACGAAAAGGTAAGGAGAAACTCACCTGTTGTGGTACTACGATGAAGCATATGAGATGGAACAATCACAAATTCTTTGATGCCTATAAACGATTTTATCAAGTAAACAACAATTGATATTCATGAGCAATACTTCACTACATATAGTTCAAGATTATTTTGTGACATTTTTCTTTCACGAATCGATATTTATTAGTTTAAATCGAATTCATTGTTTAGTTCTGTATTGAGAGACTTCATAATAGTGGCGTAACCAGAAATTTATGGGTGGGTAGGCGGCGCCCCAGTGACTTTCAAAATACTATATGGTATAAATATTGTAATGTAGCTTGTATCTTTAACCCATAACGAAGAGACGATAGCCTATTTACTTTTAAGACTACTCTTTATAAGTTACTATTTTTTATTAAGTGAAGATAATATAAAAAATCACAAAATTTTCAGTTTAACAAAATTTCACTATTCTTATGGAAATCAGCGAAATCATCCATGAGTTTCTTAAAACCAATGACAAAGTCGCGTTCCTCTGCTAAAACACATAGGTCACTTACCCGATTATCTGACATTGTGTTACGCGCGGTTGTTTTTATCAATTTCATTTTGCTGAATGTCCTCTCACACGTAGTAGATGAAACTGGAATATTCATAGCAGCAATGATAAGTGACATGATCACAGGAAATGCCCGTTGCAACGGCAATAAATGATAATAAAAATCTATAATAAATTCTAATTTCGTATTTGGATCTACAATCATCGGCTTACTCGCTTCAATTTCATTAGATAATGAACAAAAGTCAGTTTTCATGTGCAATGCAAATGGTTTTAATCTATCAATTTGTAAAAAATTATCATCATCTGCACAAAGTACTGATATACCAATTAAAATTGCTATATTATTAACAGAAAATCGATCATTCAGTTCTAATAATACAGTATCAATCATTGAATAAAAAAGACTTTCTCGGTAATTAGCATTTTCCTTAAGATGTCTCTCTACTTCAAGCGATTATTTTGATTTTCAAAATATGTGTAGGTCATATATGAACTGAGAAATGTATAAAAAAAATTAGCTTTATCAAAAACTTCCGGTGGGTAGGCGAACTGGTCCGGTGGGTAGGCGCCGCCTACCCATGCCCTACCCTGGTTACGCCACTACTTCATAAGAAGGAAGTTTCTTGTATCTACAACCGAGTACATAGACAACCTGTGATATGACTAAAATTCGCATATAAGAGAACTTCATGATGTCATGATTAATTGAGCAGGCTCGTGTGTAGTTCTCTTATTTTCAGAAAAGATGCATATTCTATCAACGATACCTAATCTCGAACAGATACTCACATGGAGGGAACAACTGTTACCCCGACATCTACAATAAATTGGAATATTTCGTTCCAACTGCTCAGTCTTTATCATTGGTCAAAATCAACTACCCACAAACTCATGTTTTCATTGCTGATATGTTTGTTTGTGTTCGTGTTGAACATCTTCTTCAAATATTAAACAAGATATGATTTGGTTTCCAAAATTTATTTTTCTTTAACAAAAAGGAAAAAAACCAGGGAAAAGACAGAAAAAAAGCTATTGTCGAGGTGGTGCTGGTGCTGATGGTGGTAGGCCGAGGTGATGCAGAATGGTATTGAGCTACTGTTGGATGGTATCTTGCTGGCTTTGGATATGAACGAGGATGGTGTTGAGCTGTTGAAGGATCGGGTCGTTGTCAGCGTTCTAAAAAAGAAAAATAAGTGTTTTAAATTGAAGAAAGAATATCAAAATCGTTGTCAATATTCAGCACCAATGTTACGCGCAAACTCCTTATTACTGTCGATCTTTTTCTCGTCTAATACTTACGTCAACCGACTGATACAGTGAGTTGTTTGACATTTGACACATTTGAAAACGGAACCTCTGACTTAGACGCAATAAAGCATTTAAAAACTGTTGTTTCGTTCGAATCTCGTTCTTTATATTCTTCTCAATGTGTCCGTTGTCAAGGCAATCAATATGAACGAGGAACAAAAGAAAAGAGAGTCAGACTGTTGAGAGACAGAGAGAAACAGACTAAAGAGATGATGGGCATTTCGATGAATCAAAAACATCTCAAGAAAAGCGCAAACTAGATATGGACATCGTATGATGGATTTTCTTTCTTCACAAAACAAAAAATCGATAAAAAAGAATGCACCTCACGGATATGCTTAGGTGGGAACGAGATGGACCTACCCAGCTCATTGCGGCTCCGTCGGTTCCAGTCGAATAAGTTAATTTTCTGACGATTTCCTTTTAAAGTCCGGCCGAAATCCGGCGACAAGGAATTCGCCGAATCCGATCGGGATCGACACAAAGTGTACCGAAACCGACTCAGACAGATCCAGTAGCCGGAACGATCGACCTGGGTAAAATGAGAAATTAAATACATAATTGATGAGCTTATGAGGTTACTTACGTGGTTAAACGGGTGGTGACTGGATAGAAAGGGAGAGAGAAAAAAATATGTATGAAAAATTTATGTTCGAAAGATAACCATACTTGTGGTGGAGCAGCAGGAAGGAGGGAAGGCGATTTTAAGGTGTGGGAGTTCGTTTGGATCGGGTATTCGAGGATAGTGTAGGGTGGGGAGGATGGTGGTTGTTAGCCATTCAAAACAAAACAAAATGTCACTCTATGCGAATGTGATCGAAATCGATATCTATTCTGTCCGATACATTTTACTGACTTATACCATTGAGAACATTCTATTTTATATGATCAGTTTTCTTTTCGTCCTTTCTATAAAACAAGAAAACACGTGCGAAATGAAATAAACGCTGAATAGTCAGTATTACATTTCTCGATCGTTTTCTCTTGCGGATAAATTCTTATCAATCTGTATCGATTGACAACATGGGCGTGATTCACAAAAAAATGAAGTAATCGGTGGAAAATTTTATCTTATTGTTCAATGAATTGTGCTGCCTATGTGCATCAATGGAAAAAGATCTTGAAGGTGTGAAAATATATGCAACCTAGATCAAATAATCCGGTCCTGAACTGGCTAGTTCCAGGGTCTTCTGGCTACTAAACCCTGTCATCGGATTTACCCAATTTTCTTGGGAAGCGACAAAGACCTGCCATAACTGGTGGTCGGGTACGATCCCTGATTCTCTCAGCAGAATACCAGGCACTTTCCCATAGTATCTGACGCGGCAATCATAGATATTCTGTGGATATTCACCAGAAATAAGCGGAATCCTGCTTCCAATAACCATCGCCCTGGGAAGTATTTTATTTCATCCGCATTCCCATCCTCAGGTTTGAGAAATAACTATCATACGAAACGACAACATCAAAACGTAAGTACATCGTGACGGACCAAAGCTGTTCTCACATCACAAACAGAAAATAACATATTCACTTGATCGTGTCTTTCAGATTCTCATTTCGTCTGCTGAATTACATTTTTAGAAAGATCTGATGATGTGACACGGTGTCCGTTTGTTGAAAAACTAGTAGCTTTGTGTACCTGTTCCACAAGAAACGTCCAATAAGCTCCAATGGTCACATGATAAAACGGACTTAGTTCATCAAAAAGTCGGACACTTTATTCAATCTAACAAATTCATTTTTACAAATAAAACTATCAAAAATCGTCTTCATCTTTATCTGGTTTGGGCCGGAACCGACAGAAACATGCTAAAACCGGCAGCCGGAAAAGGTTACCGCATTTCTCCATCGGATTCCTGACATTTTCCTGGCAGGTTCCGCTCAGAAATGGCGTGTTTCTTCAGGGATTTTGTCGGAAATTCATGGAATCCTGCTTCAGGAACCATCGTCCTGGACATTCTCTCGTTTGAAAAGTCGTTGATGATTGGCAGTTAAGCCTTGACTGGTAAATCCTTGAGTTGATTCAGTTGTGAGCCACTGAGTGTCTTCACCGTCACTGATTGTGATGAATGATTGAATAGCGAATTGAAGAACGAAGATAACGAAGACAGCGACGATGAATATGCTAGTGTTAAACGCAGGGAAATGGTATTCTATGAATCCAAAGATATGAAGTAACGTGGTAGACATTTCACTATTTATGTGTGTCGGTTCGATCAATGAACACAATAGTCGATGAATTATTCTTTCGTCGAGGATGCAATAAAATAAACAGATTATGATAGAAGCCAGTTCAAATCAGTACAAAGGTCGAAACGTACCCAATTGATCATAGAGGTCATAATGCTGTTACGACGGGTATCGTCAGCCGAACGTCACGATACGCTCACCCTGAACAACGAAAAAACATGCATATCGACATCACCGCATCCTATCCATGGGTAATCACTTCAATACGCCAGCAAAAACACAACAAGACGTCGGCTTGAGGGATTTAGTGGATTTGTCGTATCCACCACGATACGCACGTCTCGATCTATTTGAAAAGCTGAGGGATTAAGTGGGTTTGTCGTATCCACTACGATACCCATATTCCTCATCGATCTACGAAACCTGAGGTATATGAGTTGATTTTACATGATGATTTAATCGCTGCACGAATGAACTAGTTCTATTCTTCAAGCACAAGAGTAATAGCTATTTTATGCCACGATTGTGTTTATATTCATATTAAAAACGTTTTATGAAAGAAATCACACGCGGTACTTTTAAATTCAAACTGAGTATAAATATACTCATGTTCACGCATTTGGTTGTCATAATATAATGGAAAATATTGGATGATAACGTTAGTAATGATAAGTTAATAGAATAGTCGGTCATAAAATATTAGTTCATATATTTTACATATTCAAAGCATCCGAAGGAAATCATAACATTCTTTCATTATATTTCTAAGTACGCAACCATTACATCCACTCAATCCCTCAGCTTTTCAAATGGATCGAGGTGTTCGTAGCGTGATGGATGGCGGAGAGGAACGTAGTATGGTATTGGAGCGAATATGATGGATTTTGATGAATACCCGTCGTATCGATATTATGACATCACTTCAATTGGTTCGTCTGAAATATATACATAAGGCACCTTCGATTCTCTGAAACAGGAAATATCGTCAGAGTGCAATCGACACGTGACTTATCTTGTAACTTGGATAACATGGAATATTACACTCTCCATTTTTAGTAGAAAGATGTCTTTTCACATCGTCACTGGAGATACAGTATTCGATACGATAATCATTCTAGATACCAAAAACTAGCCCATCACTGCCGATTGAGGCGGACGATTAGTCACTTTGTCATATAAGTTGCTGCCATTTTGGATGGACATTATGAAACAAGTTGAAAAAATGTCATTGTCGAATGTACACACAAGACTGTATTTGTTGTCGATGAACATAGGGCTCATAGATATGAGAAACAATTATTTCTGTTCAAAGACCGAAGCGAGAATGCTTTCATATTATTTGCTAAGTCAATTCTGTTCGTCATATAAATAAGGCAATGATAGTGCAAAAGTATTGTATCGAAATTAATCCCTTTCTCAAGTTTCAAATATAATCTTCATTCCTATTTAAACCATTTTCTTACTGCCTGTGTCAGAGAAAGACGATTTTGTCCAAAATAATGAAAATTGAAGTTAATACTAACTTCATCAATATAATTTTGATTGTATGGAGTCTTTCATATGTAGCACCCAAAGGTAAAATCAATCAAGATCCAAATAGACAATTCCTTCATCTTTTATGTTTAGACTTGAAGTTAATCAAGGTTATTTATCGAACGAATATAGACGACACCAGTGTCTTTACAAGTGGTGATACAAAATTATTAGCTGCTTACGTTTGTATATAGATAGTACGTTCTCGTTGTGAGACTATTCTGTATTTTGCAGGTTAAGAATCAACTAGGTTTGAACGATGCGAATATTTGGACGAATGAATTTGCATCTGTGAATGGCAATTTTTATGGTGAGAGGACACCGAAGGAAATAGCGGGTGAGCTTTTCATTATTGAGCTCTCACTATCGAATAACTCCAATATTGAGAATATTTCAAAATATAAACAAATTCAACTCTCTCTTATGCTTGAAAATGGGCAAGCGATGGATATAAAAATGGATTTTGTTTCATTCTACCAAAGTCCTTCTTCGCACGAGACTAGTTCTGGTCCTTGTCAAGGTAAGAACCACAAAAGCTAATTGATCAAAAATTTTCTCCCATTGTTTGTATGAAGGTGGATTATATCCAAATGATGAGAAATGCGTTGCGTATCAGTATGGTCCTGATCCAATTCAAGTCATTGATTGTCATTTGCCAAAAGGTGCTCATGTTGATTTAGTGGTCTTAATGATTCATGGCGGATTTTGGAGATCTAAACTCAATCGTTCGCTGGAAAATGCTGTGGCCAACGATCTTCTTGGTTTTAATATTGTTGTTTGTAATTTGGATTACCGTTCATTTGGAAATGACGGTGGTTATCCAAACACATTCTATGATGTATCCAATGGCACAGATCTTATTCGACTCATTGCTCAGGAACAAGGTTTTCGCAGCGATCGAGTGATCGTTGTTGGCCATTCTGCTGGCGGACAGTTGGGTGGTTATCTGACTGGACGTTTTCGATTGACGCCGAATCAACCTGGATATAGTATTAACCCACTTCGTCCCATTGCTCTTGTTACTCAAGCAGGTGTGAACAACATGTGGGACGGATGTGATCAAGCTAACGTGACCGGAGAAGGAACTGTGATTTCATTTCTAGGTGGAAACTATACAACGTATCCAGAAAGATATGTTTTATCATCACTAGCTGCTTCAAGTAATGTGACTGTGAAGTAAGAAGAAGTGTTCATCATTTCTCTGGAGTGAAAACATATGTTTCCCTTTAGATCTATGTATCCAAGTCAATTTTTACCGTTGAAAGTACCAATACAGGCAATAACTGGATCTGCAGATATCACAGTACCTGTTAGTCAAACCATCACTTTTGCTGAACAAGCAAAAAGTGCAGGGGACAATTGTACTGAAGTGATTGTTGAAGGCGAAGATCATTTTGTTCATCTTAATGTCTCCTCGACAGCTTGGGAAAAGACACGAGCCTTTATTTTATCGTTCATTCCATAGTCAACAGATAAATTATCCTTGCTAATTAAATAAAACGTGAATTGCGATACTTCGATATTCAGACATCGCATAATTTGCGAAAATACTCGTTCAAAAGTACTTCGGACAGAATTGTCTTATAACATCGTTCGGGTTCTTGATTCTCGCGAACAAATCCATGGCATCTTGAATTCGCTTGTTTTTCACGTAACCTTCAAATTCACTTGTTAGCTTTCGACGTCGCTAAGCTTTGTCTTACCTGACATCATAACTCCATAGCTGGTTGCATCTTTGGCCATTTGGGAGAAACATTTTTCAGCTAAATCGACTTCCCCATGTTGCATTAACATATGTAAAGCGGAATTAAGAATAATCGTATGATTTCGATATTGATTCGGAAGAGTTTTGAGTAAATCTTTGCCGAAATCCATTGATTTTTGATCAGATAATCCGGAACAAATTTTGAAGAGAATGGTATACGTATATTCATTCGGTTCGATGGATTTTTGTCGAAAGAGATCAATGGCTTGCTTTCCTTTCTGATTATTTGAAAGACCTAACACGAAGAAGAATATTCAGAAGCCAAGACAAGGAAGAGAATTTCAATCTTTGGACATTGTATTGCACATTGCAAATGCACCATTTATCGACAAATGGACATGTTTTTTATTTCATTGTCGATCAATTCTGTCTTTACAAATGGAAGTCATTTGAATAAACATGTATAGTTTTGACAGTGAAGGATTTCATTCACACATTTAGCCTTCGTCGTCTGATTTTATTGCTTCGTTTTTCGCTCACCGCTGAATATACGAATCCCATATGGTCTCGAGTTTACATGAATGAGAAACAAAGAACTCATCTAAATCCAACTCGAAGATAGAATGTCGAGATGATTTTCAATCGACAGAAATCCTTGTATGTGAGAGAAGTTTTCAAAGATAAAAGAAGGCATGATTCAGTTTACAAAATTCATTTTTGTTTCACAAATACAAAAAAAAACAAAAAAAAAGAAAAACAAAAAGTTATTGATGAGGAGGAGGTGGGGGATTTCCAAGGCGTCGTTCGATGGAGTCGACGCGTTGGCTGAGGACGTTTAGCTGCTGTTGGATGTTGAGGAGGATGTTGTTCAGCTGGAGAACGAGCGGGTTGTTGTTGGGGTTCCAAAAGAGAAAAAATCCTTTTGAAATAAAGAGAAAATATTAAAAAACGTTGTCAGTAATCAGTATCGATGCTGTGCACAAACTATCCTTACTACCGTTGATCGTTTTCTCGTTTAATACTCACGTCAATCGACTGATACAATGAGTCGTTCGACAATTGACACATTTGAAAACTGATCTTCCGACTTACACGCGATAGAGTATGAAAAAATGTTGTCCGCTTCGCGTCTCATTCTTTATATTCTTCTCAATGTGCCCGTTGTCAAGGCAATCTAAATGAAAGTAAGACTGTTAAGAGACAGGTGTTTTCTAAGAGAGGCAGAGAGAGAGAGAGAGAGAACCGCATGTTTGTGATGGATTTTCTTCCATAACAAGAGAAAAAATCGATGGAAAAGAATGCGACTTACGGTAATCGTTTGGTGGGGACGAATTGGAGCTAAAATGATAAAAGAAATACATAATCAGTGAGTTTATGAGACTATTTACGTGGTTGTGTGGGAGCCGGTGCCGGTGGTGCCTAGATAGAAAGAAAAAAAAACATGCATGGAAAGTTTATCTTCGAAAGGAAACCATACTTGTGGTGGTGGTGGAGCGACGGCGGTAAGCCGGGGGGGGGGAGTTCCCCATGTTATTATAGCGCGGTCGGTTCCGGCCGGTTAGGTTCGTTTTCCGACCATTTCCTTGCCGCCGGAATCCGTCGGGAAGGAACCTGCCGGAACTTGCTGGAATCGGCGAAAACTGTATCGGAACCGATTCAGATTTCAAAGGATCGAGTCGCCGGAATGATCCACCTGGGTCGTTGGGATCGGGCATTGCAGGATAGTGTGGGGGGATGTTGTTGTTATTAGCCATTTAAAACAAAAGCAAAATAGACTCTGTGCACAAATGGTCGAAGTCGATAACTATTCTCTCTGGCACATTCAACTAACGAATACCATTGAGAACATTCTATTTTATATGGTCAGTTTTCTTTTCGTTCTTTCTATTAAACAAGAAAACACGTGCGAAATGAGATAAATACTGGATAGTCAGTAGTACATTTGTTTATGACTTTCTTTTAATGGAAAATTTTCTCGATCAGCATTCGTGGACAGCATAGATAGAATTAGTAAAAAACGAAGCAGCCGATAAAGGAGTTTATCATATTTTTGAATGAATAGTAATGTCCATGTGCATAAATGGAAAAGGATGATTTTCAAGAGAAAAAAAATCTTTTTTTAAAGTTTATAGACATATAGAAGATGTTTTATTTCTTTCGAAAAACGTATTAATAACCGATTCTTAGAAAAAAGATGTAGCTATGCTAGAAATCCACGACCGTACTCAAACAAAATCGAGCGAATCATGATCCGTGTAAGTGTGAGAGAGTGTGTATAAGTATTATATTTCGTCCACATTTGCATCCTCAGGTTTGAGAAAAGATTGTTCTTGGTCAAAACTAATGATTTCGGTTTAAAAGATTCTGATTAAACATGACCAGTTAAAAAAGGTAAATAACTATCATACGAAACGACAACATCAAAACGTAAGTACATCATGACGGACCAAAGCTGTTCTTATATTACAAGCAGAAAATGAAATATTCACTTGATCGTGTCTTTCAGATTCTCATTTCGTCTGCTGAATTACATTTTTAGAAAGATTTGATGATGTGGCACGGTGTCCATTTGTTAAAAAACTAGTAGCTTTGTGTACCTGTTCCACAAGAAACGTCCAATAAGCTCCGATGGTCACATGATAAAACGGACTTTGTTCATCAAAAAATCTGACACTTTATTCAATCTAACGAATTCATTTTTACAAATAAAACTATCAAAAATCGTCTTCATCTTTATCTGTATCATGTTCTATGTAATCAGAAGAATAAGATGATGGAGGTTAGTTATCATCATCCGATGAATATTGATTCATTTCGCCATGAATGGCAACAATCAACTAGTGAATCCGAGTTAAGACTAATACATTGATGGGAACGATTTTTCGAAAAGAATTTCGCAAGATTTTCCAACGATGATTCCATTCATCGAGACAAGGTCGAAGTCATGAATATCCGTTGTAAACTTTACAAAACCGTCGACAGACAATACCAAAATTAAACCCACTGATACAAAAAAAAGATCTGAACAACGCAATTTTTTTCGATCATATGACCAGGTATTCAGCGAGGAAAACAGTGGATTTTTAATCCCTGAAAAATGAAGAAGAACAACACATAGAGTATAACCAGAGAAAATTTGTCTAAAAATAATTGATTGATTACCTATAAATGCAACGTCTGAGTTTTCTACGCTCTCGAAAGAAAGCACACAAAATCGATCTGACAGATAATCTTACTGCGTTGCTTTCGATTAAAAAATCTGATTTAATTAACATGATATAGGATCGGAAGGTGTAGATAAATTTCGAACAAGAATTTCTTGGTCGAAACCAACGACCTAAGTACACACCGGACATGAATTAAAATGATCTGATATTCGTTTTAATATTGTTGTTTGTAATTTGGATTACCGTTCATTTGGAACTGACGGTGGTTATCCAAACACATTCTATGATGTATCCAATGACACAGATCTTATTCGACTCATTGCTCTTGTTACTCAAGCAGGTGTGAACAACATGTGGGACGGATGTGATCAAGCTAACGTGACCGGAGAAGGAGCTGTGATTTCATTTCTAGGTGGAAACTATACAACGTATCCAGAAAGATATGTTTTATCATCACCAGCTGCTTCAAGTAATGTGACTGTGAAGTAAGAAGAAGTGTTCATCATTTCTCTGGAGTGAAAACATGTGTATCCCTTTAGATCTATGTATCCAAGTCAATTTTTACCGTTGAAAGTACCAATACAGGCAATAACTGGATCTGCAGATATCACAGTACCTGTTAGTCAAATAATAACTTTCACTGAACAAGCACAAAGTGCAAGAGATAATTGTACTCAAGTGATTGTGGAAGGTGAAGATCATTTTGTTCATCTTAATGTTTCATCGAAATCTTGGAAAAAGACGCGAGACTTTATCTTATCGTTCATTCCATAGTCAACAGATAAATTATCCTTGCTAATTAAATAAAACGTGGATTTCGATACTTCGATATTCAGACATCGCATAATTTGCGAAAATACTCGTTCAAAAGTACTTCGAACAGAATTATCTTTTTCTTTTGTGACTAGAAAAACTCTCCACAAGAACAATGACCATCGGGATAGAAATGGTGTGTGCGATTAGCATCACGGATAATTATTGTGCATTGGCGAACTTCAGCCACCCGCTTAGTGAACGTATGACAGTCACCACACACACGAAGATTTTCCATTATTTGGATACGTTTCGGTATTGGACGTTGTATTAAGTTGTACGCAATAGCTAATCGTTCACTGTGACCTGACAAAACGGATTCTTCAGTTTCGTCATTCATCATCGGTCGACTTATCCATGATACATCACACTGATACTCATGTTCCTTTAACTCATTTGTTAAACGTTCTAATTCAGCATAGATTTCGTTTGATTGCTTATGTGATCGATCATGTGCACGGAATTTCTCGATGAATCATCCATCTTTTCCAAATACTAAACGGTGCCTTTTGTCTTTCTACTAACCGTTACTTTTCCGTTGACGACTGTCCAAGAAAGACCAGCTAATCGTTTCAAACCCGACTGATTCATTTTGGTTCGAATCGTTGATGCTGTTGCTGAATCACCTGCTAATGCATAAGTATTGGCTAAGAGCACTTGAGCTGATGTTGCATAGACTTCTTGATCTTTCAGATAAGGTTCAATACGATCATACATCCTTTGTGCCAGCAATGGATCTCGTTGATTACGTGCCGCAGAAAGAAATGACACTAAAACGAAACTCTCAAGAGGCTCTTCTAATCAAAAGAAGAAAACTTACTGTACATCGAGTAACAAGGTGAATGCGATTGTTCATATTCGTTGAGCAATTCTTCAGCTTTATTGACTAAATTCGAACGATTGTAACAATCAATCTAAGTACAAATACATTTCTAAGGGATAATTGAAAGAAGCAAAACGCTACCATACTTGAATAAATTTTTTCCGTTCTTTTCTCTTTAGGAATGTTCCTGAAAAGTTCTTCTGCTTCATTTATTAGACTTGAGTGTGAACACGCATTTAATACACACAGATTAATAATATCATCAATGATCTCATATGGAATTTGACGGTACAGTTGAACAGCTTGTCGACTTAATCCATTCAGACCATATGCATTTACTAGGAGGACATTTATTGATCCAGTATTTCAGATAGAAAAATGGCAAATTACTCATAGCTGAATAAGACATATTAGTTGGCTGAGAAATCTGATCAAAGACATTTCTTGCTCGATAAGCTGAACTTGCTTTGCCCTGAAAATATTCCTGCATATTCTTGTTGGCAATTCGAATCTATTTTATGACATACCCACATATTAATCAACGCATTTTGAATTTGAATATCATTCAAATACTTCTCAGACAATTGGGAAGTCATTGATTCGCATGTTGAAAGATCACTAAGATCAGCTAATGCATTGAGAACTAAAACCCAGTTGAGACAGTCGAGTTCGATCCCGTTTCGTTTCATTTCTTCATATAAAGATAAAGTTTGATCAGGTTCGTTTTGATTATTATACATCGTCATCATACATCCATAACTGAATGACCTTTTCTTTAATTTTCCAAATTATCCATCGGCATTCTTCGTATCTGAGCATTTGACAAACATGTTTAAAATTGCAAGAAGGACTTTTCCACTCGGTTGTTGTGATGAGAATTTTGAAAAGATTTCTTTACCAACTTTCAAACCTTTTCCATCACTTAATTATACACATGCACCAAAGAATACCAACAAATTGACTTCGTCCATGTGATCACTTAATTTGAGAAACATATCGATCATTCGTTCTGGTTTATGATTTTTCAAATAACCTAAAAAGTATTAAAAATAAATATATGTGAATGATAGTTCATAACCGGAGATTGCGCACACAAGTTCGTAGAATAGATTTGAGTCTAAACCTAACAAACTCGACGATGACAGGTTCATTTCACACAGGTACGACTGAATGTCTTCACTCACCTGACATCATAACACCGTAACTGATTGCATCTTTGTTCATTTGTGAAAAAGTGTTTTCCGCTGATGAGACTTGCCCACGCTGCATAAACAAGTGTAAAGCTGAGCTGAGAACAATTGTATTTTCTCGTTATTTCTTGGAAAGTTCTTCTCGCAAATTCAATGGACTTTTGATCATTCAGCTGAGAACAAATTTTAAATAAAATACTCAACGAATATTCACTTGGAGAAACAGACATTGAACGATAGAGATCAAATGCTCTTTCAGCACTATTATTACTCGCTAAACCTAAACGAAACAGATTCTATTAGATTTTTTATATGAAAGTCTACGAACCATTCAGCATAACATCACCGATCATTGATGATTTCGTCGAAATCTGATCAAAGAACTCTTTTGCTCTAATCAGATCGTTCAATTGAAAAAAAGCATTGGAAATCAAAACAAAGATTTGCTCATTCGGCTCGATCTTCTCCAGTTTCATTTGTTCAAAGAGAAGCAACGTTTTCCGAGGTTGATTCCGTTGATTGTACATTGCCATCATTGATCCGTAACTTATTTGATTTCGATGTAATCTTGCAAAGAGTTTTTCGGCGTTCTCAATGTCTGAACATTTCACAAACATGCCCAATGCAGCATGAAGCAGCTTTTCATTCGAAATATTTCCATTGGAGTTCGTTAATAATTGAAAAAAGACTCGTTTACCAACGTTCAATGCTTCGGAATTCGCAGCTTGGCTACACGCATTGAAGAATACGATATAAATCACATCATTCGGTTTCTTAATTTTCGCGAACAAATCAATGGCATCTTGAATTCGCTTGTTTTTCACATAACCTTCAAATTAAGTCGTTAGTTTTCGATGTCACTAAACTTTGTCTTACCCGACATCATAACTCCACAAGTAACGTGGCTTAGTAGCCGCTGACCCTCTACTGAAAGGATATCGTCCAATGGCATCTATTTCTTAGAAGAAACGCTAGATTGGGCAAAAAGTTTTGCAACACTTTGATATGAGGACGAGGGTGAAATGGTTGCAGAACTTTTTGCCCAAACGAATAAAATCTATTTTATTTCGATAGCGCAGTNCATAAGAATTTAGAAAAGATTCAAAAACATATCTGTTTTGAAAGGAGAAACGAAGAAGCCGCACTTCAATGAATAAAGAAAACCTAACAGCAGATTCGGGATCTCCGACCTCGGTTACCCTTCAGTAGACCCTTACTCGACAGCGTAGAAAATTTTCATCCCTTAATTAGCTAATTAGCTAATGAGCTAATTGGAATTTCGAGAAACTAATTTCAGATTCGTGATCCTCGACCTCGATTACCCTTCGGTCAACCCTTAAGATGGTCACGTGTGTTTCAGGTATATATATACTATATGAACGAAATAAAACGAACGGACGAACGAACTTTAACTCAAATTCTGTGTATACCCTCCTTTCAGTAGAGGGAATAACTGGTCGCATCTTTAGTCATTTGGAAGAAACATTTTTCAGCTAAATCCACTTCTCCGTGTCGCATCAACATGTGCAAAGCTGAATTGAGAATAATCGTATGATTTCGATATTGACTCGGAAGAGTTTTGAGTAATTCTTTTCCAAAATTCATCGACTGTTGGTCAGTTAGTTTGGAACAAGTTTTGAAAAGAATAGTATAAGTGTATTCATTCGGTTCGATGGACATTTGTCGAAAGAGATCAATGGCTTGTCTGCCTTCCTGGTTATTTCTAAAACGTGACAAGAAGAAGAGTATTTAGAAGTCAAATCAGGTCACGTAAGAGAATTTCAATCATGGAATACTGCATTGTACGTAACAATTGGTTCATTTATCCACAAATGGACATGTTTTTCATTCCATTGTCGGTCGATACTGCCTATGAAAATGGAAAGCATTTGAATCAGCATGCATATAGTGTTGACAGTGAAGGATTCAATCTGCATAGCTAATCTTCGCTATATGATCTTTTTTCTTCGTTTTTTGCTCACCGCTGAATTTACGAATTCTATATCCTATCGAATTTACACCAATAACAAACAAAGAACTCATCTCAATCCAACTCGAAGGGAGAATGTCGAGATCGTTTTCAATTGACTGAGATCCTTGCATATGAGAGGATTTTCTGAAGATAAAAGAAGACATGATCTGGTTTACAGAGTTTATTTTTGTTTAACAAAAAAAAAACAGAAAAAAAAAGAAAAAAAAGAAAAACCTATTGACGACGAGCAGGAGCAGGAGGAGGAGGAGGAGGAGGAGGAGGAGGTATGCCGAGGTGTTGGTTGATGTTGCCGAGCTGCTGTTGGATGATGGTCATCTGCTGTTGCATGATGGCCATCTGCTGTTGCATGATGGTCAGCTGCTGTTGGAGGTGGATGAAGATGTTGTTCGTATCTTGGATGGTGGGGTCGTTGTTGGGATTCTAAAACAGAAAAAAATGTTTTTAAAACGAAGAAAAATTATCAGAAAACTGTCGGTAATGAGTACTGATGGTGCGCGCAAACTCTTCTTTTCGTCGTCGATCTTTTTCTCGTCTAATACTCACGTCAACCAAATGGTAGAACGATTCGTTCGCCTTTTGACACATTCTTAGACGCAATACAATATGAGAAAAGTGCTGTCTACATCGGATCTCGTTTTTTTATCCTTCTCCATGTGTTCGTTGTCAAGGTGAGCAATGTGAAAGAAAAAGAAAAGGAAAGGAAGCAAAAGTGTTAAGAGAGACAGAAAGAGAGCGAAAGGGAGACAGGTAGAAACAGACAGAGACAGAGACAGAGACTGAGAGACAGAGACAGAGAGACTGAGAAGCAGCTGCTTTCTGTTCATCTGACAGACCGCATAGTTGCTGAGAAACACGAGCAAGAAGTATTTCAATCTCAATAGATAAAAACAACGATTGATTATCGCTCACATTTTTCGGTAAAAGATAGAGAGACTCGAGAAAGACCTTATTTGTCAAATGTCTTTCAGTATTTATCTCTTCGATCGACTACTGGGTGATGATTCATTCTGTCTCTCTATTCTATCTGTATCGCTATCCCTCGACACGACATGTTCTTCTCTCTTTTCTTTCACTTATTTATTCTATAACTGACCAAAGAAATGGTATGCATTTCGATGAATCAAAAACGAAAACATCTCGAGAAAAGCGAAAAGTAGCTATGGACTTCGTATGATGAATTTTCTTCCATCATAAAACAAAAAATCGATAAAAAAAAGAATAGAACTCACGGGAATGGTTAAGTGGAGAGGAGGTGGACCTAAAAGAGAAAAAGAAATACAGAATTGGTGAGCTTACACGGTTACTTACGTGGTTGAACGGGTGGTGGCTAGATAGAAAGAGAGAGAGAAAAATATGTATGAAAAATTTGTCTTCGAAAGATAAACATACTTGTTGTGGAGCAGCGTGAATGGGAGGGAGGCGGACGCGGTGGTAAGGCGGGGCAAGTTCGTTGGGATCGGGCATTTCAGGATAGTGTGGGTCGGTGTTGTTATTAGCCATTTAAAACAAAAGCAAAATAGACTCTGTGCACAAATGGTCGAAGTCGATAACTATTCTCTCTGGTACATTCGACTAACGAATACCATTGAGAACATTCTATTTTATATGGTCAGTTTTCTTTTCGTTCTTTCTATTAAACAAGAAAACACGTGCGAAATGAGATAAATACTGGATAGTCAGTAGTACATTTGTTTATGACTTTCTTTTAGTGGAGAATTTTCTCGGTCTGCATTCGTGGACAACATGGATACAATTAGAAAAAGAACGAAGCAGCCGATAAAGGAGTTTATCATATTTTTGAATGAATAGTGATGCCCATGTGCATAAATGGAAAAGGATGATTTTCAGGAGAAAAAAATCTTTTTTTTTAGGTTTATCAACATAAAGAAGATGTTTTATTTCTTCTGAAAAAGGTATTAATAAACGATTCTTAGAAAATAGATGTAGCTATGCTAGGAATCCGACCGTACTCAAACAAAATCGAGCGAATAATGATCCATGTGAGTGTGTGTAAGTATTATATTTCGTCCAGATTTGCATCCTCAGGTTTGAGAAAAGATTGTTCTTGATCAAAACTAATGATCTCGGTTTAAAAGATTGCGATTAAATATAACCAGTTAAAAAAGGTAAATAATTATCATACGAAACGACAACATCAAAATGTACATCATGAAGGGCAGAAACTGTTCTCACATCACAAGCAGAAAATAAAATATTCACTCGATCATGTCTTTTAGATTTTTATGTTGCCTGCCGAATTACATTTTTAGAAAGATCTGATGATGTGACACGGTGTCCATTTGTTGAAAAACTAGTAGCTTGTGTACCTGTTCCACAAGAAACGTCCAATAAGCTCCGATGGTCACATGATAAAACGGACTTAGTTCATCAAAAAGTCGGACACTTTATTCAATCTAACGAATTCATTTTTACAAATAAAACTATCAAAAATCGTCTTCATCTTTATCTGTATCATGTTCTATGTAAATACATTGATGGGAACGATTTTTCGAAAAGAATTTCGCAAGATTTTCCAACGATGATTCCATTCATCCATAGAGTATAACCAGAGAAAATTTGTCTAAAAATAATTGATTGATTACCTATAAATGCAACGTCTGAGTTTTCTACGCTCTCGAAAGAAAACACACAAAATCGACCTGACAGATAATCTTACTGCGTTGCTTTCGATTAAAAAAGCTGATTTAATTAACATGATATAGAATCGGAAGGTATAGATAAATTTCGGACAAGAATTTCTTGGTCGAAACCAACGACCTGAGTACACCGGACATGAATTTAAATGATCTGATATTCGTTTTAATATTGTTGTTTGTAATTTGGATTACCGTTCATTTGGAAATGACGGTGGTTATCCAAACACATTCTATGATGTATCCAATGGCACAGATCTTATTCGTCCCATTGCTCTTGTTACTCAAGCAGGTGTGAACAACATGTGGGACGGATGTGATCAAGCTAACGTGACCGGAGAAGGAGCTGTGATTTCATTTCTAGGTGGAAACTATACAACGTATCCAGAAAGATATGTTTTATCATCACCAGCTGCTTCAAGTAATGTGACTGTGAAGTAAGAAGAAGTGTTCATCATTTCTCTGGAGTGAAAACATGTGTATCCCTTTAGATCTATGTATCCAAGACAATTTTTACCGTTGAAAGTACCAATACAGGCAATAACTGGATCGGCAGATATCACAGTACCTGTTAGTCAAACCATCACTTTTGCTGAACAAGCAAAAAGTGCAGGAGACAATTGTACTGAAGTGAGTGTTGAAGGCGAAGATCATTTTGTTCATCTTAATGTCTCCTCGACAGCTTGGGAAAAGACACGAGCCTTTATTTTATCGTTCATTCCATAGTCAACAGATAAATTATCTTTGCTAATTAAATAAAACGTGGATTTCGATACTTCGAGATTCAGACATCGCATAATTTGCGAAAATACTCGTTCAAAAGCACTTCGGACCGAATTATATTTTTCTTTTATGACTAGAAAAAATCTCCACAAGAACAACGACCATCGGGATAGAAATGGTGTGTGCGATTAGCATCACGCACAATTATTGTGCATTGACGAACTTCAGCCACCCGCTTAGTGAACGTATGACAGTCACCACACACACGAAGATTTTTCATTATTTGGATACGTTTCGGTATCGGACGTTGTATTAAGTTGAATGCAATAGCCAATCGTTCACTGTGACCTGACAAAACGCATTCTTCAGTTTCGTCATTCATCATCGGTCGGCTGATCCATGATGCATCACATTGGTATCCATGTCCCTTTAATTCATTTGTTAGACGTTCTAATTCAGCATAGATTTCCTTTGACTGCTTATGTGATCGATCATGTGCGCGGAATTTCTAAATGAATCATCCATCTTTTCCAAATACTAAAAGGTGCCTTTTGTCTTTCAACTAACCGATACTTTTCCATTGACAACTGTCCAAGAAAGACCAGCTAATTTCTTCAAACCCGACTGATTCATTTTGGTTCGAATTGTCGATGCTGTTGCTGAGTCACCTGCTAATGCATAAGTATTCGCTAAGAGTACTTGAGCTGACGTTGCATAGATATCTTGATCTTTCAGATAAGGTTCGATACGATCAAACATTTTCTGCGCTAGCAATGGATCTCGTTGATTACGTGCCGCAGAAAGAAATGACACTAAACAGAAATCTCAAGAAATTCTTCTCATGAAAGAATAAAACTTACTGTACATTGAATAACAAGGTGAATGCGATTCTTCGTATTGGTTGAGTAATTCTTCAGCTTTATTCACTAAAATCGAACGATTATAACAATCGATCTAAGTACAGATACATTTCTAAAAGAAAATTTAGATAAAACGGAAAACGCTACCATAGTTGAATAAATTTTTTCTGTTCTTTTCTCGATCGGAATATTTCTGAAGATTTCTTCTGCTTCATTGATTAGACTTGAGTGTGAACACGCATTTAATACACATAGATTAATAATATCATCGATGATTTCTGTTGGAATTTGACGATAAAGTTGAACAGCTTCTCGACCTGATCCATTCAGACCGTATGCATTAACTACAACGACATTCATCAACCGAGAATTTCAGAGAGAAAAATGGCAAATTACTCATAGCTGAATAAGACATATTAGTTGGCTGAGAAATCTGATCAAAGACATTTCTTGCTCGATAAGCTGAACTTGCTTTGCCCTGAAAATATTCCTGCATATTCTTGTTGGCAATTCGAATCTATTTTATGACATACCCACATATTAATCAACGCATTTTGAATTTGAATATCATTCAAATACTTCTCAGGCAGTTCGGAAGTAATCGATTCGCATGTTGAAAGATCACTTAGATCGGCTAATGCATTGAGAACTAAAACCCAGTTGAGACAGTCGAGTTCGATCTTGTCTCGTTTCATTTCTTCATACAACGATAAAGTTTGATCAGGTTCGTTTTGATTATTATACATAGTCATCATACATCCATAGCTCAATGCATTTTTCTTCAATTTCGAAAATAAACTTTCGGCATTTTTCGTGTCTGAACATTTGGCAAACATGTTTAAAACTGCATGAAGAACTTTTTCACTCGGTCGCCGTGATGAGATTTTCGAAAAGATTTCTTTGCCAACTTTCAAACCTTTGTCATTGCCTAATTCTGCACATGCGCCAAAGAATAACAACATGTTGACTTCGTCCGTTTGATCATCTAATTTCAAAAACATATCGATCACTCGCTCTGGCTGATTATTTGCCAAATAACCTAAAAATATCAAAGATCGAAATATGTGAAGGTCGTGCACACATTAGCCTTTGAACTTCTCAGGCAGATACTTACCTGACATCATAACACCATAACTGATTGCATCTTTGGTCATTTGCAAGAAAATCTTTTCAGCTAATGAGATTTCTCCACGTTGCATAAACATATGTAAAGCTGAATTGAGAAGAACTGTATTTTCTCGATATTTCTTCGGCATTTCTTGGAAAATACTCTTCGCAAATTCAATGGACTGCCGATCATTCAGTCGAGAACAAATTTTGAATAAAATACTCAACGAATATTCACTTGGTGAAATAGACATCGAGCGAAAGAGATCAAAGGCTTCTTCCGCACGATTATGACTCGCCAAGCCTAAAGAAAACTAATTCGATCGCGTTTTTCTTGGAAATTTCACTAACCATTCAACATAACGTCATAAACCATTGATGATTTCTTCGAAATTTGATCAAAGAACTCTTTTGCTCTGATCGAATCATGCAATTGAAAAAGCGCATTGAGGATTAAGATGAAGATTTGTTCATTCGGTTCGATCTTTTCCATTTTCATCTGTTCAAAGAGAAGCAACGTTTTTCGAGGTTGATTTCGTTGATTGTACATGACCATCATTGATCCATATGTCATTTGATTTCGATGTAATCTTGCAAAGAGTTTTTCGGCATTCTCAACGTCTGAACATTTCGCGAACATGGCCAATGCAGCATGAAGCAGCTTTTCGTTCGAAATCTTCCCATTGGATTTCGTCCATAATTGGAAAAACACTCGTTTGCCAACATCCAAGGCTTTGAAATTCGCAGCTTGACTGCACGCATTGAAAAAAACGATATAAATAACATCGTTTGGGTTCTTGATTCTCGCGAACAAATCCATGGCATCTTGAATTCGCTTGTTTTTCACATAACCTTCAAATTCACTTGTTAGTTTTCGACGTCGCTAAGCTTTGTCTTACCTGACATCATAACTCCATAGCTGGTTGCATCTTTGGCCATTTGGGAGAAACATTTTTCAGCTAAATCGACTTCCCCATGTTGCATTAACATATGTAAAGCGGAATTAAGAATAATCGTATGATTTCGATATTGATTCGGAAGAGTTTTGAGTAAATCTTTGCCGAAATCCATTGATTGTTGATCAGATAATCCGGAGCATGTTTTGAAAAGAATAGTATAAGTATATTCATTCGGTTCGATGGACATTTGTCGAAAGAGATCAATGGCTTGCTTTCCTTTCTGATTATTTGAAAGACCTAACAAGCAGAACATGCAGAAGTGAGTCAAAAAACAAGATTTCAACCATGGAACATTGCATTGTACATAACAACCGTTGTATTTCGACTTTGATTGAAGATTTCTCGAGCTTTAGTTAAATCTCCTGAATTCACTATAAATCAAAGGGAAAGACAAATAGAATGCAGAAATATTTTGATGAATTTACTAAAGAGACGAATGAGATTCGTTTGAATTAGATGATTTTCTTTCGACTGAGAAGACAAACGTTGATAAATGTCCAATCCTCGTTTCGTATCACCTAATTCAACACAAGCTTTCAGCATTTGATTGATTGTCGTATCATCAGGAAGATTTTTCTTCGTGTATTTTCCGAAGAGATCAATCACTTTTTCATATTGTTTCTTCGCATTTAATTGTTTCAATTGATTATTAGTCTCAACCAATGTTGAAAATAAACAGCGAGAACGAATTGAGAAACGCACGAGCATTTCAGCTTAATGAATGAAATCGATCACCAATGGATGGATGGATAGGTCCGTGTGTTTTAGAACGTGATTCGTGTTGTATATAGATGTCGCTTATTCTTACGGATTTTATTATGGTCAGATGAGAAGAAAACAAGGAGAAAATCAAAAAGAATCAGCGCCGAGCGATTTTCGTATGAGTTCGGCTAATGATAATGAAACGAGAAAATGTGGTCCGAGACGAAGATAATTTGGAAACCAACCCTTTAGAAACGCTTCTGGACCTTCTTTCATCAATAATTTATAAGCACAGTCGAATGAACTTTTATACAGACGATTCGTCGAGGTGTTATCAGTCATAATTCGTGTCTTTATGATATCAATAGGACTGACAATGGTTGTTGTTAGTAATCCACTTATAATACTTGAAACAATGTGTAACGTTGGATTATCATGAAAGTAACCTGACCGAAGTAGAAGTCGTTTACTTTGATCGTATGTACTTAACTGCATTCCGGTCAATACAGTTGCACGTGTGATCGTTGGTAATGCACCTTTATACAACCCAAAAATTCCGTTTTCGTATTTGATTATATGATAAAATGCGTCGAGGGTATTTTTATAAGGATTCGGATGTCGAGGTGAATAAGATTGAAAGCGAATTTTGACAAGATCAGTTGGTGTAGCAATGAAACTTCCTAATGCACCGGATCCCGCACCAGCAATTAATTTCTGTCCAAAACTAAACTCCTCTTTGGTCGTTCCATGTGGTGCAAGAAGAACCTTAATTGAATCATAAAGACCCATCCTAATACTACTATAACTCGCTTCACGTAACATCGATGCTGTTATACCTTTCATTAAACCTCGTCCATAGCCTTCTTCGAGATAAATCGATTTCATCGCGTGCCAAGTCCCGTGATATCGTGCATTGGCATATAACGATCGAGATGGGTGAAGAAGAAAATCGCTAACTGGATGTGCATGATGTTCAATAGATTTCAGTTGCGATTGAGTTTGTAAAACAACTTTAATCACATCCATCGGATTGAGAACAGCGGAGATAAACATGCATGACAGCCCACCAGCTAATAATTTAATTTCGATATTTTCGTGACCTGTTACAGACATTGGATGTTTCTTTCCTTGAAATAGTTATAAGTACACAAAGAAAAAAACATGATACGCATTTGATTACAATATGAAACAGCTGTTTATCTTCGCACTATTGCACACATCTATCTAACCAATAATGAAGAATCCGTTTACATAGAGGTTTTTTTCGACATGAACAAAGGAAAGCGCTTTATTAAGAAATACACATTCGATGTGAAAAATAACACAATTTTGATTCGGTATCGATGAAGATGAACTTCAAAAACAAAAAATAATCTTTTGTCTTTCATATCCATCGATTCCATTTGAAAAAGCTCAACAATACAGTCGCACAAGTGCCTAAGGCAATAAGCGTTACAAAATATCCGAAATGCCAAGTTAATGGCGGTGAATTTTGATAATTCATTGAAAATAATCCAACGATAAACATCATTGGAATAAATATTGACGACATGAACGTGAAGAATCTCATAATCTTGTTCATTTCTGCATCGTTCAATATCATATAAAACGTCATGGAACTCGAAATCAAGTCACAATATGTATCGATTCGATCGTGTAATTGTAAGATATGATCGTTGAGATCTTTGAAATACATGAAAATATATTCGTTGAACAACGGAGCTTTGCCTTGGATTGATCCTAAAGACCAACGTCGAGTGAGAGAATCTGAATTTGGATTGGCAAAGTAATTTCCGGACAGAGCGATATGTTTCGGTCGTTTTTTCCTTCGATATTGTCGACGAGAATGAACAGTTTGATTAGCAATCGGAATCCGATCGTGTGCTTTTTGTAATTTGATAATGATGTCTCGTAACGGTTTACAAACGATCCGTAGTCTTAGCATATCGTGTTTAAGATCAAACATCGATTTCAATTGTTCGAAGTTCATCCCTTGGAATGAATTGTGAACTTTTGTATTTTGTTTCAGTTTTTTCATCAATAACTTTTCGTGCATATCGATTTTAATACTAATATGATCGAGAACGGACATATAATGTTCGATAATCACATCGAAGAGACAATGAAACAGATAATCGATTTTCAACGAACGAATTCTTCCTCGATTATTTCGTAAACGATGTTTAACACCTTGAAAAACATCGATTGCATTCGTGTCGCTTTTCGCTTCTTGAAAAGTCAACAGAAAATTATTTTCGTTCAACAAAATTGAGATTTGTTCCTGTTGAACATGATCAAGTTCGGTATTGGCATCGCGATACATGTAAATCAATTGTAATAACAAATAAATACACGAACCATTTTCCAGTACATCAAGTTTCATTCGCTCATTAATCGTTGAAATATCTTCTTTGGTTAACGAATGAATGTTAAATCGGATCGAGAGTTCATCGAGAATATCAGTTCGATGAATACCTTCGACGTTAATCCACGTACAAAACTCTTCACTTGAATAGGACGTGGTTGTTAAATATGAATTTAATCCGGCGAGATTTGTGAAATGATGTTCAGCATAGCGTATTTCATCGTATTGAATTACAAAAAAATTCACTGGCCGATTATCGAAATTCGGAAGAATTTTCGACTCATAGTCGTTGTTGACTGATTTTTGAAAATGTAAACGCATTTAGTTGTCTTATTTTCGAGATTGTGCGGAAATCAAGTAGGCAAATCATTGAACTGTGACGGATAAACATTACTCATCGAAATTGATGAGCCAATCAAGTTTTTTTGTGTACCGTAGTAAGAACAAGAAAGATTTCAACTTCTCGATGTACAAAGAGGACGTTGTCTAGTTCATCGCGGGTGTGAGAGCCTTGATGAATAACTAAACAGTCGAATTGAATTGAAACGACACTTTTGTCGCGTAATTTCAATGACATTGATCAATTTGTAAAGAGCGACAGGTCGATCGAATCGTCCGTCGTTGACAGGCATGTCTGCAGTTGTAAGAAAAACAGTTTAATGTGCGTTGTATTGATTAGTCAAGCGTGAACAAATGCATGTGATATGACAGGAAAGATCGACTGAAATTAAAACATCACTCAAGTAAAATCAAACTGTCGTTGTCTCTGTTTTTTTCTCTTCGTGTCAATAATATTTGTCTGTTTTTTTCTCTTTATTTTGACAGGAAAGAGACTTCCAAGAGATGTCAGAACATTTTTTAACTGTGAATGGAATTCATAAGAAAAAGGGAATGATAAAAACATATTCGTTTACAACAGATGATGACGACGTCAAACCTGGAACTGATTCGCCATTAATTAGCAATCATGACAAGTCATTACCACAAGTATCGCCGACAAATGAGAATGTATCAAGTGAAAGTGATGAATCTCGTTCGAATGCAAGATTGCAGAATCACAAATCACTACGGCAAAAAGAATCGACGGTAGAAGAAACCAAAAAACATACATTTATTTACATTTTCATATTTTCACTTAGAAAATGAATCCAAAACGAGCTATCTCATCGAACAAATCTGACCAATCAAAATCAGTTGATCTGAAAACGATTTTGTTACTTCTTGGAACGCTCGTTTTTCTTTATTTTACCTGGACTAAACGAGATATTTGGATATCTCGTTTGATATTATCTTCCCGTATCAAAACGAATCATGCCCACATCATACAAACCCCGACGAAGCCACCAATGAATGTTCCGGATGGCAAATCTGAACCAAACGAACAACCGGTGATAACATCAACGAAAAGCAACACTTCCGATCATGCGACCATAAAAATACGCAGAACAAAAATGACATTCGATACCGACTCACCGAAAAAGAAACTTGCTTACGTATCGGAACGTTCTCCTGACGAGACGAAACCGGTTATTTCAGTAAAACATCATTCACCAACGCTTTCAACTACAAAGCAAAACTCTCATTGTTATCGTCCGTTGAATTCTTCTACAGATTATTTAACTTACACAGAAACTATTCGACTGATTCGAACGAATTTAACATCAAAAACTGGCCATCGAAGTATTTTACCGACGGTAATGACAAAGACTGGTTTGAATAAAGATCAATTATACCGATTTCTTTACAAGAAAAACGATAATGTTTTATCATTAGAAACCTTCCTTTCGCTCTTAGATATATTTGATATGCAAATTTTTATTCAATCAAAATAAAGAATTCTTCCCTATGAGACTGACTGTAAACGTAAACACAAAAACAACGTAATCTCGAATCATTTTCCGCTTTATTTCAAACAGAATGATTTACCTTTGCGAGTAATTTGTATATCGATTCTTTTAATTGGAAATTAAAACATAAATAATCATTATCTTAAGAATAAAAACGAAAATTGTTTTTTTTTCTCCCATGTGACCTTTAGAATTTTCTGTCTAAATCATCGATATCGTGTTCAGACGTTCGAGTTTCAGTATGAAAACTCGGATTTATATAGTCTGCAGGAGTTTCAGCCAAATGAGCGTATAGGCCATATTGATTAATTCGTTTCTTTGGTCCCCAATCGAATCTTGGAGAATTATTTTCAGTAATCGCTGCCAAACACCGCGGTTTTTCCAAATAATTGTTTCCTTCATGAAGATGATTATCGCTTTCAATTCCAATTGGTTTCGCCTATGCAAAACAAAACATAAATATCACTCGAAACCAAAATATTTCGATTTACAATTTGTTGCAAGCCAAGTCTTTGGTATTCTTTTATATAGCTCACAAGATAAACTAATGGAATCGGTATAACGCATCCAATGAATATAAACCAACCAAGAATCGTACTCCATTGAGGATATTGATATTTTTCAAAGCCTGCACCTTCTTTATTGATCATTGGTTCAGCACCGATCAATTTTGTGACAATGATTATCTTTATAGAACAAATCTTGCTGATCAAATAGAGCAGATCCGTTCACTTACCAGCATCAGTAGAGGAGATATGATGCACCATGTAACAAATAGATAATATTGTGCTGCACGTTTGCCTAACATCATTTTCACATCATTCATAAAACGATTATAACCTAAATTAGATCCCGAATGATTTCTTTCTTCCCGAGATCATAACTTTTTTCCTTACCGTAAATGTAAGCGACAGTGTAGACTTCGAAAAAGCCTACGACAACCATGGATACATTTGCTGCGTATTCCATTAGTAATTCAAAAAGATAAATTCCACCCTAGGATAAATCGAAAATGATGATTTTTGATTTCTGTTAATAACACACCCGACAAGTAAATGGTAAACTGACTAAGTACGAAACAGTACAGGTGACAATCACCGCCAGGTATCTTTTCGTCCGAAGTTTGGGAAATAATTCGGTTAATGACGTGATCGGAACATCGGTCAAAGCAAACTAAATTTTTCCGGTAGAAAAGATGTTATAGCAAAGAAAAAAAGTTTACCTGAGAACCGAGTCCAAGTGCCAATAACATTAGAAAGAAAAGAATGGCAAAGAATGGACTCGCTGGCATATGTGAAATGGCTTCTGGATATGTAATAAATGCTAAACCTGGACCGGATGATTCGGCATATTTTTCAACCGTTGATTTCATTTCCGTTGCTAAAAATCCAATCGTAGCGAAAACGGCAAAGCCAGCAAAAATTCCAGTCAAACAATCGCATGAAACAACGATACACATTTGTCTGAAAAGAGAACTTATTTGTAAATCTTTGAGAGAAGAAGAAGGAGATTACCGAAAGAAGTTATTTTTGAATTTATTCGATGCTGAATATGCCATTAAGGAGCCGAAACTAAGACCGAGAGAGAAAAAGACTTGGGAAGCAGCGGCTTGCCAGGTCTAAATTGACAAACAAATCTTTCGAAAGACTGTTTTAACTTTTTTCATACTTCAAATTTAGCAACGAGGTCCCATTTAGGAATAATGTAGTATTTGATGCCAGCTCCCGCTCCGGATAAAGTCGCACTTTGAATAATTAAGATCAGAAGGACAATATATGGAAAAATGGCTGTGAAATAAGCGACCTAAGCTGAGATTATGTAAGAAGAAAGAATATTAGAAGAGAAAAAACGAACTTTTCCCGAAGATTTCACACCACGAAAGATACATAAGCCAACAATGATCCAAGCGACTAATAATGAAACAGCACTGAATGCTTGTGGTGTTCCAAAATCTTCGAATTTTTCGCTTTTGCCCAATAGTAATTTACTAAAAAACGGAAGTATTTCACATTTTTTATGTTGAACCCTCTTACAAGAAAAATTGTTCACTCGCCGTNCGAAAGAATTTTCTTTCGAATTTCTTTGTTCATTTTAAACAATAAACCAATGCAGATCATTAAACATAACGATGGAAGGATTTCTAAACCTGCGTAAATCGCGATGCTTTTCTTCAATTTATAGTCAACAACACCAAGTAAACACCTTGGTGCATAACCAATCATATCAAATAGTAAACCCATGATGAAAACATACGACATCAATGATGAATGGTCAATCTCGATTTCATTGACATGATCAACCGGACGGATTTGCGGATTGTTTGCATGATGTTTAACCATAAGTTTTCCAAGAACATAAACCAATAAATGAAGAAAAACGGGCAAAACAAGAAGAAATATAGCACTGTAAAGTGCGAAAAATCGATCGGGAAGATATGCAAAGCAGATATAAACATTCGACATGAGGATTTGGGGTAATGGGAGAAGATATGAACATAACCATTGAATGAGAATACATGATCTTAAATTGAATGAGTTCATTTTCAATGGATTTATATGAGAAAACTTACCCAAACCAAAGCAAACTTCGATTTTTCCATTCATCTGATCCGAGTTGATGAACAGCCATTGCAACGAACGAATATGCTACTTGTCCTTGAACAACATCTTCGAGGAAATGTTGCAATGTACATATTCGAGCAGCTAGACTTGTTAGATACGTCAGTGCCAATGGTAACATTGAAAAAACAGCGTTAGTAATCGAAAAAAGGATCATCGATACGCATAAATTAAACATTAACCAATGTCGCTTTGATCTTTGCAGTTGTTCGTGTAAACACCCGAATAGAAGAAATATGAATGAACTGATAAAGATAAGAATATTTAAGATAAAACGTACAAGGTGAAACATCAGAAATAGAATTTCAGTGTTTGATGCCATGTTTGAAGTTCAAATGAGGTTTTATCGAAGAACTTATAAATGTTATCTGATGCGAATCTATTTTCAAGTTGACAGATTCAATATTTCAGAGCTCATCTTTGTCAAACTTGAGTATTTTGAAATTGCTCACGTGAATGCCTTCGTTCGTCAAGAGATAATAGACTTTATGTAAATTGCCAAAGCGGACTTTTCCACCTTCTCATTACTGTCATCTTTGATTCTGTTTGTGGTTCAATGGAAAAACTTTTATGCGAAAAGTTCAACTAGTATAAATAGAACAATAACGCCGTGGATCCGAACGAATTCGTCACGTGTTCGTAGTAAAAACAGTTCCACTCGTCGTGTGATACGTTTGTCGTACTTTTGCATATGGTTGAAGCTTGAAATCTTACATCTAGCATATTGAGAGTGAGAGTGTAAATGTGGGTCAAGGTGATACATAGAGTGAGCTTTAGTTCTGATTAGGACTAGATCTGGACCTGGAGAGAAAATGTCGCTGGGAAGCAAGCGTCGCGGGAGCATCTTTCATGGAACCAAAAACTAGCAAAAAGAAGGAGAAAGGAAGAAACTGTGTCAATTAGATGAGGAATGAAACAGCGAGAGACTATATCACCAACGATATGCATAAGATCAGGCAACAATCGCTCAACATGTAGCTTTTTTAAGCTGTTTTATAGTGTTGTTATCGTTATTAGCAGTTTCTTTTCGGTTTCATTATATAGGTTAATGACGATAAGATAAGGTGATAAAAGCTAGCAAGAACATTCATATTCTATTCATCATTTTTACGATATTTATAGAAGGATAAAGTCACGCCAAGTATCTTATCAGCGAAAAATGAATGTGCATACGAACGGCAATTATCCAATTGCTCCTCTTTTGTTCGATTCTGAGAGTGAATTCTATGTAGATGAACCGATCTATGATCCAGATATTCATTTACAATTAACTGAACCTGAATTTGTTGTTCTACTCGACAGTTTTAAACATGTGCCAAAAGCACCTCAATTGAACAAATCTGCTTCACCAACTGGCCAAAGTCAACTTGCCTACACTGGCCCATTTCGAGTATTAAGTGACGAAGGTTATCGTGTACTCCATTCCATTCTTCAGCGTGAAATGGCCTATCGAATAAGCGATGTTCGACATCCAGCAAAAATTCGTTTCGGTGCTTATCGTAGTAAATGGTTACAAGAGTTTAACCGCTGTCCACGTATCGCCGAACATCTCTCACGTATAACTGGAGATGTGCAAATAATGCCAACTACACTTCAGTCGAATTATAGTCATACCAATCTTGGTTATGCAGGTTTCGATCGAGTTGACCAGTTCCATCGTGATAGCGTACCATACGTTCTTATTCTTCTGGCTTGTGATATGACGGAAACGATCGGAGGAGAATTACAACTTATCGAACGATCTCCCGATGAAGCTTTTCGTCTTATTGAACAATATGGAGGCAAAGTTCCGAAAGAATTTATTCGAACGATCGATTATCTTGGAACAAACTCCTGTGTCTTTATGCAAGGTTACAGAAAAAACAACTTTTTTTTCCAAGCAGACTCTTGTTTTTCTCTTTCCAACAGGCAGTCAAATTGTTCATGGCGTGACAAACGTCGAGTCATGCAAAGAACCTCGAATAACGGTCGTGAATTCGTATATGCCAACTAATCCATTTGTGGATGATCTCACGCGATATGATACTTTTCGAAAAGAAAAAACTGCTCCATTGGAATTCGCTATGCACAAGATTTGGCGTGCAGGTGCGCAAATGTTCGATCTAGGATCAGGAAAGCATCCATGGCCAACGCCGGAGCAAGTCGTTGAAAGATTGAATAAATCGATCGAAGAACTCGAACACTGTCGTGATCTTCTTTTGGAGAAAACAACAGATCGAATTGGTTTTTATGATGAAAAAACGAAGAAGATGAGTTTCTTCGAAACAGCTCCAACGGCATTCAAAGTAGAAGACGAATAAAAACTCTCGTGTTTATTGATTCAGAAATTATAATTTTCATAAAACCTAAGGCAATGTCTCTTGATTCTCCATGGCGTATTTTTTTGTCCATTCCTTCGCGTTTTCTTCGTACATTTTTTTATTTGTTCGATAGACTTGAAGAATATCATTATCTAATCCATGCTCAGGATTTGGATCAGTTAATAATGAACATAAACTCAAAAGAACGGTTCGAATAGTTAATACAGGTAACCATTTATCCTGAAGAATGTCGAGACAAATATCACCTTGAGGACTTATATTCGGATGATAGACGCGAGTGGTAAAATGAACTCGTGGAGGTTTAAATGGAAAATCAGTTGGAAAGCGAATCGCTAAGCGAAAAGTTCCACCTTGAAATGGCGAATCATCAGGGCCTCGGATAGAGCCGACCCAATTGAACATATCTTTTGTTGGGTCAACAGGTCGAGCTTCACATAATGGTGGGGGATCATTTTCCATTTCTTTTAGTTGTCTTGTTAAGCAACGGAGAAGCGTCATCTATCGTTTTATCTAAACGGTACAAAAAATTAGCTAATGAACGTAATTTCTGCTCCAAGATCGAGAAATCAATTACTACCTGCTTAACTAATAGAAGTACGATTCTCGCTGTACTTCAATCTTTTTTGAAAGAAACATGTGATTGACTTGCGCAATAAGAAAACAAAATTTTGTCACACGTCGTATTCACACGTCTTCCTTTTTTCATCGTTCTGTTGTTACTTACTTTACATATCGTGACTCGACAGAGGAAGAGAAACAAAACAGAAAATCTCTATTTCAATCTCGACATATTAAGAGAACGGTGTATTCAGCAAAGCTACACCTATGACGACTTTATCACCTATAGCATTGAGTCAAGCCAATGAATCCGCGCGTGGTCCAACGGCTTATTCGCACTGGGGTAAATGAAGAAATACTTCGATGTCTAAATTCTTCTCCTCATTGTTTAGTTATTCCAAATCTTTTATTAGCAAGTGCATATCCCGGACAGACAGATCCCGATGCTCATCGACGTTTAACACGACAAATTATCGATGCTGGTGTTGAAGTTGTGGTTAATATTATGGAAATTGAAGAATTGAAAAGATTTACACCGTATCAACAGACGATGTTAGAACATGCAGCGGAAGGTATTAGACAAAGAAGAATAGTGCGCAGGTTGATAGTTTTCGGTATTTAGTTGATCGTCAAATGGAATTTATTTCATTTCCAATTCGTGATCAGTCAGTTCATCAAGATAATCAGCGTGTTCTCGAGTTTTGTCTTGAACTTTGCGAACGAGTGAAAAAAGGACAAGTTGTTCTCGTTCACTGTTGGTAAGAATCTAATTCTAGTTTTCAAATGAAGACAATACTGACGTAGGGGTGGTCATGGTCGAACAGGAACAATTATTTCAATAATGATCGGAATATTATTCAACTTGAATAGTATGACAATACGTGAAAATTCATTTAGATCAAACTTTGCTTCGTTTGTTATGTATAGGTAAAGACGCAATTGCAATGAATCGGCAACTGCACGATCAACGTGTCAGAACGAATGGAATCCCGAGTCCAGAGACAGGAGGTAAAATCTGATTCTTCGAATAAATCTCATTGAACTCGAAGTTATTATTTAGTCCAAACGAAACAAATTCGAATTGTTCTTGATGAGATGTATCATAAGAACAAAGATCAAGTGAAAACTGAAGTTTGAAAGTGCTATCGTTAATTTCAATCGACATATGTTATACAAGAATTAGAAAAGATTTCTTTTTTTTTGAAAGTATGATAATTTATCAATAAAATTTCAAATCGAATAAAAATTCTACATATTGCTGATCGTAAATCTTCCATTCTCGAGTTTGAAATCATCGAAAATAATATGACTTACAAACGATACGATTCAATCAGTCATTTGATTGTGTGATTACTCAAAGCTGTTGAAATTACACTCGAATAGGAAGTCAAAATCTCATTTGTAAACGTTTTCATAGTTGTAGTTGAGGAAGTTCGAACCAAAAGTGTTGGTGTCGTTCCTAAAAAGAATTCCTCCTTACGAAAGAAAAAAACACTTCGAAAGCTCTCTATATACCATTGGTGGTGTTCATCGTGCTTGGTAAAGGAATTCTTTTTGTAACTAATGGAATCATAATAGTCATAATAACTACAGTAAAACCAAGAATAATAGCTGTGAATAATATAATACTTTTTCGAGTGAAAATACGATTACTAAACATAGAATATTTGCATTGAAATATTCGTTTTGGCTTTTCACTTACCTGACGATTCTTGATGTCGATGAAATCAACATAGTTTCTCTTCTAATTGTCGTTCTCGAATAGAACTAACTCATTCCTATCAAGATGCTTTTTTCCTAAACACATTTTCAATTAGTTAACAGCAGGACACGAACAATGCTTAGCAACACTCTCCTTTATATAAATTTTGTCATTAGTTTTATTGAAGAATGGGCAAAAGAATTCTTCGAGCGTATCTTTGCGTCTCTCAAAATGACTTCTTTCAGTAGCTTACTTGAAAAACAAGAAACATTTCATTGATGTATCGATTAAGAATGATGAAGTGCACACTTTTTCGTACGAATGTTTTCCAGTCGGTGAAAGGTTGTGACTAATCAGAGAAAAGTGCAAACGAAATATCATGCTTAGGGCGTATCAGAAGTACGAACAATGACACCTGTATAACGTATGGGTACGTTTAGGTAATTTTAAGCATCGAATTGTATATACTAAAATTTTACAATTGATCCCGTCGGTTGTTTACAAAGTGCGAACATTTTACGATCCTTTTTGGTGGAGTTTGTGAAAAAAGTCGATTGCTTTTAAAGTTGTTATTAAATAGTTTTAACTCGCAAAAAAAAGCAATTGAAACAAGTCCTAATTTTTCTTTGCATACTTTCTTGTCCATTCTTTGACTTTTTCGTTGTATTTTTCTTGATTTGTTCGATAAAGAATCAATGCTTCTTTGTTCAATCCATGCTCAGGATTTGGATCCGTCAATAATGAACACAATGAGATAAGAAGACCACGTATAGTCAACGCAGGCGACCATTGAGAATGTAAAATATCCAAACAGATTTCTCCCTCATCGCTGATATTTGGGTGAAAAATTAGGACTTGTTTCAATTGCTTTTTTTCGCGAGTTAAAACGATTTAATAACAATTTTAAATCGATCAAAGAATCGCGAAANCGAAAGAATTTTCTTTCGAATTTCTTTGTTCATTTTAAACAATAAACCAATGCAGATCATTAAACATAACGATGGAAGGATTTCTAAACCTGCGTAAATCGCGATGCTTTTCTTCAATTTATAGTCAACAACACCAAGTAAACACCTTGGTGCATAACCAATTATATCAAATAGTAAACCCATGATGAAAACATATGACATTAATGATGAATGGTCAATCTCTATTTCATTGACATGATCAACCGGATGGATTTGTGGATTGTTTGCATGATGTTTAACCATAAGTTTTCCAAGAACATAAACCAATAAATGAAGAAAAACGGGCAAAACAAGAAGAAATATAGCACTGTAAAGTGCGAAAAATCGATTGGGAAGAAATGCAAAGCAGATATAAACATTCGACATGAGAATTTGGGGTAATGGGAGAAGATATGAACATAACCATTGAATGAGAATACATGATCTTAAATTGAATGAGTTCATTTTCAATGGATTTATATGAGAAAACTTACCCAAACCAAAACAAACTTCGATTTTTCCATTCGTCTGATCCGAGTTGATGAACAGCCATTGCAACGAACGAATATGCTACTTGTCCTTGAACAACATCCTCGAGGAAATGTTGCAATGTACATATTTGAGCAGCTAGACTTGTTAGATACGTCGGTGCCAATGGTAACATTGAAAACACAGCGTTAATAATCGAAAAAATGATCATCGATACGCATAAATTAAATATTAACCAATGTCGTTTTGATCTTTGAAGTTGTTCGTGTAAACATCCGAATAGAAGAAATATGGATGAACTGATGAAGATAAGAATATTTAAGATAAAACGTACAAGATGAAAAGCCAGAAATAGAATTTCAGTGTTTGTTGCCATGTTTGAAGTTCAAATGAGGTTTTATCGAAGAACTTATAAATGTTATCTGATGCAAATTTATTTTCAAGTTGACAGATTCAATATTTCAGAATTCATCTTTGTCAAACTTGAGTATTTTGAAATTGCTCACGTGAATGCCTTCGTTCATCAAGAGATAATAGACTTTATATAAATTGTCAAAGCGGACTTTTCCACCTTTTCATTACTGTCATATTTGACTTTGTTTGTTTTCAATGGAGAAACTTTAATGCGAAAAGTTCAACTGGTGTAAATAGAAGAATAACGCCACAGATCCGAACGAACTCGTCATGTATTCGTAGTAGAAACAGTTCCACTCGCCGTGTAATACGTTTTTCGTACTTTTACATATGGTTGAAACTTGAAGTTTTGCATCTAGCACATAAAGTGCTCTGCAAGTATCTTTCGCTCTATGGCTAAATGCCAATCGATAAACAATGTTCGATGAATCACGTTTCATATTTATAACAATCGTTATCTCTAGTGCAGCTGAATAGATGGTGATTAGTACGATAGACATCGGTCTGCAGAAGCGTTCCTAGTATTTGTTTGTTAACATTTTTCTTGAGAGTGAGAGTGTAGATGTGGGTCAAGGTGCTACATAGAGTGAGTTTTAGTTCTGATTAGGACTAGATCTGGACCTGAAGAGGAAATGTCGCTGGGAAGCAAGCGTCGCGGGAGGAACTGTCCGGGGAGCATCTTTTATGGAACCGAAAACTAGCAAAAAGAAGGAGAAGGGAAGAAGCTGTGTCAACCAGATGAGGAATGAAACAGCGAGAGACTATATCACCAACGATATGCATAATATCAGGCAACAATCGCTGAACATGTGGCATTTTTTAGCTGTTTTATAATGCTGTTATCGTTATTAGTGGTTTCCTTTCAATTTCAGATTTTATTGAGAAGAGAAAACTAAACGTACCATCAATCTACATATTATATAGGTTAATGACGATAAGACAAGGTGATAAAATCCAGCAAGAAGAACATACATATTCTAGTCATTATCTTTACAATATTTAAAGAAGGATAAAGTAATACCAAGTATCTTACCAGCGAAAAATGAATGTGCATACGAACGGCAATTATCCAATTGCTCCTCTTTTGTTCGATTCTGAGAGTGAATTCTATGCAGATGAACCGATCTATGATCCAGACATTCATTTACAATTAACTGAACCTGAATTTGTTGTTCTACTCGACAGTTTTAAACATGTACCAAAAGCACCTCAATTGAACAAATCCGTTTCACCAACTGGTCAAAGTCAACTCGCCTACACTGGCCCATTTCGAGTATTAAGTGACGAAGGTTATCGTGTACTCCATTCCATTCTTCAACGTGAAATGGCCTATCGGATAAGCGACGCTCGTCATCCAGCAAAAATTCGTTTCGGTGCTTATCGTAGTAAATGGTTACAAGAGTTTAACCGCTGTCCACGCATCGCCGAACATCTCTCACGTATAACTGGAGATGTGCAAATAATGCCAACTACACTTCAATCGAATTATAGTCATACCAATCTTGGTTATCCAGGTTTCGATCGAGTTGACCAGTTCCATCGTGATAGCGTACCTTACGTTCTTATTCTTCTGGCTTGTGATATGACGGAAACGATCGGAGGAGAATTGCAACTTATCGAACGATCTCCCGATGAAGCTTTTCGTCTTATTGAACAATATGAAGGCAAAGTTCCGAAAGAATTTATTCGAACGATCGATTATCTTGGAACAAACTCGTGTGTATTTATGCAAGGTTACAAAAAAAACAACTTTCTTTCCCAAGCAAATTCTTATTTTTCTCTTTTCAACAGGCAGTCAAATTGTTCATGGCGTGGCAAACATCGAGTCATGCAAAGAACCTCGAATAACGGTCGTGAATTCGTATATGCCAACTAATCCATTTGTAACGGATCTTACGCGATATGATACTTTTCGAAACGAAAAAACTGCACCATTGGAATTCGCTATGCACAAGATTTGGCGTGCGGGTGCGCAAATGTTTGATCTAGGATCAGGAAAGCATCCATGGCCAACGCTGGAGCAAGTCGTTGAAAGATTGAATAAATCGATCGAAGAACTCGAACACTGTCGTGATCTTCTTTTGGAGAAAACAACAGATCGAATCTGTTTTTATGATGAAAAAACGAAGAAGATGAGTTTCTTCGAAACAGCTTCAACGGCATTCAAAGAAGAACAAGAATAAAACTCTCGTGTTTATTGATTCAGAAAGTATGGTTTTCATAAAACCTAAGGCAACGTCTCTTGATTCTCCATGGCGTATTTTTTTGTCCATTCTTTTGCGTTTTCTTCGTACATTTTTTTATTTGTTCGATAAACTTGAAGAATATCATTATCTAATCCATGCTCTGGATTTGGATCAGTTAATAATGAACATAAACTCAAGAGAACAGTTCGAATAGTTAATACAGGTGACCATTTATCATGAAGAATGTCGAGACAAATATCACCTTGAGGACTTATATTCGGATGATAAATGCGGGTGGTAAAATGAACTCGTGGAGGTTTAAATGGAAAATCAGTTGGAAAACGAATCGCTAAGCGAAAAGTTCCACCTTGAAATGGCGAACCATCAGGGCCTCGGATAGAGCCGATCCAATTGAACATATCTTTTGTTGGGTCAACAGGTCGAGCTTCACATAATGGTGGGGGATCATTTTCCATTTCTTTTAGTTGTTTTGTTAAGCAACGGAGAAGCGTCATCTATCGTTTTATCTAAACGGTACAAAAAATTAGCTAATGAAACATAATTTCTGCTCTAACCAAGACCAAAGAAATCAATCACTACCTGTTGAATTAATAGAAGTAAGATTCTAGCTATGTTTCAATCTTTTTCAAAAGAAACATGTGATTGACTTGCGCAATAAGAAAACAAAATTTTGTCACACGTCTTCCTTTTTTTCGTCGTTCTGTTACTTACTTTACATATCGTGACTCGATAGAGGAAGAGAAACAAACAGAAAAGCTCTATTTCAATCTTGGCATTTTACGAGAACAGTGTATTCAGCAAAGCTACATCTATGACGACGTTGTCGCCGATAGTATTGAGTCAAGTCAATGAATCCGCACGTGGTCCAACGGCTTATTCACACTGGGGTAAGTGAAGAAATACTTCGATGTCTAAATTCTTCTCCTCGTTGTTTAGTTATTCCAAATCTTTTATTAGCAAGTGCATATCCCGGGGAGAGAAATCCCGATGCTCATCAACGTTTAACACGACAAATCATCGATGCTGGTGTTGAAGTTGTGGTTAATATTATGGAAATTGAAGAATTGAAAAGATTTACACCATATCAACAGACAATGTTAGAACATGCAGCGGAAAGTATTAGACACGGAAGAAAAGTGTGCAGGTTGATAGTTTTCGATATTTAGTTGATCGTCAAATGGAATTTATTTCATTTCCAATTCGTGATCAGTCAGTTCATCAAGATAATCAGCGTGTTCTCGAGTTTTGTCTCGAACTTTGTGAACGAGTGAAAAAAGGACAAGTTGTTCTCGTTCACTGTTGGTAAGCATTTAATTCTAGTTTTCAAATGCCGATAATAATGATGTAGGGGTGGTCATGGTCGAACAGGAACAATTATTTCAATAATGATTGGAATTTTATTCAACTTGAATAGTATGACAATACATGAAAATTCATTTAGATCAAACTTTGCTTCGTTTGTTATGTATAGGTAAAGATGCAATTGCAATGAATTGGCAACTGCACGATCAACGTGTTCGAACGAATGGAATCCCGAGTCCAGAGACAGGAGGTAAAATCTTATTCTTCGGATAAATTTCATTGAACTCGAAATTATGATTTAGTCCAAACGGAACAAGTTAGAGTTGTTCTTGATGAGATGTATCATAAGAACAAAGATCAAGGGAAAACTAAAGCTTGAAAGTGCTATCGTTAGTTTCAATCGACATGTGTTATACAAGAACTAGAAAAGATTTCTTTTTTTTCAAAGTATGATAATTTCTCAATAAAATTTCAAATCGAATAAAAATTCTACATATTGCTGATCGTAAATCTTCCATTTTTGAGATTGAAATCACCGAAAATAATATGACTTACAAAGAATATAAGTCAATCAGTCATTTGATTGTGTGATTACTCAATGCTGTTGAAATTACATTCGAATACGAAGTAAAAATCTCATTTGTAAACGTTTTCATAGTTGTAGTTGAGGAAGTTCGAACCAAAAGCGTTGGTGTCGTTTCTAAAAAAGAATTTCACCTTAGGAAAGAAAAAACACTTCGAAAGCTCTCTTTACCATTGGTGATGTTCATCGTGCTTGGTAAAGGAATACTTTTTGTAACTAATGGAATCATAATAGTCATAATAACTACAGCAAAACCAAGAATAATAGCTGTGAATAATATAATACTTTTTCGAGTGAAAATACGATTACTAAACATAGAATATTTGTATTGAAATATTCGTTTTAGCTTTTCACTTACCTGACAATTCTTGATGTCGATGAAATCAACATAGTTTCTCTTCTAATTGCCGTTCTCGAATTGAACTAACTCATTCCTATCAAGATGCTTTTTTCCTAAACACATTTTCAATTATTTAACAGTAGGATACGGACAATGCTTAGCAACACTTTCCTTTATATAACTTTTGCCGTTAGTCTTCTTGAAGAATGAGGTAAAGAATTCTTCGAGCATATCTTTGCATCTCTCAAAATAACTTATTTCAATAGTTTACTTGAAAAACAAGAAACATTTCATTGATGTACCAATTAAGAATGATAAAGTGCACACTTTTTCGTACGAATATTTTTCAGTGGGTGAAAGGTTGTGACTAATCAGAGAAAAGTACAAACGAAATATCACGCTAAGGGCATATCAAAAGTACGAATAATGACGTCTGTATAACGTATGGTACGTTTAGGTAATTTTAAGCATCGAATTGTATATACTGAAATTTTCCAATGTTTTGTTTAATAAAGTTTACAATTGATCTCGTCTGTTATTGACAAAGTGCGAACGTTTCGCGATTCTTTGATCGATTTAAAATTGTTATTAAATCGTTTTAACTCGCGAAAAAAAGCAATTGAAACAAGTCCTAATTTTTCTTTGCATACTTTCTTGTCCATTCTTTGACTTTTTCGTTGTATTTTTCTTGATTTGTTCGATAAAGAACCAATGCTTCTTTGTTCAATCCATGTTCAGGATTTGGATCCGTCAATAACGAACACAATGAGATAAGAAGACCACGTATAGTCAATGCAGGTGACCATTGAGAATGTAAAATATCCAAACAGATTTCTCCCTCATCGCTGATATTTGGGTGAAAAACCGGCGTGATGAAACGAACTTCAGGTGCTTTAAAAGGAAATGTATCAGAAAAATAAATACTTAAATGAAATCTTCCTCCTGCATACGGTGTGTCTTCTGGACCATCAATATAACCAGTCCAATGAGTAATATCATGATCGAAATCTTTCGGTGCTGCGTAACATAACGGCGGAGGATTCCTTTGCAGCTCTCCAAGATGAATTATAAGTCGTTTTGTAAAAGACATACGTATTTAAGGCACAGCCTAAAATAAATTCTGATAGAATTTGAAAAATAATTAACAGCAGTTGTGTTATTTGACAAAATCTGCCACGAGTGTGTCATGAATAGCCTACCTTTCAAGTTCGCAAATAAAGAATGAATGACGAATTTTTTTTTCCCTTATAATTGTGGACTTCATGAGTAATATTGGTAAAGTACAAAATGTCTATTTATTCGCGTTCGTCCAATGGCGTCATTTTTTTGCTCTTTATCGATTGACGAGGGAAAGAAATCCATTGAGTTGTGAACTATAAACAATTGAACAGCAGATTATGTTTTTCTCAACTAATTACGAATATTTAGTGCATTTTGACAATGAATCACGCACAGTCCAACACCTTCTTCGCCGTATATGATGCGTCACTTATCCTGAATCGATTGTCAATCGTCCGCAAGCCTTCCTTTCGTCTTCTGTTCGTTACCAGTCTAAAAGTCAACATGATAATGAATAGAAAACCGCCGGTGTATCGGAGCTTGTTTGTAAACGAAAAGTTCTTTCAGGTGAATATTATCACGAGACTATCGTATGTCTTAAAATAGGTCAACTCCGATGTGTTGAAGATTGATGATCTTTTTGTTATTCAGGAAGAATATATGATTTGTTTTGAGTAAAGAATAAAATTCAACAAACTATTCTGTGGGAAACAGACTTTTTCATTGTAGAGATTGTAATTGATCCCATATGTAAATAGATGACTTTGAAAATCACGGAAAAAGTCACGAGGTGAATAACAATGTCATAAAATCAGATGAGAAGATCAAAAGTTAGTTATTCAACAAAGTCCAAGTGGGATTCACTGGAAATGGAGAAAATAAAACGTGAGAATGTGAATTTACTTTATTGAACAATAAAAAATCATCACTTATAGTACCAAAAGGTCTTCTATCTCACATGATTAACGGTATTTTTCGAGTAGATGATCATCTCTATGTGAATTAAATTCTACCTTACAATGCAAACATAGACTAACTAGAAAATATCGACATTCTGATCTAAATTCTCTTCACATTAAACTCGCGCAGCATCGGAAGGTTGGTTTTTGTTTTTCAACATACGGATAATATTACTTTTAATTCAAGTTAGTTTTTGCCTTTGCTGAAAATGAAATGAATGAGTCAGATGGAAAATTCGCTGATTAATAAAGTATCTCTTCCTTGATATTAATGTATTTTCCAGTTATCTTTCGAAAAATCCTCCTTAAGGTAGAACGATTTAACATGTCACCTGAATATTTGCGTAGACGGTAAGAACTTTTAAATTCGAGAGAAGATGTCAGAAAAGGAAATATCCACGCAATAAAATTTCAGCTTACAAATATTAACGAACATCATCTCTTCTCACTCATTCATTTCCGTATGGATTTAGGAACGGATCGTTAAAACGGAGCATACGAAACTTCTGACGATTAAGCGCATTGAGAGATCTTCTACATTAAAATCAATTCGTGAGAAGACAAAGTCTTTGAATGATATTTTGCTTTCTTTTCTAGGTCCTAATGCAATACAAGATTATTATTTTATTATTTTGTGTCTTTTTACTGTTTTCATTAAGAATTCAAGCGAATGAATTCTTTTATTTCGACAGTGAGTAGTCGTGTATGAAAATGAACAGATATATTCTCGATTTCTACCGTTTTAGATTTGGATGAAAACGTGTTTCTACTAAGAGAGAAAAGATCTTTCGGCTGCAACGGAACCAAACATCTAAAACCACTTCAATGCGTGGCGAACTGCAGAAAGCGGGGTTTTCGAAATGGGCAATGCGACAAAAAGTCAAATTATAGGAGCTGTGCTTGCAGTAAACCTTATAGAAGCAAAAATATCATATAGAACGTATATATATATTTTTTCGACCCATGTAATGAACATAGAGAATAAAAGCATAATTATCCAAAGAGTAACTTCTTTTATATTAATATAACAGTCGGTTCGAAGTCAGTTTTTGGTAGAAAAAAGATAAGTGGATTCGGCAAGTTTCTAAAGTGAACGTTTGATAGAAAATAAATCACATCGAGAGTTATCACGATCTACATATATACTTCAATTGGATTGAAATCATGGAGATTTGTCCGTAAGAACAATAGGCCATTCTCTTGTACTGCTTTTCAAAGAAGAGATGTAATTTGGATCATAGTAGATGAGACGTCAATCAATTTTGAAAAAATTTTTTAGGGGCGTAAAGATCCACTGGTTCTTGTATACATTGATCTTTTAAGATGAATCTAAATTTACAAATCGTCGATGAATTAGATAGACATTTGAAAAAACGCTTAAATGAATTTCACTTCGTATGAGTAAAAGGATTATTGGAAGATATGTGATAAGTAAGATTTATGGCCAGAAAAAAACTACCTCAGTTTGCGATATACAACGAGACTACTTTGAAAACTGTTTGCAACGATAAGAAACAAACATTTAGACTGATGAAATACAACAGGATGGTGTCGCATAAACGAGACAGCAATATCTGTTTGACTTTTTATCATGGGAAGAAAACCAGTGATAATCACCGATGTATAGTCATGTGCACTTCAAATATGCAGTTTGATGTACTATTCATAAATCATCATGAGTCAACCTTCTTTTCACTATGCAAATCATACTTAATTCTCTGGATAATTGTGAAAACAATAAGTAATGTGTCATATAGTATTGTCTGTTGAAATTTGTACTTCGTTTTGATAAACGAGAAAGTTCTGACACCAATTTAATTTATTCACCTTTCAGTTTATTTGAAGACGAAGCAGAACTCACACTATCAGCTGTAATTGTCAAAGAAGAAAAGCCGCTTCAGGATTTGAGTGCAAATGTTGAGTATCGTTATTTGCTTATCAGATGATCTTTACGAATTCAGAATGAGATCATCCTTCGCCAAGACAACGGTTCATTTTTTCTAGTTTACTGATTATCCCAAGTCTCTCATACTGTATGTTAGGTGAGTATTTATATTACAAAGTACTTGGTTATCAGTGTGAAGCTAGCACGAACAAACGATGTGTTAGCTGAAAACTTTTTTACTATGTATGTCCCTTCCATGAAAACTACACCGATCGATTATATTTTTTGATTAACAGCCATATATATATAAAGGAATAGTACAGAATAGGAAAAAATCCTATGATAAATATTATAAGCTTTTCTCCTATATCATCATATGGATTTTTTTGGTATGAGTCTTCGTTGCGACTTATGATGCAAGAAACGTTTTCGCTGATGACATTAGACTTTCTCTTATTTCCTCTAATCAAGAATTACATCTTTTCTATATAAAAACACGCAGTCATGTATTGCAAACCGAAAGGTGAGATCCAAAGAGAACAAATGTAACAGAGAGGGATATAGATAATAGAAAAAAAGAGCGAAGAAAATGGATAGAACCGTTTCGTCATAGGTATCGTTACAAATTCCATCGCCAAAAAACGTTCGTCGAAAATCGATGATATGCATTTCGATCATATACGCTCTCAGTCAAGATCATTTCGGCAATACAAATAGGTTGAATATATTATATTTCTTTTGAACTTTGGCTGTATTTATTGGAGGTTTCTCTTTCTTTATGACAATACGAATATTAAGATCTAAAATGAGTAGACTCATGGAACCAAATGAATATGCAACGGCTTTTATTGCGTTAGCATTTATCGAAGCGGGTGATGATCAAGCAATGGATGAAATATCGAATACCATTTCCAATGCATCACTTCGTTCTTCGCTCGAACTTGTTTTTTCTTGTACTCGGTCTATTAGGTATTTTTCCTTTAGTTATTATAAGGCGGGTATATCTTTGCAATTTTCATAGTTATTTGGCTTTTTCGGAAAAAGACAGTATTAATAACGACAATAAATAACAGTGTAAAAGTGCAATGCTTATTCTTTCATTATACATTTCACAATAATATCTATTTGTAGTAACTTATATTTTATATTTTGTAATTGTTTATTTCTATGTGATTAAAAGATGACCATAGTTCTTATTTAATAAGTATTTCTCATATTATTATCTTTAATATCTACAAGTAATTATTAAATTGAAAAAATCACAAATCAAACTATCCCATATCAAACATCGTTCTATACAATGTCTGTTTATGGTTCAAAAATAATAACGAATAAACTACAAATTTTATTTTCTAACTATAAAGTTAATAAGTCGTACAATGAGGTTTGTAAGCAGATCGAAACATATGTCATAACTCATAACAGTCAAGTTTCATCGATTCACTCATCATAGATTTAAAATGGCAATGATAATAAGGATATAATGATTGATATTCTAGCATGTTGTTACATTGAACATCTGAATTCGATTGTTAAGTCTATCCACAACGATCATATTACCATTTGCATCAAAAAGAAATGACTCAGGGAAACTTAGAAGATTCGATGCTGTTCCCGATGTTCCTGACGCTGAGCCGACGATTGTAACACCATTAGCAGCACCTGCTGCCCATCGTTGAATACGATTGTTACCTAAAATATTCAAAAAAAAGAAATCAGTCTATACTGATTCTCTTTCTAATGTCGATCCTAATGATTCTTAAATGGCGAAGAAACAATTTTTACGATGTAAAATTATACTGAAACAAAAAAGACTAATTTTTCATTTAATCAATTAGGAAACATATTATAAGAATATAAAACTGAATAAGACTACTGGAAGAAGCAACATAATATGTTTCGAAAACGTTCTTACCTCCATCAGATACATAGACAGCTCCAGTGCTATCCACCAATATTACTCTTGGATTACTTAGCTGATTTGCTGCAGATCCAGCATTGTTACCTCCAGCCACAATTGTTCCAGATGTTCCTGTCACTGAATTTGGTGGAAATTTCAACACACGATTATTACCAGCATCAGCCACATATAAAGAATTTGTATATAAGTAATCGAAATAGACTCCATTGGGATTTCTAAGCTGGTTTAAGGCGCTACCTGGGCTACCAGATGTGCCTTTATATTAGAGTAGATCAGATAAAAAGCAAACGATTATTTTAAAGCAATTTACATACCTGCTACAACAGCGGGTGATCCAGTGCCGCCAGCAAGCTTATAAATCACGTGATCGTCACCACTAGCCACGTATATATCATTATTTTGTGCATCTAGAAGTAATTGCTGAGGATGATTTAACGATGTACTAAGATCTGTCCCTCCTGTTGATGAATTTGAGTTTGCTGGAAATCTAATAAGACGGCTACATGTTACTTCTGCTACATACAATTGACTAGAATTATCTAAAGCTACTCCAACAGGAGTCCTTAAATTTGTTGGAGTACATCCAGTATTACCATCTCCAGCAATTACTGTTCCTGCTGAAGATGGATTAGTAAAAGAAAATTTGAGAATACGATGGTTTTGAAAATCACTGGTGATAAAAACATTATTAGCTTTATCGTAATATAGACCAATTGGCGTATTGAGATGCAGAAGATCAGAACCACTGACACCAGATGAATTACCAAATATGGTAATAGCACTTTGCTGCCACGATGTTCCCGAAGATGGTACACATACTATAATAAATAATTATTCCCTTTAAATTTGCAAATGGCTTAAACATTTAAAGAAACCAAGTTCCTTAGTTCTCCTATCAATATTCGTGATTAATATAAAGTTGAAAAATATTCTTGATTAAGTCGATAAAAGAGGAAATAAGTTTATTAATTTGAAAATGTTCTATAATATCTCTCCTAAAGTCATTCATTATAGAATAACAATTAATTAACCGAGAAAAATATCTGATAATAAAATTGTCATACAGCTACAAGTTATATATTGACTTACAAGTGGTTGTGGTCGTCGTAGTTGTAGTGGTTGTGGTCCCAATCGTGGTAGCTCCAGCGGTGCTCGTAGATGTTACAGTTAAGATAACTCCAGAGGTTATATTATTAGATTCTAGAGTACTGGTCTGCTGTGAATTAACTGTACTTATCGTTGTCGTTGATTCATCAGAGCTTGGTAAAACTAAAAGAATCAATTATACTTAATATGTAAAATTTTAGCTTTGAATCTATCTTTCTTTCCATAATCAGTACAAATATTTCATGGATGTTGTTATTCGTCCTTTTACACGGTAATACATATGTAAATTTTGATTTTATAAATATGATATAAATTCTCTCGACTAAAAGTTCAAAGAACGTCATTTGGAAGAGCTATTGAGACTCGAGGTCAAAAGAAGATCCACCCCTTGGTGATCGAGGGTGAGAAAGATTTTTTCCCGGCTGAAAAGAGGATCATGAAAAAGCACGGTTTTAGTGGGATATTTATATTAAAAGGTGAATCTGCCCTTCTAAGTTAAAAGTAACAGTAAATATGCTGAGTATAGTGGAGAAGGTGCCATGGATTGTAACGGCTAGCTCTGAGTGGCCGACGATGAGTTAACTGTTAGTCTCTAAAAATTCTCGTGAGTCCAATAAATAAGGTTCTTGAATCAAGATTCTTGACGTTTCAAAGATTTTCGAATAATATGAGTCATAAGCAGAGACGGGCAACTCCAGCCTCTACTGGCTTCGACTCCAACGCTGATCAAAATTTTCCCAGGCCGTCGTGGCTTCATCGCCGACTCGAGAATTAAATCGTCTCGCGTTGGTGTTTTTTTTCCAGAAAATGTTCTCGAACTTTTAATATCAGGTAGATAATTCAAGATCAAAAGGAAAAACCGAATAGTGGAACGAACATGAAGCAGATAACCATAGGAAATGGTTATAAAAACCTCAAGTTCAGATAGATATCGTCCACCAAAACGATACAGAGTGATCACTGGAGCTTGGACGTGAAATGAATGCAAAAGATCTGAAGTTAGACGGCAGCAGGATCACTGACTACGCGTAACCGAGAGGCTAAATGCATTAAAAATATTGACACGCACATCATATCTCTGCTTAGCCAGAAAAATATCAATGTCAACTCGAAAAAGTGTTTTAAACTCTTGTTTAAACCAAGTAGCATAGAAAATATTCGGAGCCGATTTGGAGTTGGCGAACCATTGCGCATTTCGGTTTGCCCCAGCTCCGCTTACAATCCCCTAATGATAGCTCCAGAGTCGGAGCTGTTCATCTTTGATCATAAGTGAAAAATATCTCCAGTGACAAATTGCGCGTAAGAGAATCCATCGATTTGTTCCAAAGAGGCTCTTATCTAACAGCGTACACTCGGAACGTAGAAGCTTTTTAGTTGAAATAGCTAGTATATATATTTCTTCATTCTTCAGTCGATGGTAAAGTGAATGAGCCTCGACGAGCGTTACTAGTAAATAATAGCAGAAAGAGATTAGAAATTATTATAATCTGCAAACTGAACAATAGATAAATAATAATTTGATTTGTAGAATAATTGAATTACTCTCATAAGATAGATTTTAACAACATACAGATTTTCATGAACCTCAATGAGAAATATTAATTCAACTAAGCACAATAGCAAAGAATTATGTATTTGTGAATGTATGATGTCATACTAGAAGTAACTGAAGTCAATCAATACTTGGCATGTTGGTACTAACAGTTTGCTTTCTTTGTACTCAGAATTTTCTTGATTATAATATTGTTTATACTTACCATAATATTGAGTTAGACTTATCAACTGAAGTTGAAGAGTAAGGCTATTTCCATCGGACAATTCTGCAGTGAGAATATAAGATTGAAGATTTAAAAATTGAGATAGAATTCGTTTTCGAAATAATTTTTGGCATTGGCTAACATGAAAGCATTTATGCGGATATACAGCTTGTAAAACGACATCGAGATAAATAGGTGAAGATGAAGTACTTGCTATTGTTGTTGTTTCTCTTTAAAAAAAAGAAATTATTTCGATTATATGTTTTTTCATCTCGAAGTATAATATTGACTCACTGTCGACGTTTACGATGTGCAGAAGAACCACTAAATGAAATAAGCACAGCTGTCTTAATCAATATTGTACTTGAAGGAACGTTTAAGGCTGCAGAAAACTACAAATAATTTATTGATAAAGTCATATTGTTCTTCTACATATGATATTTTCGATATAGTTGACTTACTGATCTGCCTAAACTTGATTTGTCATATGGGGAAGAAATGGCACGAGTGGAAATATGATGAAAACTTGTTAAATTTGTCACATATCGTATTAACCATAGATCAGTTGCTAAAATGAAAGTAAAGTTCTAATTATCAATGAAGATTTGTAAATATTAACGTACCATTATCATTAGAACGAATCACTTGAATATCATGATTAGGTAAATATAAAGATATTAATGAAGGTATTAAAGCAATCATAATACTGAATAATAAGCAACTGGCAAAAAGAAATACAATACTTAACGTATTATTGCGAATTCTATACGAAAAAAAAAATCTTTTAGATTAAAATCATGAATTATTATATATAAACCGACAAAAACAATTTGATTAATAAAATTTTTTGCTATTTAGAAATTTGGATTGTTAAAAGATTCGATTAATGTACATCGAGAATTTAATTCTAATAAATCAAAAACTTTACCGATCGTAGAGACCAATGTATTGTGTTTGATGAAGTTTTTCGTTTCCCATAATAACAATAGAAATTTGAATCTAAAACTAATCAAACAGTTTTACAATGTTATAAAACATAATAAAAATAGCTTAGGTGTTTTTATCCACCTTGGAATTATACCATTTTAATTTTACTTTCATATGATGCGTTATAGCGTTTGCCCGGAAATTGCCTCCATTTGGATGTAAGATGAATTTCCGGGAAAACGCTATAACGGATCAAATCTTTACTTTAAGACTCTTTGTTCTCGTTACTCAATAATTTAACAAAAATGTCTTCTTTTTCTATCTACCAATATAATCAATATTAGTATTTTTATTCGTATTTATACACGTATCCATAGTTAATGAATATTTTATATCGAGCAAAAGAAAACTATGACTGGATATATACGTATATTAATCATTCTTTACATTTTAGTACAATTTGCTACGAAGGTTGCTCTCATATTGTTCTGATTTGTATTTATGAATATAAAATAATATACATATACGTCACTAATACATATACGTCACTATATTGGTGACTGAAATATTTGTTTTTATCATTTGGGAGGATAAAATACGAACAGTGAAAAGTCACTCACGCCCAAGGTGAAATATCAAATTGTTTGCTTCAGTTCCTGTACTTACAGTATAGTGTCAAACTTGAAAGTTGAATTCAAATATTCGAGTTATACATATATGATAAGAAAATATAAGTTCATTAACTATGAAGATTTTAAATAATTTATAATGTTGTGTACTCAAACAGTGATTATACTATTGAATCGATCAATACGCCCTTTTATACAATAATTGTTTGGGAGATTAAGACAATTTTAATGTTTATTATACTTAATTACGATCAATTTTACTAATTAAGATTGATACTCATAAGAAACTTTGTTATTAAGAATTCTAAAGTTCATTTATTAGTTTGTATTGAATAAAACAGTTGAAATAACTGATCGTAATCATGATGGATGATCATTTTTCTTTCTCAGTACATTTCGAAAAAGCATGACAACTGATCTATCGTGTTAGTTTTTATTCGTCATTGCTCTTTCATTATGCTGTGTCGCTTATAAAATGATAACTATCTGTCAAATGAAGGAACAGAAAAAATATGACCTTTTTATATTAATGATGATATATTTCGAGAACATTTTTTGAAATGCATTATCGATCATCAAAATAAATGTAGATGATTGTGTTTTCTATTCGTCAAGGTTATTTGCTCTTATTTTTCATCCAAAACTTCGTAACTCAAAGGAGAGTCATATGAAAAAAGTAGATTGTATGTTGGTTTGTGGCTGTCAAGATCGAAGCTCAAGGTTTATTGAAATATTCAAAACTCAAAGATGTTTTCCAATGAGGTCTTCAGGATTAATGCTGGGTAGATGGTGCTGCACGAAGTCAAAGGTCAAAAAACATTTTTTCGAAAAATGCCCAAAAATTCGAAGTATATCGGTCGAGATCGTTTAAAAAAATCAAGAGGCTATAGCTGGGAAGAGATTAAAGATCAGAACACCACTTTTCCCAAAAATCTTCAGTAATCGGAAATTGCCACTTTGGGTAGCTTCAAAGATAAAAAAAGATCGTCTATAGTGTGGTCAAGAGTCTATATGAAGGAAACAGCTGCCCATGTAAGAAAGTTTTAGCTTTCAAGAACTTTAGAGTGTAATATGCAGATACTCTTGGTTCTTATATCCTAGACTAATAGAAACACCTTTGGGTGTTTATATACTATGCAAGCGATTATATCTCCACGTGATAAATCTAGACGGCGATGTGTCCCTTTAATAAAAATTAACCGTAGGCTGAATGATTGGGAAGCTTCGGAGCGACTTGTCGGGAGTAGTGCTCCATGGGAGAATGCCGAGGAATGACTAGCCGCTTTCAGTGACAAGCGACACATGTTTTTATATACGAATGATGTTTCAATGTTTGAAATCTTTTTAATAATATATTTTAACAGAAAAAGAACTTTGAACAAGTTTTTATTGTTAATATTTAATATCGTCAAATGTATTGATCGAAAAATTAAAATTTCCAAAAATGCATTGTTTAATACGAATAAATATGCATAGAAATAATGAAATCAATCTCGTAAGATTTTGATTACTTGAATAATTAATAAATCGAATACATTTTACAATTATTTTAATAGCAATAGTATTCCATAGAAGATCGACAATCAGCCAATTACCTTCACTCGAGTACGTATTGTTGTTTCTTACTTTATCAAATAATCGAGATGAGAATCAAGTGTCACATTCTTTAGTGATTAACTCCTCTATCTACAGTAAAGTAACTATTATTAGTCAATGTTTCGCTAATACTCGCTGTAGGCCTCTCCGGCGATTATAAAAATCTTTGCGTAAAACGCATAGAATCTATTTTAAATGATTCAACTAAACTACAATTGATTGTGTCATATTAAGTGTTTGTTATGCTTCTATTGACTTATTGGTAAAGAATATCACGATATTGAAGCCATAGCTTTACGAAAACATAGAAGAAGAAGAAAAAATCCATTATTCAATATCGATTTTCTCTCTTGTTCACAAATAGAATTCATTTGAGCAATTTTCATTAAACTAGATTAAAGTCATCATTCAATTTCAAAACATCTATTGAGTTAATTACTCGTACGTATACAACATATCAATTGTAATATAATATGCAAGATGATACAATCATCACTGAAATCTCTCTCACGTACTGAACTCTATAGAACAGGAGAGGATGCTGACATTTACACTTCGCTTTCCGACATTCATTGTCACCAGACACACAATGCAAATGGACATTCTTCATGTCAGATGAGATGAGATGAAATGTGTCCACTTTACACACAACTAATAATAGTATGAGAAGAATGATTCTACAGCTAATTTTCATACTTTGGTATTCATGGATAAGTGTACATTGTCGCTTCAATCTTCACGAGACATTACTGAGAGATTCGTTGGATTATGATTGTTTATATTATCATATACGAGATGAGAAATTGGCTTATCAACAGCTCTCGGATGTCGTTGATGAGATGATTGCCTATTGCTTTCGTCCGATGAATCTATCTGAAAAGTTGAATTTGGAATCAATTAATGATCGTGATGAAAATTTTACTTTTTATCAACTGAATATTGCAAATGTGACAAGTGAAGAATTGCTTTCCTGGTCTGCGTCGGTCGATGTCGTTGAACAATATGAATTTTATCTACTAAATCAACATAATTCATCTCTATCAACTGAAATCTTCTACAATTGTACAAAACCGTGGTTTGGTAATCGATGTCAATATTCATTTGATACGGTAGATGACGAATTGTCTGTGAATGAAATTGTTGAACGAGAGTTTTCTCGAAAACTTTCTTTATCTGATTCATCAGAAGTATTGACAATTTTACCATGTTATATTCATATGAAATGTGATCGTAGTGGTTCATCATTGTGCTTAGACTGGCGTGAAATATGCGACGGACGTATCGATTGTCTTAATGGAGGCATCGATGAGGCATTTTGTTTTGAAATGGAAAAGAACGAATGTACTGACGATGAATATCGTTGTCATAATGGTTTATGCATTCCGAAAGACTTCTGGGAAGATGGATTAGGTGAAGCCGAATGTCTTGATCGTTCCGACGAGCGTCCAGATGTATCTTATTTACGAAATTGTTATCAAGACCCACTATTTCATTGCGAAGAACATACCTGTCGGTCGAATTGGCATGAATTTTCATGTGGAGATGGACAATGCGTTCAAAAATTCGATCAATGTCATAGTGGTCGTCATATTTTATTAATCGAATCGATGACAAAACAAGGTGAGTTATCTACTCAATGTTGGATCGCCATGAGCTGTTTAACCGGACTTGTTACTCAAATCGAGGGCGTCTCTTGTCAAGATTGGCTAATCAATGATTCAGTAACAATCGAATCTCTAGGAACTTGTAAAGAAATCTTCCAATTTCCGACAGTTCCTGTTCACTTTGGTCACATTCGATTTCTGTATGAAAAGCCTTATTTAAAATTCAATCAAACATCGTTGATTTCACCTGATTATCTTTGTTACGATGAAAGATTATGTGATTGTTTCATTCCAACGTTGATTTATGAAAACTTCACTTGTATACGCAATAATGAAATGATCTTCCAATCAATTATATCAGGATATCCATGGATTGATGTGATCTTAGAATTAAATGTGCATTTTTCATCTTGTTTAAGTCAGTATCCATCGGTTGAAAACTATGAATATGAAAATTCAACTTATTCCTGTGAAAATTCTTCGAAATCAATATCAAAATCTCGTTTAATCGATGAAAACAAAGATTGTTGTTTTGGTGATGATGAAACGTATAGATTTAGTTGTTTATTAAACGATTCGTATCGAATCTCCTGTCCAAATGAAAACCAATGTTTATCATCATTAAATACCATCGAAGATTGTCCAAATTACGAAGATACCAACGAAAAACAAATCGCATTTCACAGTTTTTGTGATGGTTTTGAAGAATATTCCTTCGAAGATTTCCACGGACGAACCTTCACCGATGAATCACAATGTTCTTCATGGCCATGTAATAATCTTTACTCACGTTGTGATGGTTATTGGGCATGTTCAAACGGCGAAGATGAATACGATTGTCAAGATCATCCCCGATGTCCTTTCGGAACGCATCCCTGTATATCAATAACGAATTCTTCATTTATTTGTTTATCTTCTCAGCGAATTAATGATAATATTCACGATTGTCTTGGTGGATCAGATGAACCATCGTACTGTCGACAATTATATCCATTGAAAAGTGACTATGAACGTTTCCATTGTCAACAAAGTGATTTATGTTTGTCCGCCTTGGATTTATGTGATAAAGTTCGGTTGTGTCCATTTGGAGATGATGAAATCTTTTGTGATAAACAAAGATCGGTATGCGAAAGTGAAAATTTGATTGATCAAGTTTTATGTGAATCAAGCGAATTGAAACGACCGCGAACGATTTATTTTTCCATTCGGACTTCGAATGATTATCCACAAATGAAATCTTTTGTTGAAAATCAAATTATTCCTTCAATCAAACAAAAACAATCGTTTTCCAAATCACAACTTTCTTCACCATCATTTTGTAATCGAGGATTAACTGTTCGTATTTGGTTGGGTGAAAATCTTTATCAATATTCATGTCTTTGTCCACCGAGTTATTACGGTGATTTATGTCAATATCAAAATCAACGAATTAGTTTAACAATCGGAATGTTGTCCAGTGAAAAACGGTTGGTTTATACAATTTTAATACGATTATTCGATGAACAACGAAATCTTCATTCTCATGATCAATTTGATTACACACCAAGTCAAAGTTGTGGGATTAAATTCCAGCGTTATCTCCTGTATCCAACACGGCCGAAAGATCCGTCCAAGAATTATTTTCTACATCTTGATGTTTTCGAGAAAACGACAATGACTTATCGTGCAAGTTGGTTCTTATCAATTCCATTTCTTTTCTTACCTGTTAATCGTTTGTCTATTCAATTAAAGATTCCGTCATATTCATTACCGGTCTCATCAAATTGTACAGATCGATGCGTCCATGGTCAATGTATGAAATACGTCAATGCAGAGCAATTCTTCTGTCGATGTTCTTCAGGTTGGGCAGGTATTCGATGTGATATTCCAGTGATTTGTGATCTTTGTTCGAAAGATTCGATTTGTATTGAATCGATCTGTATTTGTCCTTTGACAAAATTCGGACCACGATGTCTTTTAACTTCATCGTGTAAAACAAATACTTGTGAGAATAATGGTCAATGTATTCCGGTGGATTTAAGCAAACGTGGAAATGATTTTACTTGTATTTGCTCGGAAGAATTCTTTGGAGATCGATGTCAAAATCGAAAAGCCAAATTGGAAATTCATATTGCAAATTTAGATATTCCATCGTATCTAATGGCATTTTTCTTAACGATTTCAAATCAATCGGAACCAACATTGACCATCATGTTACAAAAATTAACTCTTTTCCAACGAATTGTCACATTTCATATCTCAATGCCATATCATTTGGTTATTATTAAATTAAATTTCAAGTTTTATCTTGCCGTTCTTCAACAAATCGCTAAACTTGACATCTCCACATCGATTCATCCTCGTCAAGAATGTTTTCCCGTTGATCAGATTTTCAATTCAACGATCATGTCATTACCGCGTGCTCAACGAGTTAAATCTTATCATCTCTCCTGTGAATCCAATCATCAATTGACTTGTTTTCTTGATGAATATTATTTATGTTTGTGTACGATTGATCATCAAGCGAATTGTGTTCTTTTCGATCACGAGAAGAATCTTCAATGCTTATCATCCGAACAACACTGTAAAAACGATGCTTATTGCCTTCAAGATCATCCGAAATGTCCATCAGCGATTATCTGTGTTTGTCAAAAATGCTTCTTCGGAAATCAATGTCAATTCTACTCGAAAGGTTTTGGTTTAACGTTAGACGAAATTCTCGGATACGAAATTCAGCGAAACACAATGATTTTTCAGCAACCATTTCCAGTTAAATTCAGCGCGGTGATCACAATGATGATGTGTGCTGTGGGAATTATCAATGGTATATTTTCAATTTTAACATTTAAAAATCGCATTTCGCAAGAAGTCGGTTGTGGATTGTATCTTTTGACATCGTCGATTGCGAGTTTGTTAATTGTGATATTTTTTACAATGAAATTTTGGTTTCTTCTTCTTTCTCATGTGGATTTTGTTGGTCAATGGTTGATTCTTTATTTAAATTGTATGTTTATCGAACCTTTATTGAAGATTTGTCTTTATATTGATAATTGGCTGAATGGTTGTGTTGCGGTTGAACGCGCTTTTGCAGTTTGGAAAGGAATCTATTTTAGTAAGAAACAAAGCAAATCCGTGGCGAAATGGATTATTCTATTTGTCATTGGAATCAATGTTTGTCTTTTGATTCCTCAATTTTCGTATCTTCATTTGTTTACTGATGAGAAAGAACAACGAACGTGGTGTGTTGTTCGTTATTCATCAATTTTATACATTTACAATTCCTTTTTGATCTTTTTTCATTTCTTAACTCCATTCTTCATCAATTTCACTTCAGCATGTTTTATTATAATTCTCACCGCTCGTCAACGTGCCGCAACTCAATCTCATCAGATGTATTTCAAACAATTCAAACAGAAATTAAAGCAACACAAACATTTACTTATCAGTCCGATTATTTTGATTATTTTATCTTTACCTCGTTTGATCATTTCATTCACCTTAGATTGTCAAAAGTCATCGGAACATTTTTGGTTGTATCTCATCGGATATTTCGTCTCGTTTATCCCGTCGGTGTTTGTTTTCGTTGTTTTTGTTTTACCTTCAGCTGTGTTTCGAAAGACGTTCAAACAAGCGATTCTTCGTGGTCGAAGAAAAACACCTGTTTTTAAAATGAACTTTTATTGAAAAATAAACGTCAATAGTTCGAGTTTTTCGGCAAATAAACCAATCACTGTGATGCTGACACGATCAAACAAAGGTTCAGACAACAACTTTTTTCAAGTAAATCTTTGTTTCGTCATGCTAAGATTCACATCGACAAGTCAGTATCATCACTTACTTTGAACTCAATTCAACAACTGAAATAAAACTCTTATTCGAGATTAATTTTAGTTAATAAATTTAAAAAACAACACAACTTTGTTCACCGGAGCATAGATTATCATTTAGTATATAAAAATGATGAAAAACTCGGTAAAAGTAGATGATCTTCTCGTACAATGGAAATTATGTTGAATTATTTGAAATGTTCTGATCGTCATTGATTTCTTCAGCTGTTTTTAACCAACGAATAAATTCATTTGCATATTTATGAATATCAGTTTCAATTGTTTTCTGTACAATTCTATTCGATTCCTAAATTATAAAAAGTAATGTTCCAATGAGATTTTTTCATCTGTTGAATTCCTCATACCTTTTCATACCAATCATAAAAAACTTCTTCAGCCACAATATCCTTATCGTATAGTTTATAAAAGATATTTGAAATTTGTTTTTCATTTGACAATTTCTTATGCAAATCTTCATTTGAACAGATAACAATCGCGATTCCATCTAATAAAGCATATTGATCTTCATTATTTCTACATATTTCACGAAGTAATATTTCATATCGATCGATTTCTTTGAGAATTTCATTAGTAAATAAATTTGTTGCAATATAAAATGGAATTTTGATTCCAATGTTTGCTCTTTTCGATTGATAAATCAATTCTTCAATAGAATTCAAATCATTTAATTGTTTTAACAATTTTTTCTTCTAAAAATCTTTGAAAATATCAAAATAAAATTCTTTTTCAATTTGAACCAACCTGAAACAAAGAACGGAATTTTTCATAATCTTCATCGAAGAAATCATCATCGATTGTCGAATTGTCTTGTTGAGAAAAACACTTTTCTTGTTCATTTGTATTTGAATCATATTGATTATTTTTATTTTCGTGGATTTTCGATGGATTTCGTAAAATAAATTTCACTAATTTATGATCTTCGGAATTCGTTTTCGATTGATTTCCACATGCATAACAACGTTGACATATTTTATCATTCTTACAACTCTAAACAACTCGTTTTTCTATAATTATGAAACTGAAAAATTTGTTTTTACTAATTCAGTTTCGGGATTTTCACAAGATCGACATAGAACAAATTGAATAATAAAGTTATTTAATAAATCTTGTAATTTTCCTTGATGATATTCACCATTAAGCATATAGAAATTGGATTTTTCATCAAATTCCATTGATGTACTTAATTCAAATGAAAAATATTTTGTTATATCTAAGTATTCAGAAGATTATCTCATTAGATCAATTGAAAATAATCATATTTACACAATGGTGAACGATGCAACGATTTCGCCACATTTGTTATATTAATCAAAATTGTTTTCGAATGATTTGATCGATTCATCACCTACAGGAAAGAATTCTTGAGAAATATTTGAAGTTCAATTGAAAATATACCTGAACAACAAGCTTTGGCATCATATATCGATCGAATGAATCGATAATTTTACGATTTATGTTTATCATTGCCATTTTGTCTCATATAAATCCGGATCTTCAATCAAATTAAGTTGAATTATGTAGATAAACAACAACTATAGTAATCAATGTGTTTATTATGAATGAAATATTGAACAAATTTACCTTTGTCGAAAGCATTCAATATACGATCGCTTTGGTTATGTGAAATATCTTCGAAATACATCAATATAAATATAATTTTGAAACAAATACGAATGATGTCATTATTGTGTTTATATGCATCATCATAGTAAAGACAAATTGTGCAACAACAGAACAGGAAAAAAAAACAATTGCAACGAGTCAAATATTTTAGGTGGATTTGTGAGGGAAAAAACATATTCTCACTAGAGAAATATGTGCAATCGTTTTCGTCGTCGTCGTCGTGAAAAAATGTCATTCGATCGATGAGCAAGATAATAGATATGATTTGAGTCAACATCTGCATCTCTTAGTGCAATTGTGATCGACTGGGTGTTTTCTTTCGAAATGATACTATTTCATGAGATATTTATCATAAGTGAAAAGAAAAACAAGAATCTGGTGAATATCGAGGCCAAAGGAGGAGTGGAACCTGAATGAGCAGTTATCGACTTCTGATAAGGAAAAAACCAATCGAATATAGAAAACAAACTAATGAAAAGAGAAAAAACCCAGTACATAGGAGTCGTACCATGTACTATATAAGGAAGGATGTTATTGCAATGCTATCAGTTAACGATTAACACACAGCGCAATCTTCTTCAGCATCTTTGTCATTCGCTCTTTTTCCTTCACGTATTTCATCTTATACTAAAGTAAGTTTAACACTCATACACGTTTGATGTTGTTAAGAATGTTACTGTTAATGATTGATTGATGATGTACAATATTATGAGCAAATACTTCTATTGCTTTTAGGAATGAGTCGTTCTGCAACTGAAAAAGATATTGATACATTGACAAGAACCGTTTGGGGCGAAGCACGTGGAGAACCGGATGAAGGCAAAGCTGCTGTAGCTCACGTCGTTATCAATCGTGCAAAATCTGGTAATGCGTATGGTGAAGGTATCGAAGGTGTATGCCGAAAAGATCAACAATTCTCTTGTTGGAATAAAGACGACGTGAATCGTGGGCAAATAGACAAATTAGATACCAATAATCAAGAATATAAAAAAAATCGCAGAATTGTCGAAGAAGTACTTAATGGGACAAGGCCTGATAACACCAAAGGCTCGACACACTACCATCGTACCGATACTCCCCATAATTGGGCAAGCGGGAAAAGACCAGCGGCTGAACATGGTGCACATTCTTTTTACAACAACATTGACTAAAGGAAATCTCTTTTTATTGTGTTAATGTTAAACTTAAAATAATATTTAATCCAGAAGGAAATTTGAAACAATAAAATACTCCAGACACGAAAATAAATCAAGTTTGAATCGCATGTTCAACTCCTTTCAATCCAAATTGTGGAGAGTTTGTAAATGACAAGATTCCATGAAATAGATAATTTTTAACTTCTGAGATCGTTTATTTAAATGATTATTTCGCACATAAACGAAACTGAAAGGGGAGAAACGAGTGTAACATCACGAAACAAAATATCATATGAAACCTTCTGGACGGAAAAACGATTGGAAAAATATTACTGGATTTTTCCAATCGTTTTTCCGTCCAGAAGGTTTCATATGATATTTTGTTTCGTGGTGCTAGCTTCATACTGGTATGAAATGTATTCCATGCGATTGATTCGCGCAAAGACTGATTAGTGTGAGAAACATCGATTTAAATTTGTCACACGACATCAATGTTTGCACCGAAAAGTCAGTTTTCAATCCTTGGACAACAACTATCAGACAAAATGTTCATGAAGGACTAACGTATTTCCAATAAGAGTCACTTGCAGCAAATATTTCGTGATTTTCTTTCCATGCATAAGCAATTTTCGATTTGTCATTAAAAGTCTACACGCATCTTGTATTTAAAACAAGGTTTTATCGCGAACTAAGACTTGATTTTTCACGTCTGTATGAAATCAGTTATGATAATTGAATCAAGATGAACAGTTTGAACGAAGATTACTAACGGTCCTATGGTCTAGCGGTTAGGACATTGGACTCTGAATCCAGGAGCCCCAGTTCAAATCTGGGTAGGACCTTTTTTTTCTTTCTCTCAATCGACACGAACGGACAATATTCTTTTCTTCTCCTTTCTGTCATTTGGTACATTGTGACCCATTCTATATAATATAGAAGTTCGAGAAGAAAAAAACATACACGTTTCTTTTTCGTTTCGATCTTAATCATGAAAGTCTTTGTACATGTGTGATTTCATTTTGTTATTTGAATTTTGGCCTCGCAGTTCGAACTACGCCGTTTATCTATTCTTTAAATGGCGAAGTTAGATAAAGATTTGTTGATATTCGTTTATTAGAAGCCATTCGCCTTTGGAATGATATGGCTTCAAAAAGAAGAGAAAAAAAACAGATTTGCTTTCTTGTTCTTCATCATGTGACTGACGAACGAGACAAAAGATAAAAATAGATTTCGCCTATCATCATATTAATATCGAAGAAAAATATGTTTTTACTTTCATTTAGATCATCATGAACAATGAAAATGTGAGAAAAATCTTTTCACTTCTTCGAACACAACTTCAATTAAAAGAAAACGAATTTCTTTATTTACAACGAAATGATCCTGATCTACTTCCACCCGATGGCGAACAAATCCAATTCATAATCGATACAATCGCTTCTCTTCAACTTTCCACCGAAGATGGTCTATTCATCTGTTCATCATCCAACTCTTTTCATCATCACCCAATACCCTCGACACCTCTTTGCTCAATCGATTTCAACACAATAAAGAATCTTCCAAAAGATGTTTGGCTTTCCCAGTCCTCTTCGAAAACAAATCCAGTGAATCAACAACGATTATCATTGTCAGTCAATTCTAAAACATCACGTCCTCAAATTCCAATAAATAATCATTTATTATTTATGCCACTCACCGCGTTTAAACCAACATCAGTAGATTTGACAATTAATTCAATCGATAGTCTTTTAGAAAGTCAATCGATTTACTCGAAAGAATTTTGGTTAAACAAAAAATAAGAATCTTTCCTCGAGATTAACTTGATCAATAAGCTTTTTTTTCATCGAATTCTGTGTTTTTTTACTGTTCCAATCCGATTTACAATATTAACGAATGTTTTCGATCAACAAAGGAAAATATTTAAAATAACACATTTTTTAATCATCACGTTCTTGAAGATTTTAATAGATTGACGTGCCGTATAGAAAATCGTCTTCTTTTTTTGAGTACATGATTACAATTGGCCAATGTGTCTTTCGTTTTCTCAATAACTACTGAAAGAAGGTTCAGATGATGATGCTATGTCTTTTGTTTTATCAATATTTCAAACTAATGATTATATTTTATTTAATGAATAAAAAATATTTCGGTTGATAATTAAGGTTTTGCAACAATAGAGTTACGTGTCGATGCAATTTCTTGTACTTCGAGTTCTACTTCGTTGTTTTCATCGGTCGATGGTTTAATACGTGTTCGGGAGAGGATTTTTCGTTCCAAGAAACGAAATAACGGGACAAAGATAAGTTTGAACACCAAAAATGTTAAACAAAACATTTCCAACGAGAGACTCATGAAAAGAATTGTATGAAAATTCGCTTCACCTTTTCGCGTTATCGGTTCTTGAACATTTTCCACATAGAAATGATTTTCATCCAACGCAACTTTCAAAACCGTGTCTACACTTAAGTATCGATGATATTCTCCTCGTCGTTCGTACAACTTCTGATCTGATAATTCCGAACCGATATACGTCACTTGCCAAATTCCGACCGATTTCGTTGGTTCACCATGAACTAAATTCTCCGTTCGATTGATCACCTACAAAGACAAACAAATGTCATTAGGATTGTCAAACTTCTCTCCTTTACCTTTGTAATGAGAAGAGTTATTTCCGGTGCCGACCCAATCGTGTGATTTTTATCTTCTATCCATTTACAAAAGTTCAAATCTCGTAAAGTATTCATTCCATCATCCGTTCTATTTCCTGTCGCGACCAAACAAATATACAATCCACCAATTGGTGCAAAATGTTCAATTGTATATTGAAATGTAACTTGATGCGATAATGGAATCGATGTATGAATAATTTGTGAAGTATTCATTTGTGTACATTCCATTGGACTTATTGGTTCATGAAGATTTTCTCCTGTACCTTCTAGAATACTCAATAAACTGCAATCAAAATTTGTATTTACAAATGAAACGATCAATGTAAAAGATTGACTGTTTAACATATCAAACATAACTTGATCTTCGGTCGAATGAATCGTTGTTAAAAGTTTTAAGCGACTGTCGAATTTGGAATTTCGAAGAGTTTTGTCACATATAATTCGAGATTCATTTGATTCCTCGATTGGATAAAGACGATGGAACTCATTGGTAAATAAAAATGCGAATATCAGAAGAACAAGTAGAGAAAATGACATTAAACCTCCAATCCAAAATTCTCCTTCGCCAATAAAGTCCGTTTGCCGAAAGATTTCTTTGATCATGGTTCGATGTCGATGACTTTGAGGAAAGAATTTCAAGATTCCGATTACGAAAAGTATAATCAGAACTATCGATAAAACAATCAGTGCCCAGAATAACGGTGAAATCACAATACAACGAGAAGAACTTCCCAGTAGAAACATATTTGTCAAGAGAATGTCTTCGAATTGGGTGGAATCCGGTGACTGAGGATAACTTAATTCATTACAGATATCGATCATGTCTGTTAGATTAATATCAGCAACTGATCCAATGGGACAGAATGATGATGAATGACATGAAGTACAGCTTGTCGCATTTCCGTCGCTTTTTGTTTGACTTGGACAAATCCGACATGAAAGAAAATGATCTTCGTTCTTGAACATTCCTGGCCAACATGGTGTGGCATACTGTTCTTTATGTCGTCGATCTTTTAATCCAATCCATACCCATGGATTGTCGAACCAACTATAAGAGAGAGGATTCGCGTACGAACCTACAGGTGTCGAGAGAAGAATGAGGACCTTTTGTGTATCCATTAGAATAATCAAGGAATTCCATTGTGACCATGAAGAAATGAGAATAAACGCTGGATTTTTATAATTCCATGTGTCCAATTCTTGTTGATTATTTGGGAAAATATACTCTGGCCAGTTGTTTTCAATCGAATTTGTATCATAGATTTGTATTTGTGATTGAGACCAAACAGCAGTTGATCTTAAATGAGCAAGAGCTGCTATGCGATGTCCATCCTCAAGCCAACAAACCGAATTGGTCTCTTCATTATTTTCATATTTATGTTTATGCACCAGATTAACACGATCGAACATATAAATATCAAGACTTTTATTCGCTGAATTACCAATAACTATTAGATTGTCATTGATATCGACAGATAATTTCGGTCCCGGATGATATTCGCTGAAATGATAACCAATATGATGAAGCTCACGACAATCCGTAATGATTAATGAGTAATTGGCTGGATTGACACTCCATAAACAAACCGTTGCATACATCAACGAAGTTGACGAGTTTTGGTCTTTCAGATATCCAACCGCGATGATTTGTTCGGCAGTTCTTGTTAAACTCAAATCCGACGGTGTGAAATCTAGACTTCCTGTTCTTGGTTGAACTTCACGAATCATATCTAATTGTAAATCATAGACATACACAGAATTATAATCAAATCCGTAAGCCACGGATCCATCAGAAGTCAATTGAAAAACAAGTGAATCCGTATGTAAATGATGTTGAGTACTGAGATTATATTTGCATTTGTGAGAAGTGATGAAGGAATAATAGATTGTTCGGAGAAAATATTTTTCGATATCCTCATCAAAACCCCAATAGATAAACCATTGTTCAGTTGAATTTTGTTCTTTACCAATGGATAGTCCACATAGAATTGGATCAGTAAATGGTATCTCGCATCGACTTCCATTATGTTCGGATTGTGTTGTGATGTAAAATTTTGATGTCAGGCGATTCCCGAAGACGATTGTATCCATACTCGAACTTAATAATGACAAGTACGGACAATCATCAGTATTAAAGTCATCGTTGTATGAAAACGACACATTGCAAATCAAGAATATTAACACTGGAGTTAGAAGATGCATATCGCAAAGGAAAATTCTGACTGAAAATATTTTCATCTCAATGAGATTTATCTTTTATATATATTTAGTTCAAATAGTCAATATTAGTCTTTCATTCATACATAAATGAGGCATGAATATTTAATTCTCTATGTTTTGATTGACGTCAGAGAATGTTAGATTTTCTCTGAAAATGTCTATTCTTGTTTGAAATTTCAGTAACCTCCTTGATCTTTGAAAACATTTTCGATATCTTCATTTCGAGGATTGGCTTTTGGTAACCATTGCGGTTTGTTGGTTTCTAACCAAGACCAAATGGCATCGGAAACTGCAGCATGACCGAATTGGTTCAAATGAAAACCATCAACACCTTCGATCAGTTGCCAACCTTCTCCGCCTTGTTCAATCCACTTTTGAAAAACTTCACTAAATGGATATTCAAAGTAATCAATATCATAATTTTTCGGTGTGAAACTAAATGAAGCATTCCGTACGGCTTCCGATAATTCCACGGCGCGCTGTGTTGTTAACGTTCGAAGTGTATCATTCGATGTTAACCATCCATTGCACGGTGAGATTTGTAAACATGACAAATAGGAATAAACATCGGTATAAGTTATCGGTGGACCAACCCGTCCGAACGGATGAATTCGATCATGTAAATATTCATAAAAATGACTACCATTAATAAGACCAGCTGTAAGAACATGACTACCTTTAGGTAAAACTGTGTCCAAATACATCAATGCTGTTCGGACATTTGTATACATTTCATCATATTTTGTCATATGATCAATTGTATCGGGATGTCCATTACAAACATCATTGCCAACAACGGCATAGAGAACAAGCAATGATACGTCACGTTTCGGGTCACGTGTCAAAGTTTTAACAATATCGATCATTGCACCTGTACGAGCACCATTGACGGCAATATTCTGATAATCACGATGATTGCAATGATCTAAACTGAACAAACGACTGTACAATGAACGAGTGGGTCCTAAAAAACATAAATCGGCATGTGAAAGATGAATTCGAAGAGATTGATAAACGCTACCTTGAATATTTGGCCAACTGATGTTCAAATGACCTGTACTTGTAGATAATTGTGGCCAATCAAATTCATTTTCAATAATAAACCACATGTGTTCAAAGACAGCAGAAGAAAATTGCCGTGCATCAAGCCATTGTTCCGGAATGTGAAAATGAGCAGAAAGTGAATCACCTAAAACTGCAATACCAATACGTTCAGTGTCATTGCACAAATCTTCTTCCCATGATCTTCCTGTCGCTGAATTTAACCCAAAAATACCGTTACAATTATGGTCAATAGGTACATCACCATTGACTATACGAGATCCTGGTCGAATTCTCGATGACATATCATTACAATCTTTTCCACGCCATGAACTTCCACGCATTGTTGGTTCACTACTAAATCGATCACCGTCAAGGTCAACTAATGGTAAATGATTATTGAAAACTTTATTCAAGAGATCACAAATCTCCTTCAGTCCTGGTAAATCGCATATCGATGCTTTAGAATCAGCCCTTCCATGTGACCTTGACGACTTTCGTTTCGGAAATAATCGACATTCCGACTGGCCGGGATCGTTTCTACAGAACTTCAGCGTATGACAAACATCATCAGGAGATTCTTTCCTAACGAGACCATCAATGATAATTGGACCTAAGTATTCAATGGCAATCCGACAGTATCCTTTAATTTCCACTGGCATATAATTACACAACCTTTCCAACGACGAAACAATACTTTCATTGTAAACTGTGGCAAGTTTCTCCACCAGACCGACAAAAACTGTGCACGTGGCACAATCCACTCCACCATTTACACTGCTCAAATCTGCATTCACCACACAAAATAAGCCGATAAATAAGACAATTGTACTCGTTTTTCTCATTGTTAAATGACAAAGTAGATGAATCTCATATGTCGTGTGTCCTCTGAGAACAATAACATATGCTTTTCTTTATTAAAGATAACATCAATTTCTTATTTATTCAACAAAACGAAGTTTATTTTGTAAATTCTCAAGTAGTATTTGTTTATAATTGTCATACTGTTGTCGAATGGTATTCTCATAAACTAATCGATCATCGTCAAGTAGAGAATACAGTAGAGATAATTGTGCCTGATTAAACAAAGGTAAACAGTGCAAGAATGAATCAAAATCGACATTTAATAATGAAATATCAACTTCTCGTTGAGGACTTTCTCCTGAACATGCCAAACAAGGCGTCGAGCATGGTAAATCCACAAGAAATTGCTTTGTCGACTTCCGTTGTCCATATAACCAATATGAAAAGTAATGATCGACTGCTTTTGGAAGTACCGAATGTTTAATACCAAACATAATTCCCGGAGTTATCTTCGTACGCACAAGACGATAATCTGTTGCTTGCATTTCTCTTCCTCACGATGAATAAGTTCATCCTTTTATATCTTCCGATGTGTTTAATTGATTTAATCATTTGACATGGATATGTAATGAATGATAAAGAAGAAAAAAATCGATTATTTCTCATCATTGACAAAATGAACAAGGACAACATGCTGTTGAGAAATTCTTTTCTTTTTTCCCTTCAATAACATTTGGATTCTTTCAGAGAATCAAACATGTTTATTATTAGCAGAATAAAAAAGCATTCCTGATTGATTTCTTAGAGGAGAAAGAAAGAAAAGCTGTAGATTGACTATTAATAGTGTTGTTGTTTGTTAGTTTGATCAGACAAACATATTCTACTGTGTTTTTTCTTCTTCTGTATTGTTATCAGTTGGCACGAAGAAACAGAACACAATGAAAAACAAAAACGACGACTCGACGTACACACAAACACTTTTTTACTCTTATTTTTCCTCAAATTCATGTAATCGAGTTTCACAAATTTGTTTCTTAATTGGTTGAGTCTTTTTCTCTATCAACAGAATGATGACCTTCTCGTTTTTCCCTTATATAAATGTCTATTAGCTCGTCTTATTGAACAACTATCGAATTAATGATGACGTAACAGCACGACACTCGCGTTTTCCTATGGCAAAGGCGAGAAAGGATATGTCTGCAAGAGATAAGGTAAAAAAATCGATTTCTCGTTAATAGAACTTCGACGAATTGATTTGATTAACTAGAAAGAGAAGATATTTTTCTTCCTGATAGTTTGTCATTTTTTATCGAAAAGACGACAAATCTATCCGTTTCTTCGATTCCCATTAGTTGACACATTTGTATACATAAACAATCCGGTCGTGTAGAAGAAATGTCATATCGAATCGTCGCCTACTCTCCGACAATCTTTCGCCAATGATGTGAGAAATATTGTAATTTCTACCTGAAAAATAGTCAGATTAGAAGAGAATATTGAGGATTAGCTATTGTTACAAAAGATAGAATAACACAACGAGTTATATTTGAGCCTTGAAAGTAACCTTGATTCGTCTGTTTTCACAGAAGATAATAGAAGCTTGGAGATTTATTCGACAATTGTAGAGCGAGTTGTTCGACTCATATTACAAAAGAAGATACTTTATGTATTTGTGTATGTTAACAAACAAATGATTCTTTTTTGAGAGTTTTTTTCTTTTTGTAAACAGAAAGAGAAGAGTCTGAAATGTTTTTATTGAGAAAAATAATCCATTAGTTTTAACCTTCACAGAAATATTAAATATATGACGAAGACAATTTGATTGGCAAAATGTCTAATCGATCGAGATTTTCCTCTTTTTCTCGCATTGATTGAGAACATTCAATATGATGTAACATTGTCATATTTTAGAATGAATTGTCTATTTCTTTTCGTTATTTTTCCATTGGTTTCTGCTTCGACAAATTGTTCAATATTTCCATTATTAAATTGTTCATGTTTTCGATCGAGTATTGATTTACCAACAGCAACTTATTCGCATTTAGTTTGTCAAGGAAATTCTTTAAATGAACAAACTTTTCGAGAACCATTCGGGGAGGATTTTGTACATCAAAATCAATTTCGGACAATTTCGTTGGAATTTCTCACAGATGAACATGTGGAAATTCAATCAAATCAGTTCGATCCATTGGCAAAATTATTCTCTCGTACAAATTCTGCTGCTCAAATCGAAATCTTTCTTCGATTCAATGGGTTTTCTCAAATAACATTTCATGAATATTCATTAACTTCGAATATTTTTCAAGAAAAACATGTAAATCAACATTTGGATATTCATTTAATTCCAGGAAGAATCAATTCAACCGAAGTAATTCTCATTTTCTTGATAAATATCCATTTCATTCGTTTCATTTCAGTTCTACACGAATTCCGATGAGCAATTTATCTTCTCTCGAAATTGTTTTTCTGGTTTAACTGTTTCTCAATTAAATCTTTACATTTATTCAATTCAAGATCATTTTCCTTCCTCATCTTCATTCGAACAAATTTTCAATAACACAAATCTTGGCGAATTACATATTCACGGTTCGATTATCCCTCCAAACATTTCTCCGACGAATGATACATTTCAAAGTCTGATTAAATCATTAACTTTACATCGATATGTTGATACTATCGATTCGAATTCTTTTCCATTCTATCCTCACGTTCTTTCCTATACAATTCATTCAATCGAAGCTCATTCAATGAATTTAAGTACATTTCTTCCAACTTACATAAATCTACGTGGATTAGAAATACTTAAACCAAAATTTGAAGTTCTAATCAATCATTTCATTCCAACTTTAGATCTTGTATCGTTAAATATTGAGCACGTTACTGATCAAACTCTTCTCGCAGCTCGACATATTCGATATTTGAAGTTTGGCTCACGTTTACGTTCGATTGATCCTTCAATATTCGCTTCATTCTCTCGTCGATTGTATCAATTAGATTTATCAGCAATTGATTTATCTCAGATGACAATCGAGTCTCGTTGTCATCTTTTGACATATTTCTCAAATAATTCTCAATCACAATTGAATATTCTCTATCCGCAGTTTGATAATTCCACCGAATGTAATTGCGATCGAATTTTTATCGATCATCTTCGATCGGATTGGACACTCGAAGGCTCAACATGTTCAAAATTGTGCAGTTTTAGCGATTGTCAAGTTGTCAGCGAATATTTTCAAGAAAAATCGCCATTGATTGTTGAAGAAAACGAACAAATCTTTATTTTGAATGAAACAATTCATGAGACAAACATCACCGACGAACAATTCGCTGCAGTTGATCTATTTGCTGATGATGTCGATGTTGATATGATGAGTTTCCTTATTAATCAAACAAGTGAGCAGGAAAGAAACGAGACTCGAAGGTAAATTCAACAAAAAGCAAAACTCTTCTAAAAATCTCTCGAATTTAGACGACCAACAACAACAACGATATCCGTAATCGAAGATATTCAAGAATATGACGATCGAGTTTTCTTTTCTACACCGAAAATCTTCGATTCATCCGACGAAGAATTTTACCGCCGTCCCACATTTTCATGGTTGTCGTTCTTTATTGGCGTCAGTGTTGTCTTTTTCTTATTTATTTTCGGTAGTATTGTTATATTTTTGATAGTTCAATTTCGAAAGAAACATAATTTTAAGCCTGTACCGCTCTACGTTTAGATGAACAGATTTTCAATTTTCATAATAAAAACTTTTTTTTTTGCCACAGGCATTAGAAAAACAAACTACCAGTACGTCGAATCAACACAAATGAAAAATCCCAATGCAACTTTTGTATAATCAACGTATTCTCAAGAGATCACAACGTTCTTTCGAATGAAACAGGAGTTTATCAGGATCGAAGACTCCAAGGATTTCATAGAAAGTGCCTCATAAAGGAAAACACTGCTGTTGGGCAATAAGTTGCATTGAATATCAATTATTTCTTGAAGAAATATCTATTCTTAGTTTGATGGATTAAATAAATATTAAAGATCGATTTTACAGAATATAATTGAAGTAAATCGGTACTTTCATTAGAGATAACCTTTGATATTTTCTTAATTATGATATGTCAAGCAAATGAGATGGAATTTGCACATTTGTTTCGATATATGATATTCCTCTAACTGATTGAGGTACGCATCGAGTATCTATTAGAGGGTTGAAAGTACCATATTAACTCCGATAGATTCGCGATCCATTGGGAGAGAGTACTATCATTATCTGTCGAATCATCGATGGGCTTTTTAAGAACGAGAAACAACACTTTCCTCTATCGATCATCATGCGAAGAAGACAATATACATATCTAAATCATTCCACATAGATTCATATGAATCGATTATCGTTGGAAAAATGAACAAATAAGTCGTCTCTCGAACTATAGATTTGTTCGAAGCTTATCGAACGAACCGCTTCTTGATAACAAAATTAATCACATTGAGGAAAAATCCTTCGTCTTTTCCTTATTTGATTAATATAAATTTCGAAGTTAGATGATTAATCTCTTCATAACTCTTAATGATAGAAAACAATTTCTTATTGTGGATTCTGTTTTTAGGCACATTCTCAGTTTTTTCTTCCTTCTTCTTCATCTTTTACTATAGAGACCAGCACTGACATTCGATATTAGTCGATTCGTATTGTTTTGTCGTTTATTCATTCATTCATTCATTCAACTCGGTTGCAGCATGTCTTTCTTTTTCTTCTTCTTCTTCTTCTTCTTCCACGTCAAAGCAAAAGAATGCGTAGGACAACAATATATGAGTGAAGACAGTCAAAGAAAATGACACTCGTCCGTCTGAAAACAAGTAAAAATGAATAACAATTCTATACAAACATGTCGTTGTTCGTCAGAAGAGAATATTCAGTTAGACATAAATGCTCTTCCAGTTACGATAAATCTCGAACATCATCAGAAGAAATCCTCTCATCCAATGTTAACACGAAAGACATTAACTGAACATCGTTTGATGAGATGGTGTGCATTAATTCTTTCGTTAAGTTCATTGATTATCNTCGATTTCTCGTTAATAGAACTTCGACGAATTGATTTGATTAACTAGAAAGAGAAGATATTTTTCTTCCTGATAGTTTGTCATTTTTTATCGAAAAGACGACAAATCTATCCGTTTCTTCGATTCCCATTAGTTGACACATTTGTATACATAAACAATCCGGTCGTGTAGAAGAAATGTCATATCGAATCGTCGCCTACTCTCAGACAATCTTTCGGCAATGATGTGAGAAATATTGTAATTTATACCTGAAAAATAGTCAGATTAGAAGAGAATACTGAGGATTAGGTATTGTTACAAAAGATAGAATAACACAACGAGTTATATTTGAGCCTTGAAAAAATAACCTTGATTCGTCTGTTTTCATAGAATAGTATTCATATAGAAGATAATAAAAGCTTGGAGATTTATTCGACAATTGTAGAGCGAGTTGTTCGACTCATATTACAAAAGAAGATACTTTATGTATTTGTGTATGTTAACAAACAAATCATTTTTGAGAGTTTTCTTTTTTGTAAACAGAAAGAGAAGAGTCTGAAATGTTTTCATTGAGAAAAATAATCCATTAGTTTTAACCTTCACAGAAATATAAAATATATGACGAAGACAATTTGATTTGCAAAACGTCTAATCGATCGGGATTTTCTCTTTTTCTCCGCATTGACTGAGAACATTCGATATGATGTAACATTGTCATATTTTAGAATGAATTGTCTACTTCTTTTCTTTATCTTTCCGTTGGTTTCTGCTTCGACAAATTGTTCAATATTTCCATTATTAAATTGTTCATGTTTTCGATCGAGTACTGATTTACCAACAGCAACTTATTCGCATTTAGTTTGTCAAGGAAATTCTTTAAATGAACAAACTTTTCGAGAACCGTTCGGCGAGGATTTTGCGCATCAAAATCACTTTCGGACAATTTCGTTGGAATTTCTCACAGATGAACATCTGGAAATTCAACCGAATCAGTTCGATCCATTAGCAAAATTATTCTCTCGTACAAATTCTGCTGCTCAAATCGAAATCTTTCTTCGATTCAATGGGTTTTCTCAAATAACATTTCATGAATATTCATTAACTTCGAATATTTTTCAAGAAAAACATGTAAATCAACATTTGGATATTCATTTAATTCCAGGAAGAGTCAATTCAACCGAAGTAATTCTCATTTTCTTGATAAATATCCATTTCATTCGTTTCATTTCAGCTCTACACGAATTCCGATGAGCAACTCACCTTCTCTCGAAATTGTTTTTCTGGTTTAACTGTTTCACAACTGAATATTTACATTTATTCAATTCAAGATCATTTTCCTTCCTCATCTTCATTCGAACAAATTTTCAACAACACAAATCTCGGCGAATTACATATTCACGGTTCGATTATCCCCCCAAACGTTTCTCCGACGAACGATACATTTCAAAGTCTGATTAAATCGTTAACTTTACATCGATATGTTGATACTATCGATTCGAATTCGTTTCCGTTCTATCCTCACGTTCTTTCCTATACAATTCATTCGATCGAAGCTCATTCGATGAATTTAAGTACATTTCTTCCAACTTACACAAATCTACGTGGATTAGAAATACTCAAACCAAAATTTGAAGTTTTAATCAATCATTTCATTCCAACTTTAGATCTCGTATCGTTAAATATCGAACACGTCACTGATAAAACTCTTCTCGCAGCTCGACATATTCGATATTTGAAGTTTGGCTCACGCTTACGTTCGATCGATCCTTCAATATTCTCTTCGTTCTCTCGTCGATTGTATCAATTAGATTTATCAACAATTGATTTATCTCAGATGACAATCGAGTCTCGTTGTCATCTTTTGACATATTTCTCAAACAATTCTCAATCACAATTGAATATTCTCTATCCGCAGTTCGACAATTCCACCGAATGTAATTGCGATCGACTTTTTATCGACCATCTTCGATCGGATGTGACACTTGAAGGTTCGACATGTTCAAAATTGTGCACTTTTAGCGATTGTCAAGTTGTCAGCGAATATTTTCAAGAAAAATCGCCGGTGATTGTTGAAGAAAACGAACAAATCTTTATTTTGAATGAAACAATTCAGGAGAAAAACATCACCGACGAACAATTCGCTGCAGTTGATCTGTTTGCCGATGATGTCGACGTTGATATGATGAGTTTCCTTATTAATCAAACAAGTGAACAGGAAAGAAACGAGACCCGAAGGTAAATCCAACAAAGAAAAAACTCCTCTAAAAATCTCTCTCGAATTTAGACGACCAACAACAACAACGATATCCGTAATCGAAGATATTCAAGAATATGACGATCGAGTTTTCTTTTCTACACCGAAAATCATCGACTCATCCGACGAAGAATTCTACCGCCGTCCCACATTTTCATGGTTGTCGTTCTTTATCGGCGTCGGTGTTGTCTTTTTCTTATTTATTTTCGTCAGTGTTGTTATATTTTTCACAGTTCAATTTCGAAAGAAACATAATTTTAAGCCTGTACCGCTGTACGTTTAGACGAACAGATTTTCAATTTTCATAATAAAACATGGTTTTTTTTGCCACAGGCATTAGAAAAACAAACTACCAGTACGTAGAATCAACTCAAATGAAAAAGCCCAATGCAGCTTTTGTATAATCAACGTACTCTCAAGAGACCACAGCGTTCTTTCGAATAAAACAGGAGTTTATCAGGAGCGAAGACTCCAAGGGTTTCATAGAAGGTGTCTCATAAAGGAAAACACTGCCGAAGGCCATAAGTTGCATTGAATATCAATTATTCCTTGAAGAAATATCTATTCTTAGTTTCATGGATTAAATAAATGTTAAAGATCGATTTGACAGAATATAATTGAAGTAAATCGGCATTTTCATTAGAGATAACCTTTGATATTTTCTTAATTATGATATGTCAAGCAAATGAGATCGGATTTGCGCATTTGTTTCGATATATGATGTTCCTCTAACTGATTGAGGTGCGCATCAAGTATCTATTAGAGGGTTGAAAATACCATAATAACTCCGATAGATTGGCGATCCATTGGGAGAGAGTACCATCATTATCTGTCGAATCATCGATGGGTCTTTTTTGAGAACGAGAAACAACACTTTCCCCTAACAATCATCGTGCGAAGAAGATATACACATAAATCATTCCGCATAAATTCATATGAATTTATTATTATTGGAAAAATGAACAAATAAGTCTTCTCTCGATTCGAAGCTTATCGAAAGAACCGCTTCTTAATGACAAAACTAATCACATTGAGGAAAAATCCTTCGTCTTTTCCTGATTTGATTAATATAAATTTCGAAGTTAGATGATTAATCTCTTTATAACTCTTAATGATAGAAAACAATTTCTTATTGTGGATTCTGCTTTTAGGCACATTCCCAGTTTTTTTTTTCTTTCTCCTTCCTCTTCGTTTACTACAGAGACCAGCACTGACATTCGATATTAGTCGATTCGTATTGTTTTGTCGTTTATTCATTCATTCAACTCGGTTGCAGCATGTCTTTCTTTTTCTTCTTCTTTTTCTTCTTCATCCACGTCAAAGCAAAAGAATGCGTAGGACAACAATATATGAGTGAAGACAGTCAAAGAAAATGAAACTCGTCCGTCTGAAAACAAGTAAAAATGAATAACAATCCTATACAAACATGTCGTTGTTCGTCAGAAGAGAATATTCAGTTAGTCACAAATGCTCTTCCAGTTACGATAAATCTCGAACATCATCAGAAGAAATCCTCTCATCCAATGTTAACACGAAAGACATTAACTGAACATCGTTTGATGAGATGGTGTGCATTAATTCTTTCGTTAAGTTCATTGATTATCATTTGGCGTTATGTCACCATTTTAATTCTTTCAATTTGGTTGTCAAGTATTTGTCGACCGATTCTTGAATGGCTCGTCAATCATCTGTAAGACTACTTTTGCTTCATTTTCTTTGTTAAAATAGCTTGTTTATATAGACCATTAATAAATCGATGTCGAGAGAAACGTTCACGTTCAGCGATTGCCGCATTTCTCCTCGTTTTTCTTGTTCTTGTTGTTATTTTACCTATTGTTTTGATAATTATTGCATTAACGGGTTCGACAATTAATTTCGTTGCGCATATATCGAATTCAACAACTGCTCGAAATGCGATCAACCTAATCGTTCCGCCAACAAACGAAAATTCGACAAGAAATGGTACAAATCAAACGAGCGATTTTGACTTTGTCGATTTTATTCGCGGAGGGAAAAATACAACATTTCATTTGCTCGAACGCTTATTAGCACAACGAGATAGTATCACCGACGTTTTACAATTGTTCGGCGGAAAGGCATTATCAGTTATATCAACTGTTGCAGGTGTAACAGCTCAAGTAAGAACGATAAGACAAGAAAAGATCCATTAAAATATCTTCCTTTTAGTTCATTATTGGCCTTCTGATCTTTTTGGTTTCGACGTATTCATTTTTATTACATGGTTCGGAGCTTTGGACATGGGCTATTCGACATAGTCCGTTGTCAACTAAACATATGAATCGATTTTATGATGCATTTCATGAAACAGGTCGAGGTTTATTAATTGGCGTATGTCTGACATGTGTTGTTCAAGGTTTAGTTGCAGCGATTGCTTATTTATGTTTACAAATTCCACGTTGGTATGCCTTGGGCGTCTTAACTGGTCTTTGTTCATTAATTCCTATTCTTGGAACGGCAATTGTGTGGATTCCAATAACAGTTGGACTTTTTATCCAACAAGCTCATATTAAAGCAGTAATAATGATTGTTGTTGGAGTTTTGGCAATTGGTTCAATTGATAATTTACTTCGGCCAGTCTTTTCCAAATTGGGTTCACTACAAATGTCAACATTATTATTGTTGTTAACAATTTTCGGTGGATTAGAATTATTAGGACCATGGGGAGCATTACTTGGTCCATTGATTGTTCGGTTAGCAACAGAAGCGGTGATTTTGGTTCGTGAAGATGAAGATGAACAAACAAACACGACATCAACACACATGTAAATGAGTTTTTTTTCCACAAGTCTGTATAACACATATGTTTAAAAACATAAATTCTTTCGATCCAATAAACAGATTAATACAACATTCGTTTTTTTCTTTTCTTTGCTTTTCTATTCTTGTCTGTTTATTCATCGTTCAAGTACATTATTCGATTACGATCGTCACATCAAGTAATCTATTCTGTGCTTTGCTAATCCAATCCATCGTAGACGTCTTTGCACTTAAGAAATTCTATTGTAAATATTTCCGGACTCGAAAGCAAACGACTATGGATTTATGAAGACAAATTCAATGAGACCTTGAATATGTATGCGGATTTAGTTGTTTTCCATGGAGATTTTATCAAAATATGCAATAACCTTCGAGTTTAATATTTCTCCGGAGAATACTTTCCTCATTCTACTCTTATTATTAAAAATATTCGGGTAAATATGTTTTCAAACACCTGTAATCGTAGGCCTTCGTGAATATCGATAGAATTATCAAAACTTCACTAAAGGAGAAAAGAGTTGGCTCAAAGATAAATTTCGTGCTGCTACTGTTGAACGAGATATTATTGAAAATGACGATTCGCGTGATAAATCTCTTTTTAAAGAAATACAAAAGATTCTGATCTGAAGACAATGTATGACGCTAATGAACATACTGAATCATCTGGTCAATCAGAAAGTTAGGAAATCATAGAACAACGGAGAAAACAAACACAATTGTGTTCTTTCAATCGCTGGTGTAAAATAGATGAGTTTTATTCAATAGAAAAAGTCCCTTTCAACTCTGGGTATGAATATATCATTGAGTCCTTTAATTAAATATTATCGTAATAAAGATACAAGTAAGAAAGATGGATTAGAATTAGAGAAGCAATTACTTATAAATGGGAGTGAATATGTCAAGTTGGTCTTTTGAATCTCATAATAATGTACACATTTTTACACGACTACCTCTAAACGATCTTATCGATATGAACTCAATGATGGTTAAATCCATTACAGATGAGAAATTAGCGAATGTTTGAAACGGGATCAATAGAAATCAGTTCTGGTATTTTTGGTATTGTAGAAAAGGTTAAGGCAACTTATAAATACAACATCGTCTCGTTCATAAAAATTCTCCGTCATTTGCGATTTTATCATGAATTGTAGATTAGAAAATGAAGGATTAATTTTGTCTATCTAAATTCTCGATACTTTCTAACATATTAAAAAATGTAGACGAATTTTCTGAAAGCACCTGGTAGATAATCGATAATCCAGATGATTGATTCGATTAATATTTAAATCCAAACTAAAATAGACTTTTAAAAAGCATTAGTGTAATGAGATGAGTTAGAATATAAAAGAGGATAGATTTCGATTCACTTTCTTATTTGCCTCACTTCTGTTTCTCAGAATAAATTACACAAAACTATGTCTACACAATCGGTCAATTACGATCTAATCAATACATTGCAAATGGCACAAAAGTATCTCTATCAATATTTTGCTTTTGCTTTAATGATTCTCGGTACAATAGGTTGTATCTTTAGTTTATTAGTTTTTACCAAAACAACTTTTCGTAAAAATCCATGTTCATTATACATGATTGCGTATTATATCGGTAACTTAACAGAAATTTATACAGTAATATTACCATCAGTATTAGTATTTAGTTATAATCAATCTATTTCCGTCCAAAGTATACATGCTTGTCGATTTATTTATTATATGGCTGTTGTTTTAAATTTTTTATGTCCATCATATTTGATTTTTGCGTCTATTGATCGAATATTAATCACATCATCGAATGCAACAACGAGACGGCGAAGTACTGTTCGCCGTGCTTCTATTTCTGTAATAAGTATAACATTATTTTGGTTTTTATGTGAGGCTCATGTATTAGTTTTCACAAAAATATTCGAAGTTGTAACAAATTATGTTGTTTGTTTTTTTCAAGGTGGATTATATTTAACTGTTTTTATTTATTATTCAACGACAATAGCTCTACTTATTCCATTCATTTTGGCGATTTTAGGCTATTGGGCGATTAAAAATATTCGACAAGTAGGGAAACATCGAGTTCATATTGTTGGATCGAATGTTGAAACATCCGCGCATATTAATCAGCAACAGATTCAGTCGAAAGATCGTCAACTTATTCGAATCGTTCTTATGGATATTGTCATTTATATTTTATCAAGTTTTCCACTCGCAATTGTTTCGATTTGGCTACAAGCGATCCAATATGATGTAAAAACCTTAGAACAATCGCAAATCAATAGTTTTATAAATAATATTTGTGTATGTATTGGATATATTCCATATTGCATTGGATTCTATAAAAATTTATTTACCTCAAAAACATTTCGAAATGAATTCATGAACATCTTTCTACGTAAATAAAGTTTTCTGCTAAATATTCTATGATTAATAAAGATTCAGTTTAACCAAAGTATCAAATTTGCAAGTATGTCTAAGCAAGAATATCCAATGAATGTTATATTAAAAATTGAAAAAACCTCAAATGTAGAAGTACGATTTGTAGTAGTTGAATTTGAACGATATCCAACCACATTTAATTGTAAATTATCTTTATATGCTGCAGCAATTGAAGTGAAATTTTCAGTGACAGTCCATTTGCCGCATTCAAATGTATAATTCCAATTAATATTATCATATCCATTCGAAACGTTTGCCAGCGATGATAAATCATCGAAAGTCAGAAGTGCGCAACCATTTCCACAACCTATCTAAAAATAAGTTTTTCGAACTCAAATCATTTGTATTTTTGGAAACGTACCTTGATTGGCAATTCGGTTGATTAAACTTCACAACAACACCACTGGCTGATACAACAAAAGTTTTCTCATCATGAACACTTCATTAAACATCGTGCATGGAGGTAATGCTTGACGATCAAATACAACGATATTACATGTCGAAATTTATACGATGTACATTATGCAATACAAAGGAGTTTAGAATCAAGATTCCATTGATCAATTGGAGAACAATTTGTAAGAGAATTCATTTGATTTGATTATATTTACAAGTGACACGGATGGTAATATAGTAATAGAGCCAAAATATAAGGGTCGATAGATGATTTTTATGTTTAAAAAATGAATATAATTCAAACTTACTGTGATCATAAGAACCTTTTTCATTCATCTATCGACAATAGTCGAATAAAAATATGTTTTCTAAGACAAAGGCAAAACAATGATTGTTAATTAATTACTTTTCATGGTAATAATAGATTATTTCTTTTTATTTGTTATAATATTACCGTAAAATCAATATGAACTGAAAGAAGAAACATCGGATGAGAATCCGAGTGTTGTTTTTAGACATCGATTGTACCAAAAACCTAATTGAATACCTCCCATTCTTTGTCTCAGATCGTGTATGCAACTGTAATTAATTTTCTCCAATAGTACGTGGTATTCCTGTCATTATATTCAAGAAAGGTTTCTCTATTTTAAACCTATATGACCAAGTGAATCAGTTGTATCTTAATGTTCAGGATATAGATATGTCAGTGAATATGTTATAAACATCCAAGACACATTCGACACACCCGCGCTCTTTAAATGACTCATACTTACTCGAATTTCTTCCTTTCGAGGAAAAGAACTCATATTGCGTAATCTTCCTCTACGCTTGATGGTAAACATTCGTATATATATACTAACAGTTCTATTCGAAAGTTACCTTTATTTTTGATTAAACAAAAAGAAATTCCAATACCACAGCGAACAACTGGTCTTATCCTTAGACATAACTATAGAATCCATATTCAAAACTCAAGAGAATATTGATCTCGTTTACATATTTTTAGGCACATTCAGCTTAAAAATTTCTATTCTCTTTCTTCGTCATCGTGATATTTTTCGTTTTACTCTTCTAGAAACGTTGATTTGGTTCTCATTGGTGAGAGTGTGTGTTTTCAAAACATTGCGAAATAATCCATGGCAAATCAAATTATACCAGACGATGAGAATATTATTGAAAGATTTACGAAAATTTTTCAATCAAAAAACAAATCAGACAATGGTGAGAATACCATGAGTGAAGAAGATTTAGATATGATAGCTGGTCGAGTATCACAAGGATCAAACGAAGTCGATTTCGAGTATTTACAGAGAGAAAAAAAATTTGCTTGGGTGATGGGTGGTGATGGTTTAAGTTTGTTTCTAAAACAATCTAATGTTCAAGCACTACGTTCAATTGGTTTTGAAGATCGACGGATTCGAAGGAAACTAGAAGCCGGCAGACGTTTTCGTTTAGGTATATTTTATAGATCAGATCAACGTGTTCTAGCGACATGGGATGGAATATTATCGCTCATAGATAAGCATTTTCCGAAGCCGATTTCAACTAAAATATGTCAACATGCAGATGCATTCAAATCAATGACCTTTGATGAAATTGAAACTCGAGCTCGGTCAACATATCTTAAAGGAGCATCTTATTTTGATGTCGGTCAAACGTGTGTCAATGATATTGCAGCTGAGCCTCGTTTTATGACGGAAGAAAGATTTTTGGCATGTGAAGGAACATTAGAAGAGGCTCGTGGTTTTCTCTATAATCAATTATCCGTTGCGGATTTATTTGATGGTAGCGGATTTACGAAGGATTCAAATGGACAATTACACGTCAGAGAATACCTACAACCCAGTGTGCCCGTTTGCGATCTGCCCGGACTTCGATACTTGGATATACCTATTGATACTAACGATCTTATGCCGAATGATTAAGACAAATTAGAAAATTGTGCATATGTTTCGCTAATTTGATAAACATGATTCTTGTTAAAAGTGAAATAGTAACATATAAATACATATTTGTGTATGTATCGGATGTATTTCATATTGCATTGGATTTTATTAAACTTTTCTGTTGAAAATTCTATGACTAATAAAGATTTTGTTTAACAAAAGTATCAAATTAGCAAGTTGAATTCATTTATTCTTCGAAAGCAACGTAGACATAAAAGCGGACGACAGATCAAATATTTAAAGCTAGATTAAAGTTCATATGAAAATATACAAATGCAATTATCCACACTCATCACCACTAACATTCGTATTTGGATGGTTTTCCGGTGGTAGTTCGCCACTTGGATTCTTTTTTTGATTTCTTTTGCTTAGTTTTTCAAATAATGGTTCGGCTGAATTTAATAATGTGGTCACATCAGCATGTGCTCCACCTATTTTCACACCCAGATGAGCACAGCAAATGTTGTCGAAATGCCAGTCTTTCAGCACATTACGCATCCAATCACGAAATAAATATGGTGCTTCAGCTGTTGGATGAAGTCCAGCACTTTTGATCGATGGATGAAATGCCATTGCGCCATCTTTCATACCGAATAATTTCAACAAGAAACCGGGCTTTTCTGAATACATTATTGTATCGTCGACATGAAGAGTTTTTGATACTGGATGATAGACAAACACACTAACGAAATGATTCGATGACTCTGGCTGAGGATTAACAAATTCTGCTCCTAAAATTCAAACCGAATCATTGTTTCATCTATATTTTATCGGTCAACGAAAAGAACCTGCAGGAATACGCATTTCGACATCTGGTTCCCATTTCTTGCGAATATTGCAGTCATCGAGATCTCCTTTCCATGGAATATCTGTCAGACGACGAAGATGTCTTGGTGTTCCATAGTAAGCTGCTTTCGGATACAGCTGATAGAAGGCAGGGATCGAGAGTGTATGAAATGGATGTGTGGCAATGACAGCTTCAATCTTCTCACCATTGTTTGTTAATTGATCAATTTCTTGACGAAGACGATCAGTCATTTCCACTGTATCGATGACGAGAAATCTTCCATTTCGGAGCTGTATTATTGACATTTGTGTTTCAATATCGACAACTTTGAATATCTTGAAACGTCCGCGTACATTCCAAAATCCTGATCCTATAGGATAAAGTTCATTTTTGTCAAGATTCTGTGCAGCATTCGGAGTGTGAGGTGAAATAGCAGACGCCATTGTGCGAAAAGGTTGTAAAACTGATCTGAAAAGGAGAGTTGATAGACCAAAGATCATTTAATCTAAAAAAACAACGTTTGATAATAAACTTATTTTTTGCCATATCATTAAGTAAATACTATTATGTGCGTGCATGTCAAGAAGATTATATAACTATAGGCTGCTAACCTATCATATTGAATGGAAAGAAAGAAACTGGTGAGTGCGGTAGTTGACAACACATCAAAATCAATTAATGAGAGATGCAAATAGTAGAATTGAGATCCATGAAGCAGAGAAATAGAAATCGAGTTTGTAGGATTCAAACAGCTGTGTCCGTTTTATTGAAATAGGAAAGTAGTCGTGGATAATAGATTTTATCTTTATTCAAGGTATCTCGGACTTTCTTAATAATACATAATAATTCTTTCCATTTTGTTTTGTCTATCGAACTGTGTACATGAATAGCTTCATTTGAATATGTGACAGTTCCCTTTTTCGATTATTAGTCATAAAATACAATTGATTATGTGTTGATCAAATGTAAACGCGTTGGCAATGTTCATCTATGTTCCATCCACAAATGATACACATTACTAAAAGAAAAACACCGACAGTGCATCTAATAATTGTCCCTTCAATTGCATCTGCATCTGACAGATGAACAATAATTGAGCCACCGCAGATAATTAACACAATGAGTAGACGTTTATTCGAGTGGGAACATAAATCGTAACATCAAATTATTTTTGAGGAACACATAGCTCTAGTTGAACATACTTCGAAATAGAAGACACGTACACAAAGAACATAAGAGATGGCGCTAGGTGTCAACAGTACGGTTCTATTTTTTCACATATGGAATCCATTCAAATGGGTTGTTCATCAAAACCAATCAAAAAAAGTCGTCGTTGCTAGTGTCGCTAAACTATTTTTTTCTAAATAGTACTTTCGACTTGGATGAAATGCATGTTCTCCCCCAGACCTTCTTAAGTGAAAATTTTCCACGATAATCAATAATTTTTCCGATAGAGGCTATTAGATTTCATATTCATCATGGTTGCAAAAATAAATCCTATTTTGGTTGTCCAAGTGTTACTTATTTTTCTTCCTGTAGATAAAAACTAATCAACAACATGCTTCTCCGTAGTCTTCTTCATGGAGCTGGACGTTATGTTGCTCGATCATCGGTTAGCTTTTCCTTTTCGTCTTCTTTCATTCTCATAAATAATTTTCATTTCAGGTTCGTAGTGCATCAACAGCTTTACAAACAAATCCATCAATAACCTATGAGCAAACGCTTTTAAATGCGCCGGAAACTCGTGTGACAGCAATTAAAAATGGTTTACGTGTTGCATCAGAAGATTATGGTCTTCCAACATGTACAGTTGGCGTTTGGATTGATGCCGGTAGTCGATTCGAAACCGCACAAAATAATGGTGTTGCCTATTTCCTTGAACATATGGCATTTAAAGTAAATATCGTACTACTTTGAAAGCACATGATAGTGTCCTGTTTTCAGGGTACAGCTAATCGAAAACAACAAGAACTCGAAACTGAAATTGAAAATCTCGGTGCACATTTGAACGCCTATACATCACGCGAACAAACTGTCTACTATGCCAAATGTTACAGCAAAGACTTGCCAAAAAGTAAAGTAATCGAGCTAAATATTTCCTCTATCTTTTTGTTTTGTGATAAAATAGTCGTGGAAATCTTATCGGACATTGTTCAAAACAATCAATTCAGTGAAGAAGAAATTGAACGAGAACGTCATGCAATTTTACGGGAACTACAAGAAGTTGAAAATGATTATCAACAAGTTACATTAGATCATTTGCATGCAACAGCTTATCAAGGCACACCATTAGCTAAAAGTGTCATTGGTACAACAGACAATGTCAAGTAAATTGAGTTTAGAAGATGTATTCGTCAGAGTTCTGATGTGATATTCTAGAGCAATTAAAAAAGCCGATTTACTCAAGTTCGCTGGCACACATTACAAAGCACCGCGAATGATTTTGGCTGCTGCTGGAGGAATCAATCATGATCAATTAGTCAAATTGAGTGAAGAACATTTTGGTAAATTAAAAGCTGGTTATCAAGGAGAAGTACCTGATCTTGTGCCATGCCGGTAAATTTTCGTATTTTCTTCTCGGTGAGAAAGATAATCATAAATATTAATTTTTAGATTTTCCGGTAGTGAAATTCGTGTTCGAGATGACGATATGCCATTAGCTCACATTGCCCTCGCCGTTGAAAGTCCAGGCTTAGCGCATGCGGATACAGTTCCTTTACTAGTTGCATCCACCATTATTGGCAACTGGGACAGGTAGAGATCTCAATTCATCCAGATATATCCGAGAAACTTTTGATTTTGTTAGATCAATGGCCGGTGGTGGATTCGTTGCGTCACGTCTTGGTCAACAATCTGTTTTCTATAACTTATGCCATTCATATCAAGCATTCAATACATCCTACAGTGATACTGGCCTATGGGGAACTTACTTAGTCACTGATCGAATGCGTATTGATGATGCTATGAGTGCATTACAAGATGAATGGTAATGAACTTCAAAGCGATTTGTCTCTCAATACTATCATTGTTTTTCTCGTTTGATAATAAAAGGTGCCGTGTTTCAACAGCTTGCACCGATATTGAAGTTGCTCGAGCCAAAAATTTATTAAAAACCAATATGTTATTAGCTCTCGATGGTTCAACAGCAATTTGTGACGATATTGGACGGTTTGTTAAATATATTCTACGTATTCACTTGAACTAAGACCAAAATCTTTTTTCATTCTAGTCAATTACTTGCTTATGGCCGTCGTATTCCCTTACACGAACTGAATGCGCGCATTGATGTAAGTATTATTGATTACTCATGATCAACTCAATAGCAACACCATGTCATTTTTAGGATGTTGATGCTAAGGCAGTTATGACAGCAATGAAACAATACGTTTACAATCATTGTCCTGCCGTCGCTGCAGTTGGTTCGTTAATGATTTGTCTAGTTTCATATTTATTTGGTTTACCATTTCTAGGTCCGATTGAACAACTACGAGAATACAATCGAACACGTAGTCGCATGTATACCATCATCCATTAATAGTCGACAGAAAGAAAAACATTGATTTATCTTTTTCCTTTATTTGTTTATTCATCCTTTTATGCAGAAAAATAGACATTGAACCGATTCATTGTCGACACTGCGAATAAATGTAGAAGAGAGATTTCCGTTTTTCTGTTCTCAATATATCAAAAAACAAACAACTAAATTAGTCTTTTTTTTTAGATTACCTCATCTTTCATTCTATGGGAATAGTTCCAATCAACAGACCAAAAGTAAAGATGAGATTTACAGAAGTGCAACAAGTAAGATGAGAAGAACCCATCGTTCCATATTTCTCTAATCTCTGTTAAAGAACTCATTCAGATCAAATTTAAATTCAATCTACATAGGGTAATGTTGTTTTTCGAAGAGAAGACCCTCCGCTGAATGTTAGGTTGCTTTTGCTCATTGCATGATAATCGACTAAAGTCAATTCCTTGCTCGCTTGTTTACCCCAACTGTATGTGTAATATTTGGTGTAATGATGATTCATTTCTTTGATTGTCTTTTATGAAAATTTCCATGGAATTTGTTTTCAACTTTTAGATATGAAAGATTCACTTGATCTCTCAGCAATCAGTCCAGGTTTATCAGATTCTTCATCGTTGAAACATGTTTGTTCAAATGAAATATCCATACGAAACCAACCGTATATTATCACAATGTCTGTTCATAATTCTAAACAAGCACAGATGGATTTAGAAGTTGAAGCCAAAGAAAGTGCTGATCAATGGAAAGCATCATTTGATGCTACTGGTAAAAAAAAGTACTCTTACTGAGCATGAATTCATTCTTTTCTTTTAGCAATCGAAACAATGACAGCCAAAACAGGCAATTTCAAATCATTTAGCGTTTTTGTTAATATGCTTGAAAATGCCATCAATCAAGTAGGTGCTGATTAGCAATTTCTTTGCTTCTACGAAAAGATTTTCGTTTAGGAAAGTACGTCAGTTAATATTGATTTATTTACATATGATGATTTGGAAGCGCTGAGAAAGAAACGACAAGGTCATAGTGAAAATTTAACTCATCATCAACCAACCAATGTTCAATTAGCAAATAAACGATATTTAATTTTGACTTATAATGCTGAATATGATCGGATTTATTATCCATTATCACTTCCATATTGTGGTAAACCAGATCCAGTTGTTTTGATGCAACAGATTCGACAACTAACGAATGAAAATCGTTTGTTAAAATCACGGGTAAAAGCAAAATTCAAGTTTTTCGACATTCATATCGTTTGGACTTGTCCATTTAGCTTGAATCAGATGTTGAACGAAGTGATATCATACGATTACAAAGAGAGTAAGATGAAATATTTGCTCCAGCAAATATGAACTTCTTCGATTTCATTTAGATGTGCACGGTTAAAGAAAGAGAATACTGATTTTCGTCAACAGTTGTCTTCCCATCGTTCATCAAGTAATTCCAATGAACAACAACAACAAATTGACTTGTTACGTCAAATGGTGCGAGCAAGTGAAGATGCATTAACAAAAGAACGAACAAAAGCGACAAAAACGGAAGATTATCGAGTATTGAATGATCAAGTAAAATCCATTTTTTTCTCGAATTCAAAGTAATGAAAAGTTCTTTCCAGGTGGAATCACTGAAAAGCTCGGAAAGACAATTGAAATCGAAAGTGCGTAGTTTAACCAACGAAATCGCTTTACTCAAACGAAGGTAATTTCGTCAAGAACAAAGATTTGATCTGAACTTATTCTATTGAATAGTACTCTTCATCATCCAACAACAGTTCGATCATCATCAAGAGAACGATCATTACAATTGAATGGGTATGTTTCAATCAGATAAAAAGAACTTGAAAACATGCTGGAATATTTATAGTTATTCACCTCGTTCATCGCAACAACAGCAACGTCCACCTTCTTCATCTCGTCCATCATCAGGTGGTGATCAACGTCGACCTCGTTCAGATCATTTATTACCAACACTTTCATCACGAAATCGTTCAAAACATCGTTCAACTTCGAATGATTCTCGGCGAAGTGGAAGTGAAACGCGTCAGCGTTCGACAAGTATTACAAAACGATCATCATCACCGGCAGGTAGAATCTCAGCTATTTTCTCTCTTCGCTCAGTTGTTGAAACTATCGATGTAGATTCTCGTGGTCGATTCAATCCAACAGCATACATTCGCGAACGAAATCTTAAACTAAGACAAATTGAATTACAAAAGTGAATAGTTGTTCTTTTGAAAAACAAAATCAATGCAAAGCTTGTCGTTTAGAAGCCGAGAAGCACGACGAAGACGAAGTGCTGGTCGACGCGGTTCCGATTCTGATATGAGTGGTAGGAGTTCTTCTATCTTTCTCAGTACAACCTATCGAGATCTCTTCTTTTCTTTTAGATTTTTCTGTTCGAGGTGGCAGTAAGGCAGGATCAAGTAAATGTCAGATCTTCTTTGACGCCATGACCAATAATCTTCTTGTTTAGTTGCTAGTTTACGGTTAAATGATAGCGATGATGGTCTACGTACATCAGGTTCTCGACGAAGTTCTGCTCGAAAACAATCTTCTGGATATAAACCAAAAGATTCAACTGATTCTGTATGTAGAGATCTGATTTTCATATGCGATAACTATTCCTTTTTCAAATTCATATAGGATATGGAAGGTGTTTCTTCACCAGCCGTTCTGCGTAAAGCAGCATCGAATAATACCACCGGCTTTGTTCCATATAAGTCTCAACATCAGCAAAGTACGTTTTGACTTCGGAAATATTCTTTTCTAACAGGCGATTCAATTACTTTTAGATGTTGATCCAACTAAAGTAGAACTGGCCAATGCAAATGATATGATTGATATTGACGAACGATTAAAATCATTAGAAAAGTTTATGAAGGAAAACTTGCCAAGTTAATTCTCTGTATGATATATGTGTATTCTTTTTTAGTTTTAATAGCATACATTTGTTTAATATTTGTTCTATAATAAATTGAATTAAACTAATGAATAGTTTATCTGAAAAAGAGTTTCACGCATGATATGCTAACATTCATATGAAACACAATTGAAATGAACAAAAATAACTGCAGAACCTTTTTTGTATTGAATTAAAAAAGAAGTTAATAATCTATAGAGCAAGATAAAGGATAATTTAAGTCGTCAAAAACCGATCGTGTCTGTCTTGAGAATGTAGACGATTAGTACTTTCAAACTTGACTGGTTTTTGCATGTCTATCTATTAATGTTAGTATAGTATGCAGCTTCGTCATCTTTCCTTTCGCTGTGATGCACATATGGATTAAGTCTTGTTAATTTCATGAAATAATCAATTTAAATGTGTTCATTGACCTCTAATATCATCTTTGAAGAATCATCTGTCATGTAACGACATTTATCGAATAAATGTTGTTCATACTACGACTATAACATTTTCCGTCCAGTTCAGAAACGCTCTCAAGCGATGCCACATTATTTCATCTCATTAGTTCGATTAAGGTCAAGTCCTGGTTCGATTCGCGATCTATAATTGCTATTAGTATGCAATATATAAGTTCATATCTAATCCAAGTGGTTCCTACGATATACGAAGGTATTGCAAGATCATCCAGAATCCACTCCCCCTATAATTTCACGTGATGCGATGAGTTTTCCTCAGGCTATGAGAGATCATAGTTGAATACCTACAGTAAACAGACTCAAAAGCGATTGATGTTTTGTCACTGGAATCTCGCACAATTCCATTACTAGAAATCTTATCCGATTCTTTTAAGTAATGAATATAAGAGAAAGCGTGTCAAGAAACAAATTTTCTTCTAGAAATGATCATTACATGAACATTTTCCATCTGCAAAATGATGAATACGATTCGCATCACGAATGACAATTTGGCATTGANTGAATACCTACAGTAAACAGACTCAAAAGCGATTGATGTTTTGTCACTGGAATCTCGCACAATTCCATTACTAGAAATCTTATCCGATTCTTTTAAGTAATGAATATAAGAGAAAGCGTGTCAAGAAACAAATTTTCTTCTAGAAATGATCATTACATGAACATTTTCCATCTGCAAAATGATGAATACGATTCGCATCACGAATGACAATTTGGCATTGACGAATTCGACTAATTAATTTGATAGCACCATCTATAACAAGAAAAAATTCGCAAAGAATGCGCATTTTTTATTATCAATCAGGATCTCGACTTACGACAATCACCACAAATACGTAAATTCTTCACTATCTGAATTCGTGATGGAATCGGTCGTTGAATGAAATTATACGCGAGTGCTAATCTTTCACTATGACTATTGAGAATCGATTCAACAGTTTCATCAGGCATCATTGGACGTGTTATCCAGCTTGAATCGAACTTGTGGCCATGTTCAATGAGCTCGCTTTCGATTCGATCTAGTTCATCATAAATTTCTTGAGTTCGTGGATGGGATCTGTCCTGAACGCGAAATTTCTAGAAATCGAATGAAATATCAATATAGGAGCAATACGAAAGATCATTTTTCCGTACTGCCACTTCACCATTAATTTCAGTCCAAGATAAACCACTTCGTTTCTTTGCACCAGATCGATACATATCGTGTCGCATTTGCGATGCTTCATCTAATTCGCCTGATGACGCTAAAATGTTTGTAAAGAGTGTTGCAGCTGATACTAAGTATTCGTCAGCATTTTGAAATAGTTCTTGTATTCGATGGATTGTTTCTCGTGCCAGAGATAAATTGTTTTGATTACGAGCACCAGATAACAGTGACACTAAAAAACAAATCTGCTGTATTTTCAGTGACTGGAAAGAAATTGCTTTTTTGCAAAAAGATATATATGGAGGGAAACTTACCATACATGGGTACATAAGGAGAATCATAACGTTCAAATTCCTGGATCAGATGTTTTGCTTCTTCAAAGAAAAATGAGCGACTCAAACAATCGATCTGAATAAATTAATTCCCAGTTTAATATTTTCTAATCAGATTAGTTTACCAACCATTGCTGTATAAATCCATTTATTTTTCATTGAAATCGTGGAAAAAATTGAACGAGCCTCATTAACAAGTCCAGAATGCGAACATGCATTCAAAATACAAGCATATGTTTTTTCAACGATCATTTCCGATGGCATTCGATAATAGAGTTCAAGTGCATCATGACCTAATCCATTGAGACCATATGCGTTAACTATTTAGACAAGATATTCCGACAAGACAAGAATTCAGAATAAAAGATAAATTTACTCATAGCAGTATATGATATATGATTGGGTTGATCAATCTGTTCAAAGACTTGTTTGGCTTCGCTCACGCAACTCACTTTACCCTTGAAAAATAAAATAGCAAATAGAAAACTAAATAATCAAGCTGCACTTACCCACAAGTGAATTAAAGAATTTCGAAGTTTACGGTCCGTTAACATTGACGACGGGATCTCGCTAACAATTGAGCGAGCACGTGATTCAACTCCATGTTGTGCACATGCATTGATTAAGAGAAGGAAAATAATTGAGTCTGGACGAACACCTTCTTTTTTCATCTTTTCGTATAAATTAATCGTGTCCATCGGTTCACGTTGTTCATTATAACAAGTCATTATCTGTGCATACCCATTTGTAGTATGTTTAATTTGGGCGAAAAATTTTTCAGCATTCGATAAATCACCACATTTAATAAACATATCAAGCGCAGCATTGAGTACGTATTTATTTTGGTAGTGAATTGGTGGCATTTGAGACCAAACCTTTCGACCGATATCCAATGCCGTCGTGGTCCGAAGACGAGCACAACTATTAAATAGAAGACAGAAAATCACACTGTCTGGACTAGCTAGACTCGTAAAAAGTTCAATCGCCTTTTCTGGCATACGGTTTTTGATGAAACCTGAACAAGAAACCAATCAAAGCACCATTGAATATATATATGTAATATAACCTTTCATCATTGAACCGTATTGAATCAATGTTTTATTGCTGGATGAATCAAAAACACGCTGAGCATCAGTTATTCGACCGCAATGTGCTACAAGAACAAAAAGAAACAGTTTTAATTGAATCAAACGAGATATATTTACCGTAAAAGTTAATAAGTGAAGTTTGTACATAATTGTTGTCTAATAAATTATTCGAGAGTTTCTTGTGAATGATCTGACCGCGTTCGAGATGTTCTAATTGAGAACAAGCTTTCATTGCTTGAACGATGAGTCTATCTGTTAACACTAATTGATGTTCATGTTGATCGAATAAGTCAAGTGCTTTCGTATATTGTTGTTTATCATTGAGCTTTTTCATTTCAACTTCAACATTTATTTTCCGTAAATTTCCGATCGTACGCAAATGAGTGAGAAATTTGGAATTCGTATGATGAGAGATAGAAATTAATATCGAAAACATCTAAAATAACATGATCTGCAGTGTCACTGATTGTTTTAATCTCATGTTTAGAGGGAAATCAATCATAATCATTGTTGGGTAAGTTGATCAAAGGTAATGAATCAATTTATATGTGAAATTGAAACAATCAGATCGTAAACTTTCTAGTAGACGAGAAACACAAGCGACATTCGTTGTTATCTTAATTTCATTGGTTCTAATCATTCTAACCAATAGCAGTTGCTGAATCAGTTAAACATCTACATAAACTGAAACGTTGATTAAGACACAACGAAAATACTTTATGAGAGCGTTCAACTGTAGTTTTTCGTCTGCTCTAGATATATATGATTCGTCTTCCTCTTAAACACATAGGTTGTATCACTAGAATAGTCACAAAATATTCAATGGCTTCATTTCAAACTTCCTGTCACCTTTCAAAAGATTCAACATCAGAACCAATAACTGTAGCTAAAACTGAAGCTACCAGTCAAACAAAGTATTTCCTATAGACATTGACAACGTTTTCAAAATTCCTAAAGGAGAATGTTTTTCTCTTGTAGTAAATCGACACATTTACCAAAGATTTACACACGTACTGGTGATCGAGGTACATCAGCTTTGTTAGGTTCGGGTTCAAATCGTGTCTCAAAAGATTCATTGGTGTTCGATGTTCTTGGTACTCTTGATGAATTGTCATCCGTCATTGGCATTGCTCGATCGACTTGTTCTTTTCCTGAAATATCGAAAGATTTGGAGAATATTCAATGTTGTCTTTTTGAAATTGGTTCATGTGTTGCTGCAGGTAATCGTTCATCACGTTTTGTCTTCAATGATTCAACATTAATTGAACATTTGGAAAAACAAATCGACCAGATGACTGAAGAATTACCTCCACTACGTAATTTTATCTTGCCTGGAGGTAACAGTCAAGCAGGTTCGTATCTTCATTTTTCTCGTGCTGTTTGTCGTCGATGTGAACGTTTACTAACCAAATGGTCGCACGATCAAACTGAAGAACAACAAGAAACGATAATGGGAATTTATTTGAATAGACTAAGTGATTATTTATTNTGCCATTGATCAATCGCAAAAATAAACACATTCTTGTTGCTACATTTGATATGTTCATCAAATGTGGTGACATTTCAAATGCTGAAAAACTATTTGATATGTTGGAACATGTTGTAATCGATTATGGACAAATGATGAAATGTTATAACGATCATCGATTGCCAATGAAAACTATTGATTTGTATGAAAAGATGAAAAAAGAAGGCATTCAACCAGACAAAATCATTTTTGTTCTTCTAATCGATGCATGTGCTCAAATTGGGATTGAGTCACGCTGTCGAACAATTGTAAAACAAATTCCATCTTCAATGTTCAATGATCTTCAGTTTCAAACAACTTTAATCCATATGTGGGTAAGATATTAAATCGTCTATATTTGTTTGAATCTATTTCTTATTTTCAACAAGGGTAAAGTAGGATTTGTAAAGAAAGCAGAACAAATCTTCAAACAGATTGATCAACCGGATCCTGTAGCATATACGGCTATGAGTAAGTTTAGAGTTTGAGGTATCTTTTTTTTTCGTCTCCCGAATCTATTTTCTTAGTTAATTCATATGGTTTAAATGGATTGGGTCATAAAGCAATTGAACTTTATTATCGAATGCCAGTGGAAATGATCGTTGAAAAAACTCATGTTTGTGTGTTAAATGCCTGTTCGCATTCAGGTCTTGTTGATGAAGCTCGTTTCATTTTTTCAACGATTAGTATGACAAATAAATGGGTTTATACAGCAATGGTTGTGAAACGAATTTCATTATTAAACAATAAATGCTGAATCTGTCTGTTTAGGTCGATTGTTTGAGTCGTTTATTTCTTTTCGATGAAGCCAAAGAATTGATTGAAGAATTCGAACGTCATCAACCTCCTTGTCTACCTATGTATAGTAAGTTTTGCCATTAAACCTATCTGAATCCATTTTTCTTTCCATGGAAAGTATTTCACATATCCTCGAAACGCTATTAATACAAGATTGAGAAAGATTTTTATATATTGTATAACGAGTTTATTTCATTTTTTAGTGTCATTGTTATCGGGTGTTCGTAATCAAAACGATGTTTCTCTTGCGCGACAAATAACTCAACGAATACAGAAGTTATTTCATGCTTTGGACAAAGATTTGATATCAGCTTCAGTTCTTCTCACTAATGTATTAGCGGCATCGGGAAACTTAGATGAAGCATCACAAATGAGATGGAATCTGAGTCGATCTGGTGCAAAAAAACAAATGGGATTATCTTGGACTGAGATCAACGATGAACTTGTGGTAGATAAGATGTTTCTATGTTAATTTCATTCGAATATTTTATTTAATTCTTAGCAATTTCGTGCTCAAGATCGATCTCATCCACGGACGAAAGAAATTTATGATGAACTTGGTCGAATCGAAAGTGAACTCATTGAACATGGTCATAAGTTTGATTCAAGCTGGATAACACGTCCAATGATGCCTGATGAAACTGTTGAATCGATTCTTAATAGTCACAGTGAAAGATTGGCATTAGCATATAATTTCATTCAACAGCCAATTCCATCACGAATCCAAATAGTGAAGAATCTTCGTATTTGTGATGATTGTCGTAAGTCACTTGGCAATAATTGATTTCGAATGCAATACGACGAAAATATTTTATTTTTTATTGATTATTTGTATAGATAATGCAATCAAACTGATTAGTCAAATTCGTAATTGTCAGATCATTGTACGCGACGCTAATCGCATTCACCATTTTGCAGATGGAAAATGTTCATGTAACGATCATTTTTAATGGATATTTCTCTTGTTATAAGGTGAATTAAGTTCGTTGAATTCTGGAAACTCAACAATAAAAGAGATTTCACAAAGACGAAAATATTGTGTTTTGATAAATCATGTTTCATTTGTTGAAAGCGAGCGACACTATTGATGAAAATAAAGACGTGAGTCTCGATAAGACTATTGGTGTCATATCGATAAATAGACAACCATTTCGATAGTCCCAATGAAGATACACAGATATTGAAACTTCGCAGTATACTTGTTTGTATACTTTAAGAGCATCAATGGGACATAAATGAGATCTAAAAAGAAATATTTATTGAATTAAAAGAGAAAATGTATTCATTGTGAATTACTGGATTTGCTTTTGTGTAAAATCAATTGTATGAGAAGTGCAAGATTTAATAAATCATCTACATATGACATATCTGATGAATTCGTTCAACTTTGGTTGTTCTATTTTTCCTTGAAACTAATATATTTTTGTATATAGGATATCGATAAAACATTATACTGTAAAGTGCATTGCGTTGACTTGAAACATTGGACGCGAATGATAATGACATCTACAAGCGAATATGAAAGAATGAAAATTATCTATTCAATAAATAAATTTCTTATTGTGTAATACTGTCGTTTTAGATTTAAAATACGAGACAATCGAGAGCGTGATGTTCATGGTAATGAACGGTATAACTATTGTAGTCATGCTCTATTTGTATGATCATGAATGAAAGAAATTCTTGTCTTTTCAATGAAATAGTTTTATGGAAAGAACGACTTTTTTAATTTGACTTTCAAATGATTGTATGGAAAAATACACGAGCAGGTTTCTTATCAATGATATCGTTTTGATTCATCAAGACTAATGTAAATAATAGGTACACCTGACTCTAACACGTTAATTCAGGTAAAATAGTTTCACTTGCTGATATACCCTTCCTCTAGGTGTGCCTATTCTCGATAGTTTTGATGTTTATTCTTTCTTTATCTATGACATAATTGATGAATTCGATTTGATCGGACCGAAAGAAAAAAGATTTTCGTCATGGAATCAGGTGTGTGTATGAAGACTAAAGATACAAAAAAAATGTATGATTTGTTTTTTTTTGTTTAAAATCTTATTTTGATTCATTTTGAAAAATTTCCAAGAAAAAGCAAAAAATCATTTGTTTTATGACATAATTTAATTTTCGTTGTATACACTTGTCGTGCGTTTCTGCTCGTTAGCCTTATAACTAAATAAAGGTACGAGTAATCTATAGTAGTACATTAACCTTTGCGAATTGAATCATGATGTACTTTTCTCAAATGTCCACATTCTTTTCATTACTAAAATTCTCATTTTTTAAAATACTTATATTAAAAATCAAATAGCACTGAAATAAAACAGTCTTTTTGTTTCTCTATAAATTATCAAAAACAAAGTTCATGATAAATGAAGATTTAGTTTAGATGATCTACAAATATCCTAAATATTAACGATAAGTTAAAGGTACGTTACCGACCTCAACTCCATATCGTCTATTGACAAACACACTTTATTTGTTGTGTCTGCGTACATATCAATCAAACTATATGTATATATAAATACTGATTATTTTTCATTCGAATCTATATCTTAAGTACGTTGATGAAAATATCTGCACAAGAAATTGTGAAAAAGTCTTCGTTATACTTTCAATCACAATGCCGGTTAGACAAAGAGAAGAAAAATACATAGAGATTGATGTGAATACAAACAATAGTTCATATCAACCTCTAGATTCAAATATTCCATATTTATCGGATCAACAATTTGAATCTCTATTACATTATATGGGTGGATTGAGTGCAAAGACACCAGTTCCAACATCACTTGGAAATCCAGGAGCGCTTGGTCTTGCTGCATTTGCACTAACTCTTTTTATACTTTCTGTGTTTAATGCTGGTTCAAATTTAATTGATCCTCAAATATCTGCAGTTTTTTTACCAGTTGCTTTATTTTATGGTGGAATCGCACAATTTGCAGCTGGAATGTGGGAATTTCAAGTAAATAATACTTTCGGTGCCACTGTCTTCTCAAGCTATGGAGCTTTCTGGTTATCGTTTGGTGGTTATATTTATTATATTGTTCCAACAATAGAATCAACTGGAAAAAGTAACAAAGCAACTGGCTTCTTTTTATTAGCTTGGTTCTTCTATACAATTTGTATAAATGTTGCAGCTTATAAAACATCAAGACTTGTGTTTTATATATTTATAATTCTTAATATGACATTTTTATTCTTAGTTGTTGGAAGTTTAGCTAACTCATCCGTTGTTCTCAATATTGGTGGATGGTTCGGAATTGCTACGTCTTTTGCTGCCTGGTATGGGTCAGCTGCGCTTGTTATCAATATTACATGGAAGAAAGCTATTTTACCAGTTGGTGTTTACCAGACACCAAAAGAAAAATCGATTGAAGATTGACACAGTGTGTTTTTTTTCTAACTAATGGAATCTAATTTCATTAATAAAATTAACAAAAATATGTATAGAAACTCATTTAACAACTGTTTCCACACATGTCAAATTCCGTACAGGTTTTAATGTTGTTGAGAATCGAATTATTTCATTCGGAACAGGACAACATAAACGATAAATTCTATTTAGTAAAAGCTAATTATTTATTTTAATAAAAAATATTGGATATTTCTAGAAGATAGCTAAGCGAAGTCACGAACGAAAGAAGTGCTTGGTAATGTTGATTTATATATGATTATGATACGAAGTTGAATGGAGGCGTACAGTATATTTCGTAATCATTGAACTTCGAAAGATTTCCAAAGTGTTTTAAAGCTGCAAATTGAATTCTGTGATGACCTGAACCAAGAGTATGTGTTTCCATCTGCGAACTATCATTCGAATTTGGTCTTTCAACTCGTCCATACCATGGTATTTCGAGTAACGAAGAATAATTTTGAACGTCAGAATCTGGAACATTTCTTGGCTGATTATGACTACTGAACACTACACCATGACTAGAAAATTAGAATGTATTGTTTATTCAATTCACTGACATGCAAAGCATGATAAAATATCTATATCAAAACCAGAAGTGGACAGAACGAGCGGGACATTCTTTCTTGTTCTCACTTTTAATCGAAACTACATGATGTGACGTACGTAAAAAGAAAGACAATGTTCATCATACCCAATTTCAGGATCAAATTGAACGTTATCTTCAGCAGGAATAACATTAACGTAAAGCAACCGTGTTGACCATGCTAAAACTACGATGATTTTTGCTCTGGACGCACGATTTACAGTTGATATTTGCGCGTTAGTAATATAATTTCCATTTTTGTTCTTAATTCCTGTAATAATGACCGATGATGAATTTCGGACAATAATTCTTGCGTTTCCATAATCACCGACAACGCCTGCATCTGTAAGGAGTTTCTATATATTGAATAAATTTACAAAAAACGAATATAATTACATGATAATGAGCGGTTTCTCCACTCATCTGATTTGTGGCAAAAATAAAACCCGAATAGACAAGAAGTAGAGCAGAATCGACTCGTTTTGGGGCCCGAAATCGAAGTGATCTCACGCGATTGTCCACCTTGAAGTTCAAACTGAATTGGCTCGATATCAACATCCTTTTTTTTAAAAAAGAACAAAAAGTTCTCTTTTTCCTATCATGACTCAGTACTTACAGCATAGTGAGCTGAATACAAAGGTTTAGACTAGAGTTGATCATTGCCTCTTCGTGCACAAACGGCCAATGCTGCTCCTTCGTGACCCATCTTGTACATCGCTCTTTTATTACCGATATTAATGGCGTTAACCTTAGGCGACACAGGTTTTCGTACTGTATCATTCAATCAAAGTTCACTTGGTGAAAACATCGTAGTGCCAGTCAGAGCTTGCAAAGCGTTTACTAATCCAGCTCCTCGCACAGCTGTTGTAGCAGACATGAGTGAATCATGTATTTTGACTTCTTTCGCAGTAGATTGAAATATACTTTTGAGTAAGACGACGTTACGACGACATTTTCCATTCTCTGCATAACCGTTGACCGTATGTGGCGCAGGATTACCAATATTGGCCATAAAAAGTGCAAGAATTCTTTACCCTTTCCAGGACCGGCTTATTTTCAGGGAAAGTGAGCAGTCATCCTATTCCGCGAAGCTACACATTCCCGGAATCGCTTGGAATGCCTGTCTAAGCATTCTTTGATTCCGGAATTCTGGAATCGAGGGAATAAGGTTCCTATATGTTTTCAGAGCGATTCCGGATGATAAGGGAGTGCAACAATGTGTAACTTTTGGGAATAGGAAGTATTTTCGGAGTAATTGCAAATTTTTCAACTTTCCAGATAATATTGAGATTTTAATCCGCTTCAACTGATTTCTGTATCAAGCGTCCTCTTCGTAGCAATATAGAGACTATATATAAGGTGGTAACAGAAAGTGTACTTTGAAGAGAGAAGAAAAATTCAAGTTGTACTGTAACAGATAACGCAAAAATTAAACAACGCTTTAAAGCGTCATGGGTCCCGAAAGGGTTAACAATTCGATTTCAAGTGCATGTGCCACTGTTTTGCATCACGATATCCATTTACTACAATAGTTATCATTTGCAGTCGATACTGATCATCGTCATTGACCCTCATCTATCGTGACCGCTGTGTGAACTCTCATATTGAACAATGGTACGCAATGTAAACTCCTTTTTTTGCATTGTCTTCTGCATGCCTTTTCCTTTGCGCTTGTACTTCCATCTTCTCTCTCTCTCACTCGTTATTTACTTTCTGTATTGAGCGTTTCCTCGGCAGTGAGAGCGATGGCTATTGAAGAGTTCATCGTACTGTTTTTCGAAAAACACCATCAATGTCTTATTTTTCTTCCTTTTTTTGATAGGCTACCGAAAAAACCCAGGTCAACAAATCCGATGCTGGATCCGATCGGATCCGACTAGAAAAATCCCGTCGGTTGTTGCAAATTTTATGAGCGATCTGTCTAGCTATATTCTATGATGACCCTTAGAAAATCCAGGAAATCCATGTTTCGGATCCGACGAGATCCGATCGGATCCGAGTATGGGATTGTTCGACCTGGGAACATGCTTGCTGTATGCTATCGCAACGACTTCTGCGCTAGTTGACTCGTGTACATTAGGAAACTGTAAAAAGATTATGGCCATGTTGAAAACTGTGTACAAAATAAGCGATTTGGTAAATTGATTTTTTATTTTTCTATGCAATTTGGTTTCATTGTCTACATAGAATATGGATGAAGCTATGCTTGAGATACAATTACGTGGCAATGGCAAAACCGGAATGGATGATATTATATTTTCCAATAAGAACGAAATGGAACAAGCGATCGCTGCAGTAAGCACTTTATTTACCTGCTCCTTTCATTCGACCTGATTTTTTCTTGAAGATTGCTGATATTAAGCGTCCAATTATTGAGCATTACAAAGAGTTATTCGCGAGTAAGTGCTTTCTAGTTCGTTTACTAGAAATAAGCCTTGTTCTTTTCAGGTACAAACTAATCGGGTCTGTGGCATTTTCTCATGTGTGTTATTTATTTGTAAGTTCGAAAATAAAAAGTCATTTCCTGAATTGTTTTTTTTTGGGCGAATTTCGTTTGTGAAGAGAAAATCTTTTGGAGTATTACTATGTGGTTCATTTGCTGTGTTTCATTTATAGTTAAGATTGAACCAAAGTGAAACACATAATGTTGCATAATGAACCGCTTCCGGAACAGATACAGCGTTTGTGCAACGAGAATTTCTTTCAATCGAGTAGAACGAAAAATCTGTATATAATCTGATCTTTAGGCAACTCTATCGTTGCATAGCTTTGTACAAAATTCACATACATTTCAAATCTAGTGAATAATAAGCGAGGTTTGAAAGAAAAGACATATCATGCCATGTATCGAACAAATCTCTATCCCTCGATTGTGCTGCGTGCATATATTTCAATAATCAGATGGCGTACTATCTTGTTCAATGTTCTCGCTTCATGCCACAATCGAATATGAAGTTTAACAAAGAAAAAGAATGGAATTTTTCATTGAATGGTCAAATCAATTTTATCATCGAATCAAACTTGTCACCAGTTAGATACACAAAACAAAGAAAAAAAGATATGCAAAAAGGAAATAGATAATCCAAAAAAGAAAAAGCCAACAGTAACAAATAGGGAAAAAAAACTCAGGCAAAATACGCCTGGCCAAATTGACCCGCAAATTAACAGCAAAAACAAAATAATCTATGTACAGAAAACAAATCACTAAAGTTTATGCAAACCACATTGTGTTTTCAATCAATGGATTGAAGTCAATCTTTGTTGTTTGAACATCATCCAATGTGACAACAACATCTTCGTCCAATAATGCTTCATCTAAATCAGAACTAAAACAAAACTCTCACGAGACCGGTTTTCGTCAAACGAGAGGAAAACTCAGGCAGTAATACTTCGTTGCTCATTTGCCGTTTGACCTTCGTAATCCAGCTTGAGACCAGGCGAAACACAGAGTGTTGCATAATGAACCGGTGCCCGGACAGATACAGCTTTGGTACATCGAACATCAGTGTGACATAAATAATATCTACAAACAAAAAGATTTGTTGTACTAAAAGAAAAAGAAAAGAGATCTTACGTTAATTGTTGAATGTCATCCGATGTGAAACCAATTTCATCATATAAAACTTGATAGAACATTGGTCGGGATGTACCTTGAATAGCTGCATGTGAATTGAGATAAAAGTCGAAACCATTCGGTGAAACAATGTCGGTATCGATGACTGTTCCTAAAAAAAAAATCAACGAGAGTTAAACTGAAATCTTCACACATTTACCTGGTTGAATGTTGTTTGTTTGATTAGTTTGTTTATCCCAAGTAAAAAATCGAGTATTATGTCGTTTTTTAACGACAACAAAACAAATTTTCGGCAATTGATCATTATAATTCAATTTTAGAGAAGCAATAATCGTTTTTGTTTTAATTATAATTCGATATTGCGAGCGCTTTTGGACGCAATATGTAATGCATAGACATAGATATGTATCAAATTGAGGTCCTGATAGTTCAACTTAGAAACAAAAGCCATGTAATCACATATAAGACGATTAAATATATATCTGGATTGTCTCTCTTATTAAGTACGAAGTGAATCGTTCTACGTCGATCGTTTCATTCGTATATAAGGAGCAAAATTTTCTCGGTTTAGTTATATACGACCATTATTCACGATTGAAGTTTACGTTCGTGTATCGCGGTGTTTTGGTTTGGCCAGAATATCCACTATATGCAATAGTTGTTGTTTGTTGTCGATATCGATTATCATCGTTGATCTCTCTATCGTGACCGCTGCTTGAACTCTCGTATTGAAGAATGGTACGTAGTATGAACTTCCTCTCTGTATTTTCTTCTGTATTCCTTTTCCGTTGCGTTCGTACCTCTCTCTCGTTCTTTACTCTTGATACTGAGCGTTTCCTCCACACCGAGAGCTTAACACTATCCATTGGACAAGCGATGGCTATTGAGGAGTTTACAGTACTGTTTTCGAAAAAGAAAAACAACAATAATCTATCGTTTTTATTTCGACAGGCCAAGGAAAAACAATGTTTGAAACATGCTGTCGCAGTGGCTTGTTCAGTGGTTGATTCTTCAAATGGCTGTACATTACGAAACTGCAAAAAGGTCGTTAGTATGTTGCAAAGTCAATACAATATAACCGACTTGGTATGTGGACTTGTCATTTTTCTGTTCAATCTGATTTATTGTCTACATAGAGTATGGACGAAGCTCTTTTGGAAATAAAATTGCGCGGAAACGGTAAAAATGGCTTAGACGATGTCATCTTCTCCAATATGAATGATATGCAGGATGCCATCTCTTCAGTAAGCACTCTTTATTTTACTACTTCTTTTATTCTATATGATTATTTTGTTGAAGGTCGTTGACATTAAATGACCAATAATCCAATACTATAAAAAGTTGTGTGAAAGTACCCAGGTTATTATGGCACGGTCGGTTCCGGCCGGAAGTTCAAACGTAGGTTCCAGTCATTTACTGACCGTTTCCTGCAAACTTCGAGCTGGAAACGGTCAGGAACTGATCGGATATTTCCTGTGCAATTCCGGCCGGAATCCGGCGGCAAGGAACCTGCCGGTACTTGCTGGAATCGGCGAAAACTGTGCCGGAATCGAGAAGAGCTGTACCGGAATCGGCTCAGATTTCAACGGATCCAGTCGCCGGAATGATCGACCTGGGTAAGTGATTTCAAGTTCATTTAAAAGAAAAAAGTCTTGTTTTTAGATACAAACTAATCGGATCTATTGTATTTTCTCTTCTCTTTACTGTATTCTCATTTGTAAGTTCAAAAATAAATAACTATTTCTCTTGGATGAATTCTGTTTGCAAAAGAAACTCTTCTGATGTGTTATATTCCGTAACTCATTTGCCATGTTTCATTCTTTGTGCGACAAGCTTTAATATCACAGATAATTTTAACAAACAAGAGAATTTGTTTGGATCGAATAAAAAGAAAAATCTATGTGTAATTGGATGTGTAGGTAATTTTATCGTAGTACAACTTTGTACGGAAATCACATACGTTTCGAATCTACTTAACAATAATTGAGGCGTGAAAGAAATGCATTTTCTCAATATTGTATCTTGATCGTGCTCCGTGCTTATACTTCAGTAGCGAGATTTTTTCATGCCACAATCGAATATGAAAAAAAAAGGAAGAAGGTTTTCATTGAATGGCCAAATCAATTTTATCATCTAATCAAACTTATCACCAGTTACATATACAAAACAAAACCAAGAAAAAAAGATATGCAAAAACGAAACAAAAAAGACAATCCAAAAAGAAAAGGAAAAAACAACAACAGCAACAAATAGAAATAAATCATCTCAGGCAAAATGCAACTGGTCAAATTGACCCGCAAATTAACAGCAAAAACAAAATAATCTATGTACAGAAAACAAATCACTAAAGTTTATGCAAACCACATTGTGTTTTCAATCAATGGATTGAAGTCAATCTTTGTTGTTTGAACATCATCCAATGTGACAACAACATCTTCGTCCAATAATGCTTCATCTAGATCAGAACTAAAACAAGACTTCATTGTGACTAGTTTGTTCCCAAACGAAAGAAAAACTTACGCAGCAATACTTCGTTGTTCATTTGCCATTTGACCTTCGTAATCCAGATTGAGACCACGTGAAACACATAGTGTTGCATAATGAACCGGTGCGGGAACAGATACAGCTTTTGTGCAGCGAACATCAGTATGACAGAGATAGTATCTGCAAACATACGGCTTTGTTTAAATAGCGCGTAGGAAAAATCAGTGTATCTTACGTTAACTGTTGAATGTCATCTGATGTGAAACCAATTTCATCATATAAAACTTGATAGAGCATTGGTCGGGATGTGCCTTGAATAGCTGCATGTGAATTGAGATAAAAGTCGAAACCATTCGGTGAAACAATGTCGGTATCGATGACTGTTCCTAAAAGAAAAACAACGAAGGTTAAACCTAAACGTTCAGATGATTTGATTTTACCTGGTTGAATATTGTTTGTTTGATTAGTTTGTTTATCCCAAGTAAAAAATCGAGTATTATGTCGTTTTTTAACGACAACAAAACAAATTTTCGGTAATTGATTATGACCATATAATTCTACCGAAAATCGAAGTCAATCGAGTATTGATGAAATGTGAATGATTCTTACCGGTACATGCTCGTTGAATTGCTCGTAATTCATTGTCAAGAACTTTTTGAAATGATCCATCATCAACACCAGCACGATAGAACACAAGTTTATTCGGTAAACGTGAATTATGGTTAGAGAATTCACGAATCAATTCACCAACGAGTATATGAAGATCTTTGATAATTTCCAATGCAATTTTTCCTTTCGGTGAAAATTGTTGTACAACACGACCAGCATATTGTGAACTCGTTGAATCTTTTGAACCAATAACAGCAGCAATCGATGGTCGTTCACGTGAACATGTTATATGTGTACAATCGATACCAAAGAACATAAAAATATCAGATCGAGCTGATGGAGATGTTAATGCACGCATTAATGAAACAAGTTGATTAACACCACCTAATTTTGCATTGAATTTTTGTACTAAATTTTGAATATACATATCCATTTTCCGAGGATCACTATTTGACATGAGTCGATCGAAACGTGTACATTGTGTAACGATACCAAGTTTAACATTACCAAAGAATTTAATTGCATGATAAATGTCATCACCGACTTGATTGAGAATATAAATAATAACTTCGCATCCTTGCATTTTGAGTTCATTCATACGAGCAAGGATTGTTTGTGGTACAGCTGCATCAGATTTCTCAATAGGTGATGAACTTAATCGAAGGCCATATTTCGACATTGCCTAAAAGAAAAATTCTCAATGCCTCTTTTTGCTTTACACAAAAGATTTCAAGCAAACCTGTGGAAGTCGACGAGCAAAGTCTCTTGCGAGACGAATTTGTCGATCATCAGGTTCACGTTGGCTAACGAGAACAACGGCCCATGTTCGAATTTCGCGTGCTTTGTTGAAACGATTATTTAACCACCATTTACCGATCTGAACACGTTCGACTGTATCACTTTGATCACGCGATGATTTATATTTGATTTCTGGCGGTGGTAAAATTCTTGCTGGTACTAATAACATTTCATTAACATCAACAGTTAAACCAAATCGTTCCAAATATGAATCTTGATTGAATCGACGTTCATCGGCAACACGACGAATCATTCCGTAACGTTCACCTGGACGAACAACGGTTTTCTTTGTCACTTTCGCGCGTTGTTCAGTCGTTAATGCTTTTAAACTTCGTTGCCATTCATCAACAGTGACCATTTCCATTGGTAAAAAGTTCGATTGATTCTTATTAACTGGATTATAAAGCTCAACGACAGGTAAATGAGGATGACGTAAGCGAATGTTATATTTGTCATGAAAATAATCAGCAACGGTGGTCTGATCGCCTTCTTTCTTCGTAAATTTATGTTCATCTGCAGGGCGACCGAATGATTTCAAACGATATCGCCGAACTTTATTTGTATGCGATGTGACAAACCAGAGCGATTTGAGAACTTTTCGAACGAGTACTGGCTGATCTTTAGGTGGAATGCCGTGTCGTCGGATATCATGATTCAAATAACACGAAAGAAATTCGACTAAATTATAGTTTTGATAAAAGCAACAAAAAGTGTTGTTGATGTTTAATGTTGGACCACGTTCGCCAAGAACAATTGCTTGGTAAAAACCTGATGCGAGACCGCGGCCATCGCCGAGATCATCCAACCGTTGATGTTTCGGATAAGATTGATTTTTAATGGTGATCATGTCCGATCGTTGGGTTTGTTTGAATAATGTTTCGAGAATTCGAACGGGATCATGTGGCCGAACATCGAGTCGTTTTTGTACAAAATCAAATAAACTTTGCAATTCATAAGTTTTTACGAGATTAATTAGTAAGAATCGAAATTTGTTGGTTTGTCCCGTTTTTTTGTGAACGATCTGACATTCGTATTCTTTTTTGTGATTTAATGTTAAATTTTCCGTTGCATATAAATTCTTTCCTTCATCATACCAAACAAGTGGGAAATGTTCACGTTCGATGATTGTTTTGAGAACTTGTAAGCGTTCATCTTTGCGACATGATCGCCATGAGCCGTCACGCATGAGAAGTTCGACATCGACGTCGAATTGATAAAGAATTACTTCATTGGCACGTTTGGAGAAATTGATTTGAAAATGATTTGTGTAGAGTTCAATGCGTTGTCCAACTAAAATTGGAAGGCAATCTCACGAAGCAGAGATTATTTTCGAATTTACCTCGGCCGGATTGAGGTGGTCGTTTGGCGATGGTTGTAATTTGTGAATTGGGTACAGCTGAGCGAATAGTTGGACGGACAAGTGAACGTGAACGTTTTTTAGTGTCACTTCCAGCATCGGAGAGAGCTTTGGATACAACATAATATGAACCATTATTAATAGAACCAGTAAGGTTGGACTTATCATCGATTGTACCAGTCGACGAATAAGAACGACGATGAGAATATTCAGATGTCAATTCATCGATACGACTTGTACGAGCTAAAAGTAAAAGGTAGCCTAAGTGTGTCCTTAACCTCGATTTGTACGTACCACGTTTCGAAGATTGATGATCTCGATCAGAATCATCTATACGAAAGCAATTAGAAGGGTCATTTCAAGCAGATTCGTTACCTTCTGGATAATCTCGACCTTTGTTCGATGACATTTATCGACAAAAACGAAGTTATTACTATACAAAACTAAAAATAAAATATAAGACATTCATTAGAAATCGATCCATCTTTCGATGAAAAAAAATGTGCGAATGTGCACAAATTCGTCCGTCGACTGGAATGAACGACTATATATCTATCTTGCTGTAACGAACATTCATGACGGACGTATCATAAAGAGAGAAAAACACAACCGATCAGTGTCGTCGGACATTACTGAGACTGACCTTGTACTGCCTCCGCACAATAGAAAATGGGTAAAAACTGAATTTGATAGAGAACGATGAATGTACAACCCGTTTATCTCTTTTCTTTTTCTCCTGTTCTTCTTCTTCGTCTTCTTCGATGCATGCAGTTGCCTAGATCGCAATTTTCGATGAATAGATATCGATTTATGGTAATCGTTGGATATCACAATGAAAGCAAAACATGTTTTGAAATCTTAATTTAATGAGCATTCTCGATCCTTTCTTTCAATCAAACTAAATTGTTCAAAATAGTTAAATGTACATTCCGAGGAAAAGTTTTGTTTGTCTTTTGACATGGAATATGACAAAGACCAAATAACAACATTAACCTTAAGTTTTCAACGTTCGTTCGAAATCAAATAAATCTTTAAACTTTGCCTTTTTCGTAACAAGAACGTATGAAAAGTTCTCGACAGAGTGAATATAAGTTAAAGACCATACAAATATTTGCTTTCTTTTCATTTCATACACGTGCAGAATTTTTCTTTTCACTTTATAGCATCAACTATCGTAGACATTACCTTGTTAAAACATGGGTCGAAAGCTTTCAAGTTTAGCACTTTTTGGTACTATTCTCGCCGGTTTATTCGGATATTTATATTATGTACCAAACAGTGAAGGTGTTGAACAAATGGATCGTATTCGTTTGCTTAGTGCCGCAATGAAACTAATCGGTTTTGTCGTAAGTGTGATATGTTTCACAGTCGTTGGATTATTACATCTCGATATTCAGGGCAAAGTATCCGAAACGTTTGGTTTTCCACCTGCTTGGTATATTCAACGAAATAGTGGTTTGATTTTGAAGAAACTAAAACCGGCAGAAATCATTACGGATATAGAAGTAAAACAACTTCTATCTGTGATATGTATTCAGATAAGATTTATCAAAATAGATTCGGGATACAACTATTGAAGGAGTACCTGTACGAATTTATTCTCCAATTAATTTCAAAAATGAGAAAACAAAATTTTTGCCAGCGGTTATCTTCTATCACGGAGGAGCATTTTATATGGGTTCAGTTGGTCAGTGAATGTTTTATTTATTTGAACTTTGATAGGATCGATTTGATTTTAGATACACATCATCCAATAACACGAGATTTAGCTCGACAAACTGGTTTTATCATTATCTCTGTTGAGTAAGTTAAATCATAATGTTGTATGAGTATTCAATGCTTTTCTGAAAGATATCGTCTTGCACCTGAACATCATTTTCCTGCCGGACTTGATGATTGTATGAAAGTAACCAAATACTTTCTCAATACAAACAATGCAAAAAAGTTTCATATCGATGCTCAACGTATTGCCATATCAGGCGATTCAGCTGGTTTGTATTCTCAGACACAATCATTTGTTCTTCATTGTTTGTTATTTACAGGTGGAAATCTCGCTGCTGTTATCGCTATGCGATTTGCAAGTGAATCAATTAGTGAAATCCGTCCTCGTCTTCAAGTCTTGATCTATCCTGTCGTTCAGTTCTTTGACCTCATGGTTCCATCGTATTTAACACCAGCTTTACATATCTTTCATTTTGGACGAGGTGGACAAGTTCTCGAGTTGTACACCGGTAAAAGTATTAGCGATGATATTCTCGCTAATAATCATACAAGTCTTGAACAACGAAAAACCTATCGTAAATATGTTGATTGGTCATTCATTCCGAAGAAATATCGACAAGTTTACAAAGAACCGATTTCGGATGAAATGGAAGGCAATGCTGAGTTGATTAAAAATGCGAAATTGGTTTTACATCGCGATATTTCTCCATTGTTAGTCGATGATTCCGATTTAGCTAAATTACCACCAACATATGTATTAACTGTTGATCATGATCGATTGAGAGACGAAGGATTTATTTATGCAGGTCGATTGAAAGCAAATGGAGTGAAAGTCGTTCACCATCACTTCGATAATACATTTCACGGTTCTTTAACTTTCTTAGATGGTCTATTCGAATTGAATATCGCTCATACAATGCTTAATGATATTGCGAAATATTTAAAGGAAAATCTTTAATTCTTTTATAACTAAATGAATTTTTTTATTAATAAAATCTAAGAATATCTTTTTCGACAAAATTCAACGAAGAATCGACGTTATGCGTCATCGAATGGACGCGTCTTTACGAACTGAAATTTATTTGTCAATGTAGGGAAAAAATAAAATCATAAAAACATGATTTTATTCGCTTTAGTAAACGAATAAAGGAGAAAATATTCGTGTCCAATGAGGAGAAAAAAATGAACTAGACGGAAGAGAACGGTGTAATCAGTTACCGCAATGAATAAGAAAATATTGGTGACCGAATCATTCTGAAAATTTGTTAGTTTTCGTTCTATGTTTGGAAAATTTAACTAATGTGTCGAAACTTTCGCTCATTTTGCATATATTTTTTTGCGCAACATCATTGCCTCTGTTTTCGACCGTCGAGAAGTCAAGCGTTAAAGGATATCAAGATAATTATGAAAGCACATGTTACCGTATGAGTCTATCATTACGACAATCGATAATATATTACTTTGACTCTGTTCTGCAGCAAATTAAATCGAGTTCAACTATCGTATCAGTGGAATATAGAACGTAAGCTACTGTCGCTGAAAGATTTTCTTGTGTTTTTTTTTTACTGAAATGAAGCTAATTTATTGAAATTTTCAAATACGCCAATTAATCTGATCGGAACTACTAGCTGATCGTGCTGGTCGGTTTCTCGAAAAATATTGTTGTTCATGTTGAAACTGTGGATATTGCATTGCATCGAGACTACCATTAATAGTCATTTGTTGATATTGTTGAGGATCGATTTTGACTACTGGTAAACGAACGAGTTCAACTTCAATGATTGCACGCGGTTTGGAGTAAGCAACAATGATGTTATGTGGTGGTGGAGGAGTTTGTAATGCTTCACGAGGTATGGAATGTTTTATGATTCGTTTTGGTGCAGGTTTATATGGTAACCATTGTTCGACGATGATTGGACCTTAGTATTCAAGAAAAGATATTTGAATTTCGCAAAACAAGAGAAAAATACGCACGTGGTTTGGGTGGCATATCGGGATGACGATGAATGATGACCTAAAAGGAATGAACGATTCGATTCTGAATTAATTGAATAAAAACGATTAACCTGTTGCGGTGGTTGTTTTGGTGGTGGAACGTATTTATTATAAATAACTGGTTGATTTGTATCGGATAGTGGAGGAGGCGGTGGTGGTGCGGTTTTAATAATAATTGGTGATGGGGTTCGAGGTGCTCGATGACCGACATGAACATGTATTGGTGGCTTGTCTGTTTGAGCATTAATCAACACTTCTTGTACTTGAATTTCGACTGGTTGAGGCGTTGGTGGTTGTAATTGACGTAGATAAACTTTTTGTTTATAGACTTGTTCTGCACTTTCGCGTTGTTCGTAAATTGGATTTGGATCTAAATTCAGTTCTGCAATTGAATCATCAGCATCACCTGACTAAAACATCAAACAGATTTTCGAAACAAAAAAAAAATATGAAAGTTTTTCAATTACGTGTTCTGTCGGCAATTCACGTCCTGTTTCTTCATCACTACTAGTGCTTTGTCCTTGCTGTCGTTGAGCATTAGTTCGAACATTGCCTTCCGGATTCGATGGATAATGTCGGAATGCCGATGCGATGTCATTATTTCGATAACTATCAGATGATGAATCAATTCTAATTTCAGTTTGAGCCAAATCGGCTGGTTGTCCATCTTCACTTTCACGTTTTGATAAAATATCAGTAACATAACTTTTAACTGAATTTTTCTTCGATCTTCTCTTTGTTGATGTTTTCTCTTGATCATCCGACGACGTTGTTTCCTCATTGAATTCAGAAGACGATAAATCGGTTGGTGTGGCTTTCTTTGCCATGATTATTTTGCGTTAAAATATCTATTTTGAAGGTAACTAGTCACGATTTTTTTGTTTTGCGCACGCTGTATGGTTACACGTATAGACGTATGTATGAATCCTTGTTATGTTAGAAATATAAGGAGCGATACATAATGGTAGTAATGCATCGCTGTATTTTTTCTATTCGCTTCGGTTTTTTTTCTTCTTTACACTTTTTTGTGTTAAACAACATGGTACCTGAGGTAGTCATGCGTGAAACATGACATAAAACACAATACCATGGGTTAGAAATAATATCGGAGGATTGATTTGGGTTTTGTAAAGAAATTTAAAAGACTATTGTCAAAAGAGAAAGGCCTACTTTATCGAGGATGGAACACGTTTTTCGAAGAGATTCGGTTAAAAAGAGATTTGTAAAGAAGAAATAAATCTTGATTAAGAATTCGTAAAAGAAAGTTTGACGATTAATAAGCATGTCTATGCGGTTTGTTATACGAAGTACTTTGTATTCCAAAAAATACCATAAATAACGATCGATAAGAGATAAAAATCAAGGTTTTCACGGATAACTAATGAAAATTATTTTTCTCAAAAACAATGATTAAATTAACCGACCAAGTAGAGATGTAATGAGTAACGATAAAAGTTTAGGTGTACGAGTTGATGTTTATCGACGATTGTTGAGCAAACACTCAAGGCTGATGAATCCCAGGTTTGTCGGATTTTATTGATCACTATTCTCTGAAAACGTGTTTGTGACGATCTTTTTCGCATGCGCTGTACGCATGCTATTTTTCCCTACTTCGATGCATTTTTGTGCACTTTAACATTATCCTTCCTTCGTTTCTATCGAGAGAGGGGTATATAAACGTGTGTTCTGTATTAGAACAATGGGATTGATGATAAGAAGAAATAAAGAAAAACATAATTTCATCGGGATACACATAGTGGCGGAGCCAGGATTTTATAGGGTACTGGATCTTCGTTCGAGAGCATGGGTTCCAGTTAAAACTAATGGAGGATAATATTGGTGACAAATGATGAGTTTCCGCCAAGTGATTTTTGCAATCGAAGTTTGCCAAAAAAATTAGCATTTTCCTGTGCCCTACCAGAAAATCTTCAATACTGTTAACAGTGTCTCATTTTTGAAAATGTTATCGAAAGGTACATCAAATTTCATCGACAGATTTCAAATTTCATTCAAAAATGCATTTTTGAATGAAATTTGAAATCTGTCGATGAAATTTAATGTATCTTTCTATAGCATTTTCAAAAATGAGACACTGTTAACAGTATTGAAGATTTTCTGGGGTGGCACAGGAAAATGCTAATTTTTTTGGCAAACTTCGATTGCAAAAATCACTTGACGGAAACTCATCATTTGTCACCAATATTATCCTCCATTAGTTTTAACTGGAACCCATGCTCTCGAACGGAGATCCAGTACCCTATAAAATCCTGGCTCCGCCACTAGATACACATCTCTTCCATCAGAAATCGTCACAGTGTTTTTCATCGTTTAATTTACTTATTTTTTTCATTAAGTCATTGTCTCAACGACCGAAGAGCGCCGTGAAGCAGAAAAAGACTTCTTTTATATACATTCTCTGTGAATAGGCAATGTATGTTAGTAACTGAATACAGAACATTTATTTCTCTTTCTTTTTTTTCTCCTTTTTCTCCTGTTATTCTTCTTCTTCTTCACAAACTCGATGCATTGGACTTCAACATAATTTTACGTGGTGAGAGCAAAAGAAAAAAGAACGAGTAAAAAAGAAAAACTAGCGAAAATTAATTCTATTGGTTTTCAGACTCAACTTATTACAGTGACAAGGTAAAAGTGTTTTCAGTTGATCAATGCAGAACTATCTATTAAGTAAATGCAATTCTATTCAATCAAGATTTACAATCACAAAATTCATTACAATCTTTACATGTATATTAACGAGTTTATTTCTTATTTATTACATTTTATTTGAAGACAATCGTCCGACATTGCCAATTTCTGTTATAAGTCAAAATTTCTCAAGTAGAAGTATCTTATCGTCGTTTTTACCGGTGATCAATCGTGAAGTAATCGAGACTGAATATCAACCAAAAGTGATCAGTAAAGCTCAAAAACCTTCGTGTTTAATTGTGATTCGAACAGCCGATGGAGCGATGGGAAATCGAATGTTTTTATTCGCTAGTGCGTATGGCTTGGCTCGTCTTCATCAATGCGAACTTTACGTTGCACCATGGATCTTAACCGATCTTCGTTCAATTTTTCTGGTTAATTTAAATCAGACGCCTGTTCATTTGATAACTCGAGATTCGGTTGTCAAAGAACCGGGTTTATTTGGTCGATATAGTTCATGCACTTTATTTGATGATCTTCTGAGAGTTCCATTGAAAGAAAATCTAACGCGATATGAAATGATTGGTTTCTACCAAGCATATGGCTATTTTTTGAAGTATCGACACGAAATATCGTATTTATTTCAATTTAATCAAGGAGCAATTAGACCGAATGTTCCACTAGTAGAACAGCTTCTTAAAGGTTTGATACTGATCAGATTAATTTCATAGTTGAGTGTACATTCGATTTTTAGCTGTTTGGAATATTCCAATGGATTTAGGGAATTACACAAAAGATAATGTTACTCATCAATATTTGAAATCTTTATTGACACGTCCGTCTGCTCCATTAGCGCCTGTAACGTGGATTGGAATGCATGTCCGTCGAGGTGATTTTTTAACATTTTTCAAAATTGATACAAGCGTCGATTATTTAACTTTTTCAATGAATTACTATCGTCGAAAATACATCAATTGCCGATTTTTAATCGCCAGCGATGATAAGGATTATGTAAAAACCAATCTCGGACATATTTCCGATGTTTTTGTCACGCCGAAATCATTTTTCTCAGGCGATGATTTAGCTGCATTAGCGCTCTGTGAACATACGATTGTTACAGGAGGCACGTATGGTTGGTGGGCTGCTTGGTTGGCAGGTGGAAATGTTATTCATGACTTGAATTATCCAGTTCCTTCTCAGAATTGTATACGCGAACATTATTTTCCACCGTGGTTTGTTTTTCCTCACGCGAAATCGAACTCAACGAAATCTCGTCGATAAAAAGAAGCCATTTTCTTAGGGTTTTCTATGCAAATAAATCTTTCTCCTCCAAATCACTATTTTTATTTGATTTCTTACGAATAACAATGAACAAGGAGAATGAAAATAGAGAGACGAGGGTAAGAGCGACTACAAAATAGCTACAAAAATGAGAGAAATGCAGATATATACATATGCGTATTAAAGAATATATATATATTTATAAATGTTTGTGTTCAGATTTAGGAAGCAGCTGCTGTTGCTGTTGGCGTAGGTGTTGCATGTGGTTTTGGTGCGGAATCCGGCGCTAAGGTTCGAATAAGACTCGCAGCCATTTCGAAGAATTCCATTACTTCGGAAACTGATTCTTCCGATGGAGATGTTTGCGAATTATCATTATCACCGAATTCCCATGTTAACGAACGATTCGGTTCGAGATTTTCCATTTCATTTTCACTACCGAGAAGACCTAGAAAACATGTTTTAACTTGTAACATCGATCAATCAAAAGACTCGAACCTGTTTGAGTAGAAAAGATTGGATGATGACCATCTGTTTTGGCATTTAAATTACGAAAATCTAATAAATATGATCGATGATCAACTTGATACAATTGAAGACCCAATTTCACCTGAAAAGATTAAAAGATTAATATTTTCACACGCACTGGTGGTTCAGTGGTAGAATGCTCGCTTGCCACGCGGGCGACCCGGGTCCGATTCCCGGCCAGTGCACTTTTCTTTTTTTTTTTTCTTGTACTTACATGTCGATTTGTATTCGCTACTTTGCGTCGTGCTCGAATGCTATACATGCTATTGTTACAAAATTTCCATTCCTGAATGAATTTTTTGTTTGAAAACAACATGAATTTCGATAGAAATAAAATAGACTGACCATCTCTAATTCTTTCATTGCTTTAAATACTTCGTTCATAATATCTTGGGGTTTCGATTGAGATCGAATACCTAAATGCCATTTAGCCTTTTTAAGTGAAGCAGCACCTGCTCCACTGTTGATCGCTGAAGTTGTTGAACTGGACGATTTTCGGCGATTAGTAGTACCGTGATTAGCGGTTAAGAAATTATTGCCGGAATTCAATGCATCAAGTGGATCTAATGTTACGGTCAGATCTTTCAATGCTAAATTTTCAAAAGGAAACTTTTACAAGGTAAGTTGTTGAGATGATAGATTACTCACCAGGCATTTTTTCCGGATGCATACGAATTGGAGGTGATTTCTACGAAAAGAAAAGTGGTTAAAAAAGAAAAATCTGATTAAATTAAAAGATCAAATCCGAAAATTATACAAGAAATTCAATGATGATTATCAATCTTTAGGCAAAAATATACAACCTGTGGTGAGTTAACTGCGTTTTGAAACTACAGACAAAGAATATCTCGAATATAGTTCTTAGCTATCAATACCATCGAATTCTGATCATGAAAATTGATACTTACAAATGGTGATGGTGAACGAGCAGATGTTGAACTAGGCTAGAAGAAATCAATTATTTTCTTGTGAAATGTTCACACAATGACGAAATGACTCACTGTCATCGCTAAGAAAGATGAATGAGGTGGACTTGATGCTGCGAAGAAATCGGCGATTTCTACTTTTCGAGCTAAAAAAAAAAGAAATAATCAAAATGACTCAATCAAACAAACAAACCTTCGTTCCAAATTCGTTTGTTATCGATGATTAAATGATAAGCAATTACTAATTGATCATGAGGATCGTTTATAAGTAAAGCATCTTGAACTTCAGTATCACTTATACCAAATTTCTACAAAAGAATTTTCTCTTATGTTCTATTGCATTATTAATTAACAGAACTCACTTCGCAAACTTCTTGTATTGCATCAAGATCGATGATATTCGTTCCTTCTTCACAACTTTTTGGAAATAAATAATCAGGTAGATTTACTTTGAACCATTCATGTTCTCTGAAAGATTTGGATGAAAATATTCACAATCAATTTCGAATCAATAAAAATTTACCGAATTTCTTTAATAGTCGCTCGACGGACAGGATCAACAGTGAGCATTCGTTGAAGAAGATCAACTACGGATGGATTTAAATAATCAGGAATTGGAAAAATACCAGCTAAAAAGTATACTCATCATAATCGAAACTCTCTATCAGAAGCCACATACATCTAATCTTTTTGAATAAGACTTGAACGTTATCATCATCAAAAGGTAACTAAATCGAAACAATTCTTACGAACATTCTCAAGCCTTTTTGTCTTAACTTACAGTTCCTGTTAGTAATGCATAGAGAATAACACCACAACTCCAAATATCCACTTCTTGTCCAGCATAAAGTCTACAACAAAAGTTAAAGATAGGATTCAAAACATCGAAACGAGGGTGTGACACTGACTCTCCAGATACAACTTCAGGAGCGGCGTAATTTGGTGACCCACAAGATGTTTTTAATAATTCACCATCTTTCATAATATTTGACAAACCTGAAACGATAATAAACAAATTCTTTCTCAATCAACGGATGAATGTTCAAACCAACCAAAATCAGCAATTTTAACATGCGATGCATCATCAAGCAGAAGATTTTCTGGTCTAAAAAACATCAATTTCTAGAAAACAGACGATCAGATCGTTTGTCTACATACTTCAAATCACGATGAACCACCATATGTCGATGACAATAGTCAACACCAGATATGATCTGTTGAAAAAATGGTCGCGCTTCTGCTTCCGTAAGCTGAAACGTTCAAAATGATTTCGATGGAAAAGAAAATTCGTGTTATGTCATACTTTGCCTTTCTTCACAATATAATCAAACAATTCTCCACCAGACACATATTCCATCACCATAAATATATCAGTTGGCGTACTAATCACTTGGTACCTAAACGAACAAATTCATTCGAATAGTGGTTAAAAAAAAGAATCGATTTCTGTTACAATTTGATAATATGTGGATGTCGAAAAAGTCGTAGATTTTGAATTTCTCGTCGAATTTTTCCCACGACATCTAATTGTTTTATCTTTGTACGATTGACAATCTTAATTGCAACCGTGTGCCTAGTCAGTTGATGGTAAGCTTCTGTAAAAATCCAAAGCAATCTACATGACAATCAAAGCTAATCGCCAAAACCTTACTTTTGACTTTTCCAAAGCTTCCCGTTCCTAAAGTTTCATTAAGAATATAATGACCGATTCGAATAACACCGACATCCGTCGACGACGAATTCAAATTGTTCGCCGCTTGACTTTCTTTCTTTTTTCGTTTATATTTATCCTATGGAAATCGAAAATCGATAGAAGTTGAAGGAGAGAAAAGTCGTCAGTACGTACAATCACAGATGACATGTTTTTACCGATGAATGTACCTAATCTTAAAACAAAATCAATGAGAAATGAGTCGAGAACAAGTGCGCAATTAGAATCTCTCTATATGAATTGATATGCGCGTTTGTAACGGGCGAGTTATTTCATTTCATGACTCATTTTCATCAATCAACGCATCAATTTTATTCACCAATCAGTTTTTATGCATTGTCAGATCATCATACTACCTTTTGTCTATCAGTGACATCTCTATCTGTCTATGGGATTTACAATTTATCGATACATATTGATTTCATCAATATCGGCTCGACTGATTTTCGTTTACGAAACGTATCTCGTCATTTTCAAGCTGAATACAAACGAGTAATTCGATATCCGCAAGGCAAACTTTTCACACAAGAGACAATATTTGTAGTCAAGATTTTAATCGACTCTCTACAGTTATTTCCGATTGCATCGGAAGACTTGAAGTATCATTGCTTCATTGAATCCATACATAAAGATTTATAACAATAACATCGCATACAAAAAAAATGGGTCAGAGTAGCGCCATCTGTTCGAATTACATTGAAAGCTTTCGAACGAAAAATAATTTTTTTAAGAAAAAAAAACAAATCAATTAGTAAAATTTTCGAATCTTTGAACAAGACAAATCGAATGAAACTAATTAAAAACGAGTTAATCTGATTGTTAGAAGTTGTATCCTATTGAAATACATGAAAGTATCTATGACTGACTGATTTTCAATTCACTCTTATGTTTCTTCATTTGCGCGCATGCATACAAGGTTAAAATTAACATAGTATTTTGTCAGCGCCATGCGCTATTATTCCACCCACCGATCTGTTCTTCTCTTATGATATTCTATCAATGACGACGACAGAAGAATTAATTGTATATTCGAATAGTCGAAACGGACTGGGAATCCGCATCTTAGGTGCTAAACGAGCAGCCCACAAATCAGGTATATTCATTCGAGAATTACTTGAAAATGGTTTAGCCCAAAAAGACGGACGATTAAAGATCGGTGATCAAATTCTTTCGATCAATGACGAATCGGCAATTGGCATCAGTCGTGAACACGCCGTTAATCTCCTTCGTTCTGCTGCCGCAACAAATCAAGTTCGTTTTCGTGTTAACCATTTCCATCCCCCAACATCCTCAAGTGAATATCAAAAATTGCTGTACGATGATAAATCAACGGATGACGACGATGACAATCATCGTTCTCAAAACATTAATCACAATCGAAATAATAACAATAACCTTAACGATAGTACCACGACGAATGAAGTACGAGAAAAGAAATTCTCTCGGCGACATCATCGACAGCAACAGAGTACTTACAATGTCGCGTATGAAAATAGCAAACGTGAACAACAAGATGAAATGAAACAATTGGATATTTCATCTGATGCTCTACAAGCCTTGTTAAATTCCAGATTTAAATTAATAGATCTAGTTGATCTATTGAAAAAATTCCATCCGAAATGCTTTCTCAACGATCAAAAACAAGAATTGCAATTTGTTGAACAGTTATCCGAAGTAAATAGTGGTAAGAAAGTGAATCATCTTGAGGAATTGCAACGAGATATTCATTTCATTCTAGATGGTCGAATGACATTAAAAGATTTTGAACGTCAATCAAGTGTTCTTCTTGGTGAACGTGTTAATCTTCTTGTTCCATTTTTCTCTTCTTCAACTCATTCATCTGATCGGAATGAAACTGAACTTATTCTCGAACTTCGACGTCAAATCGCTTCATGTCGCGTAACAATCGATGAACTTCAAACAAAAATCTCTACATGTGAGAAATCTCAACGTTTATCCAACGAAGTCGAACTCGAATATGAAGACCTACTCAAATATTTGTACGAACAACTTCATCAGTTTAAAATCAATGAACTAAATTATCTGAAACACATCCGATCGAATGATCAATTGATTCAAAAGTTATTTAACTATTTATCAATCTATGTTAATCAGCCTCATGACGAGCATGTGCTCACTCAATTGAAATATGAATATGATCAACAACAGAAATATTACAATGCATCATCAGGAATGAATAATAATAAGTTTAATGAACGTTTTTAATTACGAATGAGTTTGTTTTGTTTTTGTTTTTTTTAAATTGTTTGTATTTTAAGACAAATGACATAGGAAAACGAGAGAACAGTTGTGAATAAAATTTGTTTAGCTCACTTCGAACGACTCACATTATCATTTGATAAGATGTTAGTGTTATCTTTACTTGCACTTTTCTATTCTGTTTTTGTTTTACAACAGCAGCAATGGTTGTTTTATCGAATATTGTGATTTTTATGAGTCTTGTTCAAATTATTCACAGTCTCGATTCATGTCGACAAACATTTGGAAAGCATAAATATGATCTTAATCGTCTGAATCATCTAGTGCTGTCAGGAGATGGTGGTGAATTTCGATATGTGTTGACTCCGTGTGGACTAGTGCCCACAGACAAATGTGGAAAAAGTGGAACACCATTCACACAGGGAATGATGGCATGCCAGGAAAGAATTGCCACGAGCAGTTTTGAATCAGCGATGGGTTTTCTTGATGGATATGGAAAAACACCGAATCTTGAATTTGTTGAAAATTCACAAGGACCAGGAACAGGAGTTTTAATGACCGTTCGAAATGCGTTATGTAATGGACGAGAACGTCTAGTTAAAATTACATTCGTTTGTGATGAAAGTCAGAAAAATCCAAGCACAATGGTCGTAGTCGAAGGTCCAACTTGCCAGTTTGCTATAACAGTGAAAGCAGCAGATGCATGTCCTGTTCAAGGTAGAATTTCTGGTGGAATTATTTTTATTATTGTTTTACTAGTTGTTATAATTGTTTATATCATCGGCGGCGTTTCATATAATCGATTCGTCAAGAAACAAACAGGTTTAGGAATTTTACCACATCCAGGGTTTTGGCTACTCACAGTCGGATTATTTACAACTGGATGTAAATTTTGCGTGAATTTTATTTTGAGTTGTGGTCGCGGAACATCGTCAGCCCCCGGAAGCAAATATGAATCTGTTTGATGTCGAATAAAACCGAATGGCATAATCTTCTTCTTTTTTCTTTGTTGAAACATTAAAGTGTTGATACTAGCGACCTCTATTGTTCTTTTTTCTCTGCAGGAAACTTGTTCTATTACAAAAAAAAACACTTATTAAAGGAATTCCATGAACGTTTTCATCAATTAAATTTCGAAAAGATGTTTAATTGAGACGTGCATATGTATTGCTAAAGGCAGATACCATAGATTGATCAATGTGCATGGCACTTGTGCAACCTGAAATCATTGTTCAACTTCATCAATAATCTCACGTTACATATTCTAGAAACTAACGATGGTCTTACCAACTTTACATTCACATTATGCCAGTAGACATTTGGCAACACCTCAACAGATTATTCAACGAAAACAAGAAATAGAAGCTGAAAAAAAGTAATCCGTCGTTTTTTTTAATATTTAATCTCGTTTTGACATTGATCGTTCAGAGCTCAATGGGCTCAAACAGCGAATTATTTTAAGACTCAAACACGTCATAATTCGGTACACAGCCATTGGACAGCACCCACTTCAGCTGTTTTAAGGTAGATGACTTTTCTGATCTAGCATTCAGTTTCTGTAAATGAATTCGGTTTAGTAATGAAGCACATCGTGGTCAAAAAGAAAAAGAAGAGAAATTAAATCGTCTAGAACAACGTCGTAATCGTCTTGCTGCGATTCTTGAAGAAGAAAAACTTCAATTCCAAGTAAATCAACAGTTCTTCTTAACACTTGTATTGTTTTATTTTTGCAGAGCGAATTGTTGTCAATTCGTCAATCAGCACGTGAATCAGTACCTGATATGAAAATGCGTGCTGAATCTCTTCGTTCAGCTCGCGAAAAAGAACGTCAAACTGTTGCTGAAGAAAAACTTTATGAACATTGGATAGCCAATGATCCTGATTTGCGTTCAATTGAACAGCAAAAATTAGAAAATCTTCAACCAGAATATTGGTCTGAACAATTGAATGAGAGACGTTTGGCACAGAAGGAGGAAGAAGAGGAGAAACAAAGATATCAACAAGAACTACGACAACGATTGGATGAACAAGAAAGATACGAACAAGAAGAACAAAACGAGAGAAAACGAAGAATCGAAGAATTGAAATATATTTTGCAAGAGCAAATGGAAGAACTCAAAGAAAAAGAAGAAGAGGTTTCTATTCTCTGATGAATTTGTATTTAGAAACTGTTTCTTTAGTCTGAAGTGTTAAAACAAGAAGAAGAACGCCTTTTGCGTGACCAGTGGGAATTAGATCAGTATGAAGAAGAAAAGAAACAAATGGAAAAACGTTATATACAACAAGATTATGGGTAAATTTCATTCTTTCCACTAAATTTTGACTTTTCATATTCCATTGAAGTCGACAACTTTTACGCCAACATAAGGCAAAATTACATAAACGAGCAAAAGAAATTCAAGAACAATTGGTTTGTTAGATCATTCCTACATTGTTCTCAGTTCAAATTTTGATTTTATGTAGGAATTGGACATGAAAATTCTTTCATCGATTGCTCATGCTGATGAAGAAAGTCGTATGGAACAATCTGAGCAACGTGAACAATTACGACGCGACGCATTACATATGTTAAAACAATTTCAACAACAAATGAAATTAGAAAAAGAAAAAGAGCAAGAACTTGATGCAATGTTTCAGTAAATATTTTCTCTCTTCGTACAAACGATTGACACTGATTCGCCTTGTTTGATTAAAGGGAAGAAGCTGCGAAACAATGGGCACGTCGCGAACAAGAATGGGATCGTGAAAGAGAATTACGTGAGAAATTGATGCGACAAGTGATGGATGAACGACAGGAACAAGTAATGGAAAAGTTACAAGCACTCAAAGAACAACAACAAGAAACATATGAAAAACGACAAGCATTAATATCGGAGATGGAACAAGCAAGAAAATATGATTTGATAGAGAAACAAAAACAAGTGAAAGAGAGAGAAGATAGAAAACAAGATTTACAAAGACAAGTAATGATTTGCAATTTTTGTTCTTTGAAATGAAATCTTGATTTGTATTGTTTCATTCAGATCTCGATTGTTCAACAAGAACGAGCACAATCTCGATTAGATTTAGAAAAACAAGATATAATGGAACGTGAAGATAAAAGACAAATGGATGAATTAGTACGAAAACAACGAGCTGTTATTTCTGCAACAACCGTTGAACCTAAAGTAATTGAAAAGTTTTCATTCGTTTTCAATGACATCTAACTTGTCTGTTTTAGTTCTATGGTCGTCGTCGAGCTAATTGGAATTAAATTAACTGATTTGTGTTTTGTTTTGTTCATGTATAGAAATCGTCTTTGTTTAACTTCAAGTTAAAATTGATGAAAGATATCCTTGTAGTTCAATAAGTAAAAAAGCAAAGTTATGTAAACGTCGATTATCGCACGCAAAAATAAACCTCTTTGATAGACGAACAAGAGTAAAAGTGATCTTTTCTCTTCAATATGTTCTTTTACAATGAGCTTTCAACACGAAAGCGACGACTTCTATGATCTTCCGAACGTTTCATTGAACTAATTAGGATGTATTAGCGATTCATGGATTATAAGCTGAGGCAAGTGAAGGGGTCGCAATCATTTTGCCGACAATCATATTACCGACGGATACACTTTGCCCACGGATCTTTTTGTCTGATCTTCTATAGTCATCATTATTTTGAGGATCAGAACTTAAATGAGGGTGCAGGGGAACACCTAAATGAGGGTGTAGGGGAAGACTTAAACGAGGGTGCAATGAAAAACCTAATTGAGGGTGCAGGGAAGGGCTAAGGTGGGGATATGATGGATGTAGCATGGTTTGCTGAAAGGTGGCTGTAGCATCATTCACTTCAGGCTATGGTTACAAGAAGAAATATGTGTTTTGGAATTTTTGACAAAAAGATGTGTCGGCAAAACGTATCTGTCAGCAAAGTGTATCTGTCGGCAAAGTGATTGTCGGCAAAATGATTGTCGGCAAAGTGTACCAGTCGGCAAAACGGCGTCGGCAAAGTGACTGTCGGCAAAATGATTGTCGGCAAAGTGTACCAGTCGGCAAAACGGCGTCGGCAAAGTGACTGTCGGCAAAATGATTGTCGGCAAAGTGTAGCGGACCCGTCTTTTATTGGAGTCTACCAAAAAAAGACGCTTATTATCATGTTCTTGTGACGGCGGAAAGTAATAAGTTGCTGTAATCCTGTCATGAATAGTGATGTCCATCGATCTAGACATCATTATAAATTTGTATCTACCGACATTTTCTATTTTTGATTAAGGTACGCAACTGTGTTAGTCTCCGTAAAATATAGATAGTGTTGAACACACTGTGCTTCGCGCTTTATATTTTCATAATGAGTTTATTAAAAAATTTTTAACGATATATTTAGAAAGTGATGATGAAATTAATTTAGATATAAAAATAAAGCTTTTGCTTCACGATCGTTGTTTTTTCTTATTTTTGCAAAAGTTATTCTACATTTTCATATCGGCTGTGTGAACTGTCAATCAAATTAGATGATGACATATTTGAATTTTCTTCAAGTCCTTGTCTCCGCTGAAGAAACTAATCATCTTCAACCATCTAAATACCGAGAAAAATTTTTTTTTTCGTTCTGTTGGAAACGAAAGTACAAGATGTCGATTCACTCTCTGTCTAGCGGATTTAACTGATGAACAATGTGACAGAACGCAAGAAAGTATTTTGTGTCTCTATCTCATCTTCAGCCTGAAGACAGCGGAATTCTAGAAGTTGCGCTCTAAAAAGTGACTTTAATTATGATTAAACTTTGGAATTTCTTAGTGGAGGCGAAGTCTTAAAAGAAAGCTGTTAAACTGCTTTGGAATATACATATTTATTGGTTTATCGCGTTACATATGATCTAATTTTCTCTTGTTTAACGTAGAACAGACATTCATTTTAACGGGTGTAGCGTTGCCATTAACAAAACACTGCTTAATGGTGAGAAGTTGATCAAGTCAACTTATTCCTTCTTTTCTCTTACCGACATGTCTGTTGAATCTTGGTTCATTCTGAGCGATATTTTTTACCTTGTTTTTAACCTTATTTCAATTTGTTGTGCTTTCGTTTTCTTTGGTATTATTATTTTGGACAAGACATGTCATACAATTCCAATGTTATTGGTTGCTAATTCGTGTTTACTCAATGGTGTTTTTGCAAGTGTCCGAATCGGTGCCAATTCATTTACATTTGGCAATGACCTAAATGGAATCGAATATCAGGATTCATTGTGTATTTTCCGAGCTTATATTGCCGATGGGATATGCTCGGCACTTATTTTCTCGTTCTCATTGCAAGCAGCTTATCGATATGTTATCGCTATACATCCACATTGGTTATTTTGGCAGCTTGCTCGTGTTCAAATTTTATTGATATGTTTCACATGGTTGTTTGGGTTACTTTATCCTTTAGAATTTCTGCTCCGTGGTGAAATTATTTACAATGCTGCCAATCAGATCTGTCAACTACCTATTCAACCATCATTTTCTATTGTTTATATGGTATTTTGTATATATTTAATCCCTATTTCATTGATTGTTTTGATATATCTGAAACTGGTACGATATGTGAAAGAAGTTAGAGAGCGTGTGATATCGACAAATATACTTTTGCGAGCACAGAGAGAATTAAAAATGGTTCGACAAATTATTCTTGTCATATCTACCTTGCTTCTACTTGGCTTACCCTATACAACTTTCATCGTTATGTCATTTGTTACTGAACTTCCAAAATATCACTTTCGAATTGCTCTTGTATTTTTAGATGCATCTTTGGTATTTATTTGTATTTCTTTGTTTTATTTTAATGAACCATTGAAAATGTCAATTCTGAGACGGATCGGACGTCGAAGAAATATTGTAGCGACCATAATAGTGTAACAAGACGATGGGATGGTGTGATCCATTGTTTAGTTGAATACGATCAATTAGTGAAATAAAATTCGATGTTACGCAGAATAACTCTTGTACGGTGTGTGATAATAGAGTTAATTTAAGCTCAATTTAATATTTTAAGTATTCAGACATTCTTCCTTTAATCTTCATTCTATAGAAAATTACTAAGTAACCGAGAAGGTAAGTTTAGTTTGCAAGGCTTACGTTCAAAAAATATTCCAGTATTTTCAGAGTTCTCCCGGACCTTGAGGCAAGGTATGACATTTCCATATTGTTGAAATGGAAAAAAACTATGTTGAAAAAATATTCGAAATCTTATATCGACATAAGTGACTTGTTAAGCAATGTAAACAGAAATCTAAGATACTTTTCATAAAGATATTTGAAACATAAAAATTCATGAAAATGTGATATTAGTAATATACTAAATAGGTCAAATGGTATGCTTGTTGGTAACATAATGTTGATCATGAGAGGAACAATGCCATATATATAGTCGCATTTTCACCCATACGATATCATCAATATGTTACTTGTTCTGGATCTTTAGAAATTACTGTTGATTTCATTAATACAATTATTTGATTCTTTTTCTGTTTTTCCATATTTGAGTTCTTTCTTATATTCCTGTGCATCATGATTTTCGTTCTGTCGAAAAACAAATAGTGCTTTAATCCCAAGTTCAAAATATTAATTAAAACCCCACAGAAAAGTATCTTTTAGTTATAGACTTATATCATATCGATGACTCTCAAGTCCTTTTGTATATTTGATTCTATTGTATTTTCTACTGAATGAAGCTGATACCAAGTAAATTCATAGTAAAACTAAAGGCAAACCTTCGTTAGTATTGATTAGAGAGAGAAAGAACAAGATGTTACAATGTGTGTATCATGTCTGATTTGTTTTAGTTAAATAACTGCAAAATAAAGATACATTCGACGAACGAAAAGATCCGAGAGTATTTTTTCTTTGAATTAAATCGAAAATAGATTTTTTGATAATATCATATTGTGACTATTCAGATTGAATATTTCATATTCATAAATGAACACTTCGAGATTTATCTCTATCACCTGTTGTTCTTATTTTCTCATAATGTATTACAAATCGATCACGGAATTCAAATATGAGACAATGATCAATGAATACGTAAAAGTTACTTCAAGTAAAGATCTTCTTCCCGTTACTATGGGATAGCGAATTATTTATCTTTAAAGATTAACTATTATAGAGCGATTATGTTCAAATAAAATACATTGACATGTGATTCATTTCTTCCGAATGATTTTAGTCAATGGAAAATGTCTAATGTCAACACATAAAGCAATTATTTCGATTACTATTCAATATACACAATGAAAATTGAATAAACAGAAACAATAAACGAACTTGACATATCATGAATTCGTAAAGCAATATTAATAAATGATTAACGCAGTAAATAAACAAGTTGTTGAAATACCACTGAAAAATTGATCGAAGCAAATACGAAAGAACTATTTGTATGTTCGGATAAATAGCCATTAAAAGTCATATTAAGTTTGATGAGATGTAGGAAGTTCAGGATGCAAAGATCGACATCATTAATTGTTAAAACAAATGATGAACACGGTACATTTCGACAAAAAAAAACAACTTCATTTATGCATTATAGTGCGAGATCTTAATGTAAATTACAATTAATGAATGTTAAAAGAATAAAATAGAAACTTTATTTTCGAAATACACTTTACAAGATCGTGTAAAGTTACATGTATTTTCCTAGAAATTGACATAAGTTTAATCATCAAATTTACCCGATACATTTGCGTCATGCATCAATCGAATAATATCTTTTCGAGTTAAAATACCTTGCAAACGACTAGAATAAAACATATTCGTATTTTCTTCGTATGTTTTCTTGGAAAATTTACCCATTCTTAGTGACAAAGATTTGTCGACATCCCAATTTTCTAAACATATCGACAACTGCTTCCATTGGTGTTTGATCTGTAACGATAATTGGTGCTCGATCAACTAATTTATGTAATTGTAAGATTTTTGATGCTTGCAAAGCAATGGACGCCCGTCGTCGTCCAAGTGACGCTGCTTGACCAGATTTATTCAACAAATTCGACATTGAAACGACTGACATTTTTCGATTCAACGATCCAGACTTTGGTTTTTCATATTCCAATTGTATCTTTCGTGATTTGAGTACAACTAAAAGATCTCTTCGTTGCACTTGACCGACAATACAAGGAAAATCTGCACTAATAACAACTGGATAGACTGAATGAGGTTGATGACGAACTAATGCATCGATTTGAGCAATGGTCATACCATCTTGATAAATACATGCTAAAGGAGGATTCTCGCCGGAACGATTCGCACGTATTGCTTCACCAGCTTTGAGAGAAAAACGAAAACTTTCACGATTTTCTAAATTAAAGAACGTTCATGCAAAATTCTTCTTTCTTTCATTTGTTTTACCTAAGAATGGATAACCACTTAATTTAACGTTTTCCTCATAAATTCCTTCTCCGAATGCATCACCAACCCATTTTGCTGTTAGAGCTGTAATCATCAATGGAACAATATAAGATAAACCACCTGTTACTTCACTCATAATGACAACAAGAGAAACAGTCATTCGACTGACTCCACCTAGAAAAGCACATGCACCGACGACCGCATAGAGTCCAGGTGTAACACAATGTTCATTTGATACTCCGCATTCACGTCGAAGAAGAGCTATATTCTGATTTTGAAATGCGATTTGTTCTGTTATAATTCCAATCAGACGGCCAGCAATTGCTCCTATCGATATACTCGGTACGATTAAACCCGATGGAACTTTTATACCAATAGTAAATATAACGAGTGTCATTTGTACAATCAATGCCCAAAATAGTTGCCAAATAGCACGATGCAGACCAGGACCTGCTTCAGCAGCATAGAGTTTTGCTGTCGCAGTTCCAATGGGCTTATCTCGAACATAATCACTAATGAAAGAAGGAGAAAAGGAAATTCATCTATAAACATTTCAACTCAATTTACAAATGACAAAACGTACCATAAATCCATATGATCATCGATATGACATTGTCCAACAAGACGGCGAATGAGTTCAGGCATTGTTAATCTTAAATACTGATTTGGATAACAGATAAAAGCAGTGATTAACGTCAAAATGATCACTTCGGCACGTGGATATCTTCCGATTCGACTAGTTTTCTTATATTTTAACCAACGAATATTTGTCTTGATAAATAATGTTCCCCATAAACCTCCCAATGCGCCAAGACCAATAAATGGAATAACTTCAAATGTTGCCCATGGAACATTATATTCAACAGGAAATTGAATTTCATGTCCGTTTCCATATGGATTTATTATTCGAACTACGAGTGCACCGACCATACAGCAAAGAAATGTTCGCCAAAGAGTTTTGTATGGAAAATAATAACTAATTTCTTCTAAACTAAATAGAATACCACCGATAGGTGCACCGAAAGCAACTGAAACACCAGTAGCTGCAGCTGCTGATAAGATTTCACGTTTTCGTGCTTCGTTATTGCCATATTTTGGGAAAAGTTCTAAAATTCAAGTATTCAAAAGCATAAACAAATAGTTTGTTTTTTATGTTGAAAAATTACTTGAAAAGATATTTCCACAACAACAAGAAATATGTACAAATGGACCTTCTTTACCAACAATAAGACCAGCACTTGTCGCAAAAATCATTCCGATACTTTTTATCAAAAAAGTCCATTTACCCAAGTAACCATACATAATAAAACCCGACAGAATTGTTTTAATCTCCGGTATACCTTTGAAATATAATCATCATGAATGGTATTTGTCATTGTCTACAAATTTCCTTACCTGATCCACTTGCATACGGAGCAGAACCAACGACAAGTATAACAATAAAAGTAGAATATATTACAGACCAAAATATAAACATAAAATAACGAAAAAACCACGCAGCAACTGCTGTTTCTGTAAAACCGAATATGTGTGACCATGATTTCCACTAAAATTTATCCTCATTGACCGATCTCTCATATTCACTCTTCATCACTCACATTATCACATATTTCGTTATGAACATCATCGAATTCGACTTTTGATGAAGCCCAACAGCATTGTTCTCGATTGAGCCAGAATGCTGGTGTACAAACACCGGATCTCCAATGGCTCATCCATTTAGCACCAATATCTACGAAACCAGCGACAAAACCTATTCCAAAGAAGAAGAACGAAATGATGAATTTCCATTGATCAATTTACCGGCTAATATGCCAACTAAAAGAACACATATCCATCCACTCCATGTATCAAATAAAAATGTGAATCGTTGTCTCCAACTTTTTCTTCGTTGTGAACGTAAATTTCGATGACGAATACGACTACGCATCAAATCTTTTAACCAATCAATAGTTTGGAAGTTTTCATAATGTTTATGAACAACATAAGCAACGTCAGTGACTAAACGAATATTGTTGACACAACATTAAAGAAAATTTATCATCTTACCTAAACCACCATGTCCTTGTACACGAAGTGAACTTGTCACATCATGATTATGATCGAACATAGTCACAGTAGTTGTACTATCATATGCACCACCTGTAAGATCCACTTCTTCTCCACTATCATCCTGATCAGTTTCAGGATAATTTCGACGATTGATACTCTCAATTTCATCATCTTCAACACTTGGAACAGGTGAAAGATTAAATCTCGCATGTGCATCAGTCGACGGAACACCTTCAAAGCAAAAGCAAACATTCTCAACATAGTTTTACATAAAACAATGTTTTTATCATACGAATTAGTTTTCTTTCATTTCCACTTCCAGCACCACTTGAAGATGCCATAGTTATGATAAAAGATGAAGTGAAAGACACTCGAAGGATTTGGGAAAAAAGACCAGAGTAACCAGATACTGTCAATCAGTAAGACTAAAACAATAAGAAACGACAACGTACTCTGTAACTGAGCGGATTATTATACAGGTGCAACTGACAATCTATATTTTATTAGAATACGAACTATGACGATTTCTTCGTTTCTTTTTTTTTTCTTCTCCTCTCGCATTCTTACGCATCGTCATTACGATATTTTTCTTTCTTTCAAGGTAGAAAATCTGACTCAACGTACAAGTCTTCGTCATACTGCAAAATAATTCCAAAAACAAAAGAAGAAAGATTTTTTATTAATACTCATAAAAGTTTCCTGTTTATTAATTACGATTAATAAAAGATTATTCTTGTAAGTTAATCATCAGAAGATTTCTTTTGATTGATACTATCTTGTCACGAACCTTGTTCAAGTACACAATTTTCGTATGTCCAAAAAATAATTTCGACATCTCACTATCGTCAAAACTAATGACTCTCCGTCAGAAAATTGATTTAAGAGATATGATCTAATAGCAGTTTCTTTTATTCATTTATCTTTAACCTTAAAACAAATGATGTACGTGGTTTTCTTTTTCTTTTTTACTTATACATACTATGCGGTTAATGAAGGATGGCACATATGACGTGTTATCATCTTAAAAGAGAGAAAAATTGTATTTTACAAGACGAAAATATCAATCGAAAAAGTAAGTATTTACACATGACAAGAAAAGACAATAAGTCGAATATTCATGAGAAAGTTTTCATCTGTGAGAATCTTCTGATGTATGTGATTTTACACGAAATATTCTTTCTCATAATTACGATTATCGATATTTGTCTGAAATTTTTAACGAATGATAAGATGAATATATTTTAACTGTTAAATACATATTCATCAAGAGAAGAACAGAAGTTAAACGTTGATAAACTGTGGATAGTTGGTTTGATTTATTCAGAATATGTTCTTGAATACTAATGAATATTTAAATGAGTCGATTTGTAATGATCCATTGAAAACGCCATCTGCAACAATATTTGATCATACATCTTGTCATCAAAGTAGAACAAGAACCGAATAAAGTTAATTAATCATTCCTTACTTGGAAGAAAATTGTTGTAGAGATGTTTGATGATCTATTAGTTAAATAAAGCAAAACGATCGTTTGTTCGACGAACAAATCAATCAAATTCTACGTTTTGTTACGAAAAAAAAACCCGAATCGATTTGTAAGACAAGAGAGTCTGACTTACACGAAGGTCAACTTGATACTAATTTAAACAAATGATCGATAAAGGGCATTTTCGGCTTCTATGTCATCGAAAACAAAAAACATCACGATGGTCTTCCGGCTCTTACTTTTCCAATTCATCAGAAAGAAAAAAAAAGGGGAAATGCACTTACTATTTAAGGATCTTCTTATCGTAATTTCCGTATCGTCTCGATGAAATAATAGATCACTGAAGGTTACAATACATATCTCACTTGTTATTTGTTGATTATCGTGACGAGCATTCGAGAAATCAAATGTCAAACATATGGGATACAATGCATTCTATAAGCAATATATATATATACGTATCATATTAACAAAAAAAGTTTTCTCCCTCGACAAAGCTTGTTTTTTCTACATTTATGATTCGGAGAAAAAGTAATCGTCTTCCATCTCTCTTAATAAATCTTCATTTAACAGATTTCGCATCTCTAGATTTCTGTTTACAGTTCGAGTTATAAATAACTCGTTTTGGACCTGTTGTATAAAATCTTCAATTATCAATTTGTTTATCTGCTAATGGCGAATATTATCAATCACTTTCAGCAACTTTCACCAATAAATACTTCTGTGATAGAAAAAGACATTTGTCCAGTATTACTTACATTTCTTGTTATTTTTCTAACTAAACATTCTACCAAAATCAGATTTCTCATTGTGTCTCAATATGAATAAAACTATTCGACGTGTCGTGCTCAAAAAGAATATGTCAATATGAATAACACGCATGAAGAGAAACAAAATGAACAAGTTTTCGAATATTTTTCTCTCCTAGATGATCCATTTCATTGGAATCTTGCGTGTGAAACTTTCTCTCTAACTATCACACGTACAAGTCTAGACTGACAAAAAAAACTATTCTTTGGAAAAAAAAGCAGAAATTGTTTCCAAGAGAAAATTCTTCATATATGATTACAACTTCGTTATTCTTTCTTCGTAAGATAAAACCTAAAACGACATGTCTAATCTCTAACTCGATAATGATACATACATGTCTTCATATATACAGTTGATATTAATAAAGCGCATTGCTTTTACCAGGAATTGTGAGTAGTTTTGTAGAACCTTTATTTATACAAAAGAAAAGCATACGGATGAATGCGTACATATTTAATACATCTTGAAAACGTCTCTTCGTTCGATAAGAAATCTTGTTTGTCGTTAAAGAACATTCAATTAACAAAAATAAAATTATGTATCAATTGTGTTCTATCCAATATTATTCGATTACAGATTTGTTTCTAATAGTAAGAATATCTGGGAACATATCGTTAAATCTTTTTTTTTATCAATCAATAAAAGCGAGAAAGATGACATGTTACGCTTCCTTGGTTTGTAAATTCTGATAACATCCATGTTGATAGGAGAGAGAAAAAAAAACTTAAAAAGCATATTTGTAAAGGTTAAAGAAACAGAAGCTGAAGGAGAAGAAAGAATATCAATATAGTCAGTAACTCTCTCATGTACTCTATAATTTTTATCGTAATAAAGATCGTGTTACATAATATACATACAAATTAGTCTAAGCTGATCATATACAGTTTATTAACCCATGACCATGAAATGCTTTTTGTTCAAATTAAGATATGAATGATAGAATTGTGTTACATCGACTTTGATTTCTCTTTTCTGATAAGATCCAAGATCATACATCGATCTTTTCATTGATGAAAATCACATCTTTTCCATGCTTATGTATGTGGTATGATAAACGATCGTTTCCGAGTTGTAATTAACAATCAAGACATGTTAGAAAGTCAATTATACAAATCACTCAGGTGTAATCTAACAAACAGCTGATGAGATAATGAAAATAAATTAATAGTACAGTATTTTTACACTATCTACTAGATCCTTTGTGTACTTTTTGATACGGTATAAGTCTTCTGTATATAAATGAACATCATTTTTGCTTTTCAAATATATTTCAATCATATATATTTCTACTAAAAGTATTGAAGGCCAATGATATTTCACATTGTTCTATGATCGACATCGTTTGATGCTTTAGTTGAGTTTGTTGCTGCTAGGGTATTTGCTGTTTGTGTATTTTCCTGCACTTCCACTATCACGACTTGCGCGATCAGTTCCAACTGATGAATGAGATGCATCTGAAAAATATTCGACGAGTATTTGTGTATGAGAGAAAAGAAAATTTTACTAGCTGGTGCAGACATTTGTCTTCTTTTGATCTCTTGTTGAATGCGTTCGGTAATTTTGTCTAAAGTTTCAACAGGATAGTCAACTTCTCGTTGAATTTGACGAATCGGTCTTGTTGAAACATGTCGTAGATGACGTTCGGTATTATCTTCATCATAGTTCAAATTTAAACTTGCTATATAACTATCCGATTGTTCGCGTGTATATTCAGTGTTCTATGTAAGTTTTTCAATCACATATTTGTACTAATCAGAAGAGAAAACACTTACTTTTACACGTAAAATAGCATCTTTTTCTAAACGACGGACTCGTCGCGAAGCTCCTGACATGATTGGAGAGTTGCGCGTGATGTAAAACTTGTGCTTTGCTGCTTCTTTTTTGCGTATCAGAATAAATGACGAAGGAAAATGATAGATTTCCTTTTTTCTTCGTCCTAACTGAATACAATTATCGTCGCCAAATCCATTAGAACTCAGACGACGTCAGAGAAAAATATCTTATCATAAAGAATGAAAAAAAAAGAACATATGTACGAGTTTTTTTTTCCTCGATTCTATCGTTCTGTATATTCCGATATACATATAATAGAAATAACAAAACATTAATATACGATACCGTTGGATACAGAACAGCAATATGCATCCAATAGGTCATTGTATATCTCACTAAGGAAACGGAATACATTGAGGATTGTAAAACCTCTAAAGTTATTTGCGGTAGTTTTTTGTTTCTCTCGATTGACAAAACGGAAAAAATAAGATATATTATTTGTAGATATTATCGAGCGTAAGATAGAATAAAAACAGAATAACATCTATTAAAAGCCGCAAATTCGAGTGATAGTAGAGAGGAAGATTTCTTTCTTCGGACTATGTGATTTTTCATTTACATAATTAATTAGTCGAATTACAATACATGACGAGTTTGTGTTTATTTTAAAAAATATGTTTTATTTCGCCTGAAGAATTGTAGCACTAGTAGCGAAAGTTACTGTTGAATATTTGTTTTACTTATGAAACTGGAAAAAGATTCGAAATCATTGACGAGTTGTGTCATTGAATAAGGATGTTTCGTTTAGATTTGATATCAACGATTGAATGTGAAAAATAGGAGATAATAAAATCGTCGACGAAAAGAGAATTATCATGATACCAATTACTTTCATACCGAATCCAACTTTAATTAAATCGATCATTCTTACGTTACCACTTGAAAATATCATTGCATTAGGTGGAGTAGCTAAAAATAAAAAAGGACACTGCCGAAAATTCCTATGTATGAAAGACGTACCGATTGGCAACATAAAAGAAAGAGAAACCGCCATGCAAGATGGCAAAATAAGACGTGCTGCATGAATCTTCGCTGTATTTGCCTATTCAATAAGATCAAAATGTTCAGAAGTATATGAATAGAAGCGTATAACTTACGACACTATCAAGTATCGGAAATAAAATACTTGCACATGTGAGATTACTTGTAAATTCGGTAAATATTGCACTTATTAAAATTGTCACAAAGATCACAGTTATATCAGATGCTCCGACAACAAACTGAAGAAATGATGCTAACATTGACGACAAATCTGATGCCTAGAAGTTAGATGATAGGTTAAAATGCAATGTTGTGCATTCGCTTTACTTTAAAACCATCCGCAATGGCTAAACCAGCGCCCTGTAGCATAAATACACCCCATGGAAATGTTTTACAAATTTGTTCCCATCGAAGTATCGGATGGTATTGCCAATCTTCTACAAAATTCCTTTAGATAAAATTTTTTTTAAATTTCAATCATCACGTACTGTGAAATGGATTTTTGTCTGGTAAAATCAGAGGTAGTGTACCAATTAGCAATGCAATTGTTCCATCTGTAACATAACTAAATGAAATTGGACTCTAGAATGATTTTCTAGGCAAAGTAAAATTTCTACTCTTTTCGAAAGATGACCTTCCATCCAGAGTAACTTGAAAAATCTCTTGTTACCCATAATGCCACCATTGAAACGAATAAAATAGTTATTATGTATTCACGCCAATTAAAACTACCCAGCTCTTCATACTGTTTTTTAAGTACAGATCGCAAATGATGTTGAGATTCGATAGCTTTTCGATCTTTTTTCAACCAAAAGAGCAATCTAAACAAATCGATGATGATCACATCCTTTGTTATATAGACTTACTCTTGACGATTGTATAATAATTGCAACCATAACCAACAACATAAAAGCATGATGATACCAGTGGGTAGAGCAAATAGAAGGAAATTGGTAAAAGTTATTTCGAATGCGTGTTGACCTTTACTGTAAAATCTAGTTCAAAAGAATTTCGTTATTTCCTGTCATCTGAGTGAAATCAAGTTACTCGTCAGTAAATCCTTTGATAAAAATGTTCGGACCAGTTCCAACTAGTGTTGCGAGACCACCAATAGCTGCGCTATATGCTACAGCAATGAGAAAACCTGTGAACATACAATTGTGTATCACCATGTCAATTTACACATCAAGATTACCAGTTTTGAGCTGCTGATAACGTTTTTGTGTGTTGTCGCTAAGAAAACCAGGCAGTCGAGAGCTCAGATGGATAGATTCACAACTTACACAACTACTTGATTATTCATATCAATGGTAATGGTTCCTTCAGTATCCAAATGCTCCGACTTTTCTGCATTCATATAGCACGAATCATCAAAGGCAACTAATAATGAAAATACAAACAGCAAATATTATTTAGAGCAAAAACGGTGAAAAGTTCGCACCGGTCACTTCTATGGGTGAAATATTCTCGGGTTTTGTGTCTACTATTTCATCGTTTTGATTGGTAACTTGTTGTTGAGCTGTACTATGATGCTTTTGAAGTTCCTCGACGATAGCAATCGCTGCTGGTATCATAATGCTCGTTGCAGCTGAATTATTGATCCACATACTTATAAAGGCAGTTACTCCCATCAAACCAGCCATAATCCTATGAATAAAAGGATAATCAAATGTAATTTTCCGATAAAAGAGTAATTAATTCAAACCATTTGATAGATGAACTAATAACACTAAGAAGAAATAATGCTAATCTTCGATGTAAACCCACGTGTTCAATTGCTTGAGCTAACATCATACTTCCGACAAATAATATTGTGATATCCTAAGAAAAGCATAGAATAGAGAATTTCTGTAATCCAGTTGAATTTGATTTACTTTGAAATAGTTTGTACCGACACGATCGCTGGGTAAAATACCTGCCATTGGGAAGAAACATAATGGAAGCAAGGAAGTCACTGCATAGGGCATTGCTTCAGATACCCAGTAAATTGATAAAAGTAATACTACATAAGCGCATCGAATTTGCTAAATAAATTCGTGAAATATACTGTTCACTTTTCTAACCAATGAATTTTCAACTTACAATTGTTTTGATAATGAGTGGAAGTGGTAATAGTACCATCGGTGCGAGTAAGATTATCAGTAGACGCCACCATCGCTTGATAACTCTGATCTGACTTGATTGTGCCACCATTTTCTAGTACTTCATACCACTCTGTATTTCCAGAATTTTTCGAAGAATATCAGTTTTCGTTTCAGATCTACTGTGCCATCCGTTTATATAAGAGCTACTACACCCTAAAGTCAAATAATCGATATTACCATATTAGTTATATCGATCCGAGCACTACAAAGTTCACCGGATCAATCCTTTCAAAGGTGAGTTACTGTGTATTAAAGCACAGTACCAACGCCCTATGAGATTAAGAATGATAAAAGTACGATCGATAATCCTTAAATAACAACATAAGTACATATGAAAATAAGACAATGTTGATCTCCAATGACAAGGCTGACTCAACCATTTACGTCATGTCATTGATCTGTCTTCGAAAACATATGAAAATTCAATAGATATCAAATGGTTTGAACAATTTAATTATACTTTGCACTGAATAGAATCCAATATTTGATTGAAATTAAGAGAAATCATTTATTGTAAGAGAATAGAGAATAAATCACTATTCGAAAGGATTTAAATCCATGCTGTTGGGTAATCCCTTTCAGTTGATAAACGCTTCTTGTCACTTTGTGAACTATTCATTGTCAATTCCGCTATATTATAAGCTTTAATGATTTTTATATCTTGTATGGCAACTATTGATGTGTGCTGAACATGAATAGTTGACGGGATTTGTTGTGATGCTTTTTTTCATATACTGAAAATTTAAAAAACTAACAATTGTTACCAAGTTTCCTGCTAATTCGATCTGATTTATGGTTGAAATATTGGCAATTTTACTTCTGGATTGAGACACAGATGAATTCTCTGTAAATGTTAATGATCAAGCTTTGGAAATGTTACTTGTCAAAATCAATCTGTTTGTGTTGCTCTATTTCGAAAGAGAAAACAGATATCATCCATCACAATTATTTGCATTGTAGTGATGTTCATTCGAGTTAATGATCAATGACAATTTTGATTCGTTTAACACAACTCACTATTCGAATCATATTGTTTCTTGATTTCTATAATTGTAAATACAATGAGTGAACATGGGTTTATCTTGATCGGAAACTCTAAATAGATATGACATTGATTATTGCACAGATGCAGATACTCAGCAGTTTCCTTCTGTGTAATTTCGTTGTTGTACTATTTCAGATGTCTCCTGAATTGATTGAGCACACAAGAAAGTGGAAAACCAACGTTTCCTTTCGTCTTTTTTATCTGATTGTCTAAATGTTTGTTCCTAATGGAAAAAAATGTAAGAGCTATGTGCCTTTTACTTCTGCAATCCATTTATTGTATTTACACGTTTGTAGTAATATCGAAGAGTGGTGATCGAATCACTGACAGCAAAGAAGCAGAAGTAAACGCACACATGGAGAAAGTTTAAACAATGAACCGATTCATTCCTGTCAACAATTCGATGTTTTTCAACGCGACGGCGTCATCAAATGTATAAGTAAATGAGTTTTACATTATACTATTTCGATTAAATAAATGGCACAGAAGACGTTACGGAATTTGTTAGAGAAATCACCGATGAGTTTGTTTGTATAAACAGCTAATGTATATTGCTCTTTGTGGACGATAGCTATAGCAAACATTGAATAAAAGCGCTATATTTATTTTTTTCTCTGTAGATATTCCACATCTCTAAGCGTCAGCAGCAGGGATCATGGAGTTGAACACCTCGATTATATCTCACTTCTCAAATGAAAAATCATGAATAGAAATAACTATCAAAAAAGCTATTTTCTTTGATATTTAGCATGTGAAAGAAAAATCCTTTTAAAATCAAATGGAAAAAGTCTAATCTCTTTTGACGAGAAATCTGGTAAACGTGTCTCATGATACAAACAGGTGCAGTGAATATAGACTGAAATCATTCCGTCGATATTAATTGTCACTCACGTATATTAATCTTTCTCATTATAAATCGTCAAAATCATTTGTTAGCGACGTGACTTCGTCAAATTGCAGCACGTATATCTTAGACAAATGAACTCTTTCAGAGTTTATTTTTATAGTGTATGGATGCCAAGTTACTAAATATATTCTGGAAGAGATCATCTACAAAGACTCTAGTTTGAAGGAGCGACAAGCACAAAGAGTAGCGTTAGTGACGTCGTCGAGTACAAATGGTTGAATAGAAAAAGGTTTAAACGAATTCATGTGAAGATGAGTCATCCTTCAGTACTTTATGATTATGAAAAAGTAAAAAATTTTTGTTTTGATTCTTGAGGAGCTGAGAGATCGAACAGTTTTACCATATATGCAGGTTAGGTCATAGAGCTTATTATCTTGAAGTTTTCAAAGGTTTTCATCATGTCTTTAGAGAAATATTCGCTAATAACTTGTTAATTTTAATTATATATCATTAGAAAGAGCAAACATTTTTTAAATATTTTATGAGAAAAGAATTTTGATCAGAAAAGGTACTGTCGTCAAAAATCAAAACAAAAAGAAAGGTCAATGCCCTGTCTTGCGTGATTTTGTCCATATAAAGATGTAGATGAGAGAGTGATGAAGTGAGTCTAATGAAAATATGTACTCTTGCCAGTAGTCATAATCTCGAGGAATACAAACATATTCAGCAATGTATTTATTTATTTTATGAGTTGTACAGTAGTGTTTCTGACAACGATTTGCATAGAAGTAAAAAGTCGTAAATTGTAACAAATCAAATCTTTGATAAATATCATTCGTGGAAACTAAGGGGATAAGTATGAAGATACGCAAAAAGAAGTATATAACCTTCATTACGAAGAAAAACGTGTTATTCTAGCGTGAAACATGCATTAGTGCTGTCATTCAAACTCTCATTTACCCATATACTAATGTTGTCTTGGTTACTGAAGTTTCTTCTTCTAATAAACGCTGAAAAATTTTAGATAATACCTACAATTAGAATCCAGCGGAGTATTACTCATGCTGATACCAAACTGATCTTCGACATCTTTTTTCTTGTGAGGGTACTTCTCTCTCGTTGAAATGAAAATATTGAATAGATTCATTTGTCGTTCGTCGAGTTTCCCTGTCTCTATGGTAACAACAACGAATAACATCAGGATATAATCTCACAATAATTTTGACGACATATTCATTTCTAACATGAATGAATCTATTAATCTTGATTTTCCCTCATCTAGCTTTACCCTTACTATCATTCAAACAGCAATATTTTTTCTCACAATCGTTTTTGCTATCGCTTACACAACTCTTATTCTTGTCGAATCTACACTTCGTAAAAACAAATTAAATTGGTTCACAATCAATGTTTGTCTCACAAGTGTATTATTTAGTACTATTATGATAATGCTGAATATTCAACAATTACTCGGTGTAACTGGTAATATATCCTGTCAGTCTACAGCTTATCTGGTAACTATGATCGCATGTCAGTTGATGTATTCGCATTGCGTATTCGCCATCAGTAGACTTCTCACGATTGTTTATGCACATAAGCGTATATTTCGTTCAAATTTATGTCTGTGGGGTTACATCATTGCAGGATGGATTGTTGCTTTCTTACTTGCTTTGCCGTACTCGTTCACGGACTTTCTTATGTGTTCCAAATCAGAGGAAATAACTTTTATATCTTACTATGCTCTGATAACTATTCTATTCTTACCAATCATAATCATTACTGCATGCAATACTCGCACTCTTATGTTCGTGCGTCATTCTGCACGTCGAGTACATGCTGGCAATACCGTTGGTCAAGTGTCGCATAAACGTGATGTCTTTTTAGTTAAGTTAACTATTGGCACTTTTATAATGTTCATAGTAGGATGGACACCTTCTTTTACTATACAAATATTTCAGAAAACTGCTTATATTCCAAACATTGCAAACGAATGTTTTCATGTCTTGCCCTCAATAGCTTTACTTGGCGACGTATTACTGTTGATATTTACTAATCAGCCGGTGCGTGTCTTGGTTAAGAATTTCACAAATAAAATCTTCCATCTTTGATGTATCACTAAAGAACTCGATCAATATCTATGAAGAACAGTGTCTTTTTACAGCGCCATATTCATGAAAATATTTGCGTACACGGATTTATCGGGGCGCGAAGCCCTTCACCAAATACTTTGTCAATAACTATGTTTATACGCTAATTTACACTCTTCTTTTCTCTCTCTCTTTTCTCAGCACGTTACGTTTCTAACGTACTACAGTGCTTTTTGTAACATAATATTTGGTTTATTTTGAACAATCAATATCAACACAGATCAATCGTGAAATGCGTTGATTCTCAAATAAAACTATCCTTACTCATATCGAAATCGATAGTCATATGACAAAGAGTTCCATACGGATCACCTTCAGCTTTATAGTATGAAGAAAAGTGAGACAGAAAAACTTGTTTTGTAAATTACGATCGAAAATAAGTCAACGTTTCTCAGAATAAGTATTTTCTCTATCTCAACTCCCGTAAATTACAAAAGTCAGTTGATACTCAAGAGAGGCTATCGTATACATTTGATAACATTGTATAAACGCATTTTATTATTCGTCGTTATGTCAATGAAAGAGACAGAAGAGAAAAATTCTTTGCGTAAGTAGATAATAATACACTGCTGTGCATCATCTGCTTCTTTTTCCACGAAAGTCATAACTTTTGGATATTAATAATCAACGGTATGGATTATATTTGAGTTCACATAGAGAAATGGACATATATATTCGTAGTGAGGTTCCATTATTATTCTTTAGTATCCAATTTCTACATATCTTATGAAACAGGTATGACGTTATCGAGTGACTCATTTTATTGTGTGTTGGAAATTTTTCTTTTTCGGAACTAAGATTTTTCTGGACATAAAATTCTTTGAGAACTTCATATGTTTTAGAATACTTTCTTATAGAGCAGTATCAGATATTACTTAATCAATTTCACTTTTTGCTCGTAGATAAGACAATTCCTTTGTGAAATATGGGAAACAAGCAAAGTTCACAGCTAAATAAACAAAAGTTTGTGCCACATTTGCTATTCAATATGAACTTGTGTTAACCATTTTCTTTTCATTATAGAGGAAATGTAGACAAAAATGTTTCCTCTACGCATATATGCAACCGATGTCATGAACAATTTAGTACAGAGATGGATCTTCAATATCATCGAGTGAGTAGGAAACCGTATGAGTGCTGTTATGCACAATTTGATAGAAAATCATTGGTTGTTATGAAAAAGTAAAGTAAGCAGTCAGGAAACACATCAATAATTGATGCTAACAATCCATTCCAGCATGTTATTGAATATAGAGAAATATGCGGTTGAATCCGAGCATTTGTTTTACTATCGATGTTCTGTGGATGACGAACTATATATTGGTATTGTCATTTTCTAGTGTAAGAAAGACGCAGTACACGCTGCAACTCCGAAACCAATAGAAGACGTGACAGGTAAATCTGCACATACATCTGTTTTTTTCCACAGAGTTTATCAGCCTTTTAAGCATTACATGGCTGTCACTTAGTAATGTCATCAATTTCATTGACTTGTTGTAGAAGTTAAAGTCTTCAGTGGCTCGATCCATGTCTGCACAGGCGATATCACACAACAAAAGGCAAGATCAAATAAAAATTCCTTGATTATAAGGAAGATATTGGGCGATGATTAAGAAAACTATTATTTTCCTTTCATTTTTTCCTTTTATAATTATATATGATTATTTTCTATTCATACAGATGGATGCCATCGTTGTGACGACAACAACCGCTCGTTACAGAGACTCTGTTCTTCAGAAAGCAGGCGATTCTATCAAAAAACTCTACACAGAACAGACACAAGCTAAACCAGATGCACCTTTTAGTACCGATAGTGGACACCTACCGTGCAAAAAGATATTCTTTATACCGTCTTCGAAACTATCTAAAACTGCTGATAGATGGGTGTTTCGAACCATTGTTTCAGAAGCTATACAACTGCTTGTTGAAGAAAAGACGGTCAATATTCGATCGATCGTATTTCCGGCTGTCGGTTGTGGTCTACATGGTTGTGATACAACCTTTGTTGCAGAAACATTACTGAGAGCTGTTGCTTACGAGCTTGAACAACGACCAAACTTACCCCTATCTGTTTACTTTATCGTTCAATCAAGAGATTCTATCGTTTTTAATAAGTTTGCAGAGCAGTTAAAGCTGCTGAAATCTCCTCCGCAATCATCTGCACGGCGCTCAATAGTACCTAGAAAACCTTCAGCGAAAGATAATGCACCAGTTTTCGAACGCAGAGTGCTAGATCCATCTAGCGATGCATATAAAGAAGTTGTTCAACAATTTCGAAAAACTATATCTGACCAGCACTGCAAACAAATTGTTCGTATTGAGAATATTCGAAATAAACGTTGGTACAGGCAGTATTTAGCAGAAAGAGACGATTTCAATTACCGACTCAAAGGAAATACGGAAAAACGCTTATTCCATGGATGCTCAGAGAAAGCGGCTGATAGTATTATGAAGGAATTTTTCAATCGAGGCTTTGCCGGTGATCACGGTGTGTATAACTTTTTCGTACTAGTACTTATCAGTCCAGTTTTGACATCATCCACTTTTGTTTTTGACACTAGGTGTTGCTTATGGGCAAGGATGTTACTTTTCATTAAATGCAAGTTATAGTCATACGTACGCAACAGCTAATGACAAAGGGGAACGCCGAATGTTTTTAGCACGTGTGTTAGTTGGAAAGACAACGAGAGGTGATCGTTCTATGAAGGTGTGTCCTCCGGGATTTGATTCAACTACAGATGGTTCTCACATATTTGTTGTTTATCGAGACAGTCAAGCATTTGGAGAATATTTGATTACTTATAAATAACTTTCCGGAATTTCAGTGATAATCGACATATAGAGAGATATTGTACAAACTCGAATGAATATGAAATTTTAACCTATTTACACACAGTTCGTTGAAGTATATCTGTAATTCATGCAAAGAGTGAGGATAAGGGCGTCAGATACGTACCCACAACCTAGAAATTTCTTAATAATCTAAATCATTAGGTTTGACTATTCAAAAAATTTCATATTGAAGTAAGTCATTCATTGTCATTGTATACATAGCTATACCGCGAGAAGCGGTTAGCTACTCAGCCAGTTTATCATTAGAGCATACTCATTCGATCTATCGAATGAAACAGTTTAGTACAAAAACTGAATACATGCTTTAAAAAAAGTATCTATTGTCAACGATTTCTGTTATATATATACTGCTAGATCTTTGCTAGTTGGAAACAGGTGATTCCGTTGGCAACGCATTCTTCAATAATTGGCATTTCCGATTTTCTTTTTTTACGTCGGATGCTATATTACAAGGTCATAGGACTAGTATTTTTTATAGATGACATTATTTAACTGCTAAGCATTGATTATGAACACCATTGTGCAATGATACCCAGGTCAACAAATCCGATGCTGGATCCGATCGGATCTTACCGGATCCGACCATCCGACAAAATCCGATCGGATTCCTGGAAACAGAATTGCATTGGAATCCGACTAGAAAAATCCCGTCGGTTGTTGCAAATTTTATGAGCGATCTTTCTAGCTATATTCTATGATGATCCTTAGAAACTCCAGGAAATCCATGTTTCGGGTCCGACGTGGGATCCGATCGGATCCGAGACCGTCGGAATCCAATGCGATTCCGTCACCAGGATTTCATCGGATCCGTCGAATTCCTGTAGGATCCGATAAAATTCTGTATTGGATCCGATGGGATCCGAGTATGGGATTGTTCGACCTGGGTACGCGTTAAAAGATTTTCACTTGAGCCGTTTATGTATTTCTAGATTTCATGCTAATTCTAGAAATGATTAATTTATCTGCTCCGCAATTATAATCGAAAATTGTCGATGCACTTGTACACAGAGATTACAATGAAGTAGTAAAGGTAACTAGTTTTGTTCTGTGCAATTCATCTGTGTTAAGCACCATATCTTCTTATTTTTAGATTTATTCCGACTTAATTGAACATTGTAACGAACAAAATAATGCCGGCCTTTTTCTTCCCAAAAAGAAATATCAAAGTAATCTTTTTATCAATTTTTATTGTCGACTTTGCATGCATTTGTCTTTATAGATTCATCAGATGTTTGTAAGACGGCCCTTAGTCTCGGTCAAAGATATATTTTTCCTCGTGTTCGTAAATGGTAAGTGGCGTAGTATTAGCGTATAGTACATCTAATTGTATTTTTCCTGTATATAGTGAAGCCTTAAACTACATGGGAACGGTAAACGAAGCAAAACGGTCATTAAAAAGTCACACGATATCATAGGTAATTTGTTTAATCTAACTACCCATTAAATAGTCTTTTTTTTCAGGTAAAACAGCACCCAGCAGAGTTTTCACTGTTAGCCTACTTTTATCCCGAAATTAAAACAAAGGAATCGATAAGATATTGAGCCATTCGGAGACTGACTGAACATGATTTACAAATCTGTATAACGATTAAACATCGGTTAGATCGATGATGAATAAAGATGGTTTCACGATCCTGTTAGCTCTGGTTGGAAGGACAAATACATTGGGACACAGATTAAGAGTCTTTCGTCAGATTGAACTTTTTCACGTATGCTGAACATATCTTTCATCACAGTAGTAAAATATGTATATAGTGACGAGTCCCTATATAATGTGATATACGTGATGCGATTCATACTTTCTTGGTTTAACTGTAACTTAGAGAAGACAACTAACTAGCAGGTGAGCATATAGGTGGGCTCAAATTGACATGCTTAGAATATAAATAAACGTCAGTTTTCATTTTAACGACATTCTCTTTTCTCTTTAGAACGGTGATTCCTGAAGCAGTATTCTATGAATTTCCGACGAAAACTAACGGGAAACGCCCCGTTTCCGTACGAGATTGTTCGACCTGGACTATTCAATGCTTTTCCTTCAGTATTCTTTTCATCGCTCCATGTCTCCTAAAATCAGCTTCGAATTTTCGTCAATGGTGACATATGGAGATATTCTTCAGACACGACAGTCAGTTATAATGTTTTTCAAACGAAATTTCAATTGTTAACTGTGTTTTTGTTTCACATAAGCTTCTGTTAAATAAATGGCTCTACGCACTACTCATTTTTGTCCTCTAAAGATTTCGTTTCTCCGCTGATATATGTGGTCTCATTTAACAATGAGTAATCCGATCTAAACTCTGAAGGACATCGATATAACCTTATAAAACATTTCTCTTTTTGTCGTTCTTTCTTCGAAATCATTTAAATTTAGAGCAAAACAAAATCTGAGAAAAAAGTTCTCATCAACTTTATAGAACAAAGTGACACTAGAAATGAAAAACGAAGAATACAAACAAGGTGACGAGAAAAAGAAACTATAAACACATAGAATGAAAACATAAAACTGTTATGAAACAGATATCACTGATATACATAGATTATACACGAGAAGGAATATCAATCATTGTCAACACTATCGAATCTTGTTGAATAAATTGAGTACACTGTCAGACTCTTTGTTTGCGCGACATTTTGTAAACACATTCCAAAATCGCAGTGTTTCATCCCCAGCACCTGTGACAATCGACTCACCATCAGGTGAGACAGCCAAATATAGGACACGAAACGTGTGCCCAGTCAAACGAGCTAGTTGTAACATCGACGGATATTTCCAAACAACAATTTGATTCTGAGAATAGCCATGCTATAAATAGAAAGTTTAAAGAAGGAAATCGGACGAATGACAATGTGTTTACCGTTGATACGAGTTCATTGGAGTGTTTCGACCAAGCTAAATTACATACTTGAGATCCTGTGTCGATACATTGTAAACTTTGCGCAGTTAACGTATTCCAAAATCGAATATATCGATCAGCTGTTCCACCACCACTTGCCAGTAATCCTTGTTGATGTGGACTCCATGCAATGGCTTTGACAGCGGCTGTATGGTCCGTATAGATTTGTATAGGATTAATACATGATTGATTCCATACAAGTAATCGATTATCATTTCCACCACTGGCTAGTAATTGACGATCAGGTGACCATTTCAATCCGCACACTTCTTGTCGATGTCCAGCTAGTTTTCTTTCTTGTTTATTGGAACGTGTATCATTTTGTAAGATGAATCGATCACGTGAACCCGAGTAGATACAATGATCATTCCAAGCTAATGCGCCAACACGTGCTGTATGACGTGGAAACGATGCTGTTTTCCGATTTGTTTGTGCATCCCAAATTTGAACGATACCTTTATGTGTGCCAACAGCGACGTATTGTCCTCGATCACTCCATGCGACACTGGTTACTGTATCTGATTCCGTTTGTAAATCACATAAGCGTGTAACATTACTTGTATTCGCGTTCCACAAATAGACAGATGCATTAAGACCAACGGCAAGAATGTTTGTTGATGACCAATCAACAAGATTTAAATAGAAATCATCTTGAAGTTCAGGTGCATCAAGAACTTTAAAGGGCGTTTTAGGAATTTTTCGTAGCTGTTTACGTGGCGAACGTAGAAGACGAGTTGATGCAGGCGATAAGAGTGAAAGTGAATAAGGCGAATAATGAAGATCATCTGCATTTCGACGAGCTGAATAACGAAATATTGTATTTGGATCACGTGTACGTAGTAGATTCGAGTTTGTATTCGTATATGGTAAACGCTGTTGAAATGACTGAGTAAGAATCCCCTAAAATGGATTGCTATTTGATAGATGAGACAAAATCAAATAGAAGAATTACATTTAGGCCCGAGATGGAAGTTGTATGTGTTTGTCCATTTCCAGCCGTTGTATTGAGTTGTACGTTGATTGTTCCGCTATTCATTGGATCAAGAATTGTATTTGATGATGCTGTTGCGTGAAGATGAACATTACTGGTATTATTGTATGAATTGTTCGTATAATAGTCATCATACAATGTATCTATTTGTGTGCCAAACATTTCATTCTGCAATAGGGTTTGGTAAGTCAAAATATCTTTCGTTCTATCAGCTGCGCTCGTGGTAACATGATTTGAAAAATTTCCACTTGCGTTCGTTGTCGTCGTCGTTATCGAAGAAGATAGATCACGTGAAGTTTTTTTATCAGTCATTGGTCCTTTATACGTTTGTTCCTGATCGACAAAAAATGCAGACGGTTGTGCTAAACTTCGAAGAGGAACAAAACGATCACTGCATTTGATAGGAGACGGAGATGATGTTGATGATGAAAATGGAGATGATGACAGAGATGAACAACCTGACATCGATCGAATGAGTCGACGTTCAAAATCGGGCTCCATGGTTATATCTTCTTTATAAAAAGATTAAAACTTTACTGTGACAAGAACCAATGTACTGATCACATGAATATAGAATAGAATGTGTGTAGAAGATTGAGACCTCTCTCGTGATTTGTCACTTTTCAACCGCCAATCCGAATTGCATCAACATCCTTCGTGTATATAAATATATTCATTTTTCTGATCAAAGTGCCTGTATCCTTTGAAATTATCGTAATACAAACATACATTTTAGATCGATTGAATAAATTCTTTCGTTGTCTTTATCCCTGAAAAATGTTTTAAATAGGTGGCGCTAATACATCCTAGTCATATATCGTACGAATACGAATGATACTATGATGATTCTGGAAACATATTGCAAGAGTAATCTAAATCTGAACTTGAGCATTTGAATTCGATCAGAATTAGTAGTAGAAATTATATATTTGAAAATCTTTGACTGATTGAGAAATTGAACAACATAAAATAGAACGCATGATTAAAGAATTAATAGACAAAATGAGAAAACGGCAAGTGATAAATGGAAAGAAAAGAGACATTTAAACGTCTGCTCGTTTTTTCTAGATGATATTTTCTATTCGCTATGAGCTGTTGTTCGATGATGTACGTCCATATCTTCTTTTGTTGCTGTCGATAAATCAGGATACAATTTGTTGTTACCAGCAACTGGACACTAAAATATGAAAAATTCATACACTATAATCATCGAATTGATTTGACTTATTCCTTACTTTCGAAGCATCTGTTTTCTTCTTTGGCATTGGACATGATTCTGGCATACGAATACCAAGTTTCGCTCCGAATTGCTCTAATTTTTCACCCCAAACTCCAAGCTGAGTGCCAACGATTCTCAACGGTGGATAATACTGGCAGAGTCGTTCATAAATTGGACGAATGTATGGTTCAAGAAATTTACACCAAATGACAATAGCTAAGCCAACGAAAATGCAAGGTACACAGACCATTTTTGCTGGTTATTTCCTTCTTTCTATCTAAAACAGAATATGAATGAAACAAAGCGCTAAAGGAAATGTCATGTTCATATATAAAAACACAAATATCTTCAAAAGACAGTATTTTGAAATACCGTTGAAGACGATTCTTATATAAATAATCTTATTTCATATTATGCGTCAGTCGATCTGAAAATGATGATGATGATGATGATGATGATCAAGTTGTTGTTTATTGGTATTGGTTCTTATTAAAAGATCAATCAGAATGAAATATTAAGTAGAGTAAAGCTATTTCCAATCTCAGTCAACATGAGCTCAGGAAAGAATTTTGACGATTGAAAGAAAAAATTATCGATTATGAATCTATTTTCATCTATAGATGTCACCTATAGAACATTGTAGTCTGCAGACGATAGAAGCTCTGGTGTGGCTTAACCAATGGTTCGTAAAATTTTACAGCACAGAGTTACAGATAATAACAGTTATTCTAAGTAGATTTGAATACTAATAACTCTATTGTAAATACAAAATTCAAGTCTTTTGCCTTTTAAATGATATCATTAATTATTGTTTTTTAGCAGTTTTCCTGTCATCATTGAATACAACATGTTTTATTGACACTCACATATACCGAAAGTTGAATTCATGCAAGGATATATTTCACATATGAAAACAAAAATGGAACGACCAGACAAGAATAGAGAAAAAGAAATGTTTATCGACGATATTTCCATTTGCGGAAATGAAACCATAATTGAAAGATACCATTTTGAAAATGGCATCGAAAGCCATGTTTATACGAAAAGTCCCATTCTTTGCTGACAATTTTGAATGCAATGTCCTGAAGAAAACGCAATTATTTCACATAACTCTTTCACCTGACTTCTTACCTCATATGGTGGACCAGCATGGAATTTTAAGATTGAAAAATCACGATTATCTTCACAGACCGTCTAAAATCACAAGATAAGTATTGTTTACATTTGAACATAAGAACACATACCAAGCTATACGATGGTGTTTTCGTCTTGTCGATCAAATCAGGATAGAAAATCTAAAACACAGAATTAAAATAAATCCTGCTTTACACAATCACTTACATTAAATTTATATCCTTGAACTGTTTTAGGCGGCGGATTATCCGTATCATAATGTTTCTTATTATATTGATTCCAATCATAACCCTAAAAGAGAAGATGTTTATTACCCGAATTCAAATACAATTTGTCAACCTACTGTATGAACTTTATTGAAAACACGAGGTTTGCGTGGTCGATATTTATCTGACCATAGATATTGTACATCCATTGGTACACCAGTATTAACATCTGTGTCATCAGCTGTTAAGGTACCCATTGTTCTTGCATAAGCTTCAAATGCGTCTTCAACATCGGGTTTAACTGAACCGGACTTCATCACTGATTCTCGTTGTTGTCTTAATTTTTCCCAATCATCTGTTTCATCCGTGCAACGCTTTTGAATTTCCAAATCCAAATCATTGATACTGACTAATATTGGTGAATAACGACCTTGTTCATAATTACGTATACACTGATTTTCTAATTCTTCCGAAAATAGGTATTCATTATCGTTGTTAAATTCCGTTGCATCAATGTCTTTTTTCTTCTTCGGTATTGTTGATGATGATGAGGAGGAAATTACAGATGAAGTAGATACAGGTGCATGGAATATTCCTTGTTCTTGTTTAATCTTCTGCAATTTTCGTTTCAATGTTAACTGATGGCGATCGTGAAGACGAGCTCGAGCCATATGTGCTTGCAATTGAGATAAAAGTGATTCCCAAAAACCAATATCGATACCTTTTTCATTTTCAATTTTCGATCTAAACAAGAATATGATTATTATGAAACAAGAAATGAAATACACATACCTAATTCTTTGTTCCAATTGTTCGAGCTGTTGTGGACTTTTGTTTTTAAATGTTTCCGTGACATCTTGAGAAACAGATTCATGAATACCGTCACGTCGATCATCAACTCGTTGATCATTGTACAATTTCGAAGATAGTTTTTTTAGTTTTGCTAATTCATCTTCAGTTATTGTCGTAACATCCTGCCAATATTGCGCATCATAATTATGTGCTAGTTTTCCACTTGTTTTCTGTTGTTGTTCTAACTCCGTGTATACACGAATGTCAGCAAGTAAATCTTCGAGATCACGAATGGTAAGACCGTTTAAATAAGTAGATGGTTCGTGCATTTCCACAGCTAAATCGTCATCATCTTCATTGATATAATGAGCGAGAAGATCAATAGGTTTAGCACGCCCATCGGTAATACGGATTTTGGACCGAAGACGAACTTGATTGAAATGAAATGAATCTTCTTGTTTTTCCCATTCACGATAGTATTCAGCTTCTTTGACTCGTTGTAGAAATTCTTTTTCTTTTTCCATTTCCACTTTTTGACGTTCACGTTCTAATCGTTGTTTCTTCAATTTTTCTAATTCATTCTAAATAAATCCCATTTGATTGTTTGTCTCTCGATAGACAAAATGTCAACTTACTTTGTTTTCTTCAACACGCCGCGCTGTCATCGTTTTCAATTGGTCTGGTGCAACATCTGTTAGACCTTTCTTTTCTAATTTCTTTCCCCATACAAAAGTATCTAACAATTTTTCATCTCCGAATGGATTGTTTGCATTTGTCATACCCTATTGTAAAAGAAGAGATTTTTTATCAGAATAAAATTTAAATTCGATCATACTAGTTGCTCAGTATCCCATCCTAGAGCTGCTTTTTGTCGTCGTTCCTTTTCCATTTTCTTCGCTAAACGCCGTTGTCGTTTCTCGTGCGGAGTTTCATAAACTTTTCGGAGTTCACGCTGACGTCTAAACATTCGATAAGTATAAATCAAGATATGAAAATATTTACCTTTTCTCGAGTTTTATTTCATATCCTTCACGTTCGATATCTTCCATTGTTCGACCTTTGGTTGAAGTGGGCCGTTCTCGATATTCTTCTTCAGATGTTTTGGAACTTTTACTAGACGATGCTGATGACGACGACGATGAAGATGGTGTACGACGACGTTCACGATGTCGGTGTTTGCGATCATCATCAACACTTCTATCTCGACTTCGATGCCGATGATGTTTCTTGTGTTTCGAATGGCCCATAGAGAGCTAAACGAAATGACGGTAATTTGAACTGAAATTACCTATTTGCTTGAATCTTCTTTTGTGAATTATTGCATTGCAGCAATAACGTCTGTTTCTTGTATTGGTCTGTATCGAGTGATCAATCGAAAAATAAGATTTCAAAAATCGAAAATCTTCCGTTCAATTTTTAATCAAGGTGAAAAAATTGTGAAAAGCAAAAGAAGATAATGAAATTTGAATTTATTTGATCTGTTGGATAGATGTCGCTTTACAACAGACAATGTTTCATTGCCCTTGAAAATTGAATATACTGTCCAACTCGAAAGTTAGTTTTTTAAGCCATATATCTTTTATTAACAAGCACATCAAGAGTCGTTTCGTAAAACAAGTTGCTCCCGATAGCAAGCTGGATATACACAATAGTACAATATCCACGTCATTTTCCGCACTAGCTGAACAATCCTCATCTAAAATCTTGATGACTTTTAACTAATAACTAATAAATCGCAAAAGTATTAACATCGAACAAAGCTGATTAAAGATAATTCATTACACAAATCCTGGAATCCATTGTCGATCTAAGATAGACAAGTTTTTCAATTACAATTGCACTCGAGTGCATTATCAACAGCATGCGAATGTTTTAGTATCTGCTTTTCTCTCTTGATGTGTGATAATCAACGTAATGGCGATAGATAGAAAAATGAAAATCTTCCTAATAAAATGAAAGAAGATAAAATCACCGAAATATATGGTAATTTATTCCATTTATAGATGTCGCTTTAGAAAAATGCCGAAAAATCTTCATAAAATGATAAATTCTCTATTTGTTCAGACATTCGACGCCCATAAATCCATAAAACTAATTAAAAATTTCTTAAATGGATCGATCTTTTCGCCAATAATATTCGTCTGAGATGACAGGACAACAACAACAATATTCCATGAAGAACAACAAATAGGATTAGTCGTATGAAATCTTTTTTTCCAGTTCTGTTCTATTTTTTTTTCTTTCTGCAAAACCTCTTCGTTTGGTCATAATGTAAAGAATATAACATATCTTTTTATGTATATTTCGTTCTGGATTTAGATATGCACGAATTGAATTGAATTCTTCATTATTTTTAATCATCGAAGCATGAGTATTGGTGACACTCTATTATCAAAACATGCTTTCCTTCGTATCGATTTGTCAAGCAATCTGATATTCTGAATGTTTATGCATATCTATGTCATCGTCAACATCATCTTCATCACTTTTGCTGTGTGTTTTAGTCAAAAGTGCAAGAATTCAATTGTCTGACAGTCAGTTTGACTTTGTAAAATCACAGACAGTTAAATGTTCATTTCTTTCTTAACTGCTTAGACGAATGCTGTTCTTATGTTGTACTGAAAATCGATAATGTGAAATCAACAACAAGTGTAGTTAAAGGTCTCACGCCGAGTTGGGAACAAGAATTCTATTTGTAAGTTAGATTCTTGAGTTTCGATCTTTTTCTTATTGATTATTAGATAAAAAAAATTGAACTGAAAGATATTTTCTCCGCCGGATGTCCCAATAGTGATTTCCCTAAAGTAACTTCGCGTAATTGTACGCTCGCATTATTGCTGCTCATTGGATGCATCATGATTTTTCAAGCAGATGAAGTTAACTCATTCCGAGTAAAACTTATCTTTTGATGAAATGAATACTGACAGATGGTTCGGTTTCATTGTATTCTCAATAGATGAAGGATTTACCCTTCATTTAAGCTCTTTTTTTTTACTTCTAATGAGTAGAAAAACGATCCTATATCATTCATTGCTATAATTAGCGGAAATGAAATGAATTGTCATTAGAGAAACTATTGAATATTTTGAAAATATCTTTGTTTTTTCTTTTATTTCAAGTGATGTTCCCGATCGTTCGGCTGGTCTGCAAATTGAATTATGGGAACGCGGTCAATTCTGGGATAAACTTCTTGGTTTATGTCATATACATTTAGACCGCAATGACGAACATATCAACACAGATTTTGCCAATGCTCAGGATCGCTGGACCACACTTGACGCTGAATTAATTCTCAATCGGCAAGGTCAAGTGACCCGAACATGTCATCCCACCGGACATGCTTTGTTAATTCGTACATATGTCGAATTACCATCGGATTTGACCGAAGAAGAATCAAAAGAATTATCAGAGAAATTGGAAATTCTACACGAAATTCTCGACAAAGAAGTAAATATCATTCAGTTCTATTCCCATGAGTTCCATTCTTTTTCGACATTCGATTAACTGTTCAACGTCAGTTCGAGATTACCCTTGACATTAAGAAAATCGAATTGAATTCTTCGATATTTGTTTTAGGGTCGTCAGCTTCAAGATGTTACATTCGATGAACTTAATTCTCTCTCAACTATGCACACTGATCAACCAGTAAGTTTTTATTGTCAATTTGTTTCCTTCATCTTTAATTTGATATGATCAATTGTGATTGTGCGTGAGGGGGAATGTCATATCTTTAGTCTTCTTCTTCTTTTTTTGTTTGATTTTCTTAGTAGGAAAGAAAAACTAGTAAACTGACATTATTAATATTTAATATGTCGAAATGAGATGAATATATGTCGTTTGCATTTTCTTAATTGAATACATTAAAACCCGAAAGAATGAAATGATCAAACGGAGAAAAATTTTTTACCTTCATTTGACTGAGTAAACAATGAACGTAAGTTATCTCTTTTTTTACTACTAATTCTATGTTTTATAGTCAAATTCTCGAAAAATTGACACATATCCGAGAAAACTCTGACAGTGACTCGTATTTTCATACACATAACTAAGGATTCATTGGGATCCGGTTACGACAGGATGCACTATGTTAAAGTTACAATTAGAAAGTCTATAAAGAGTAACACTTAGCATCCAAGTAGATATTTTCAACCGCTAATTGTACGTTGATTTATTGAAAACAAAAACTGACGTTGTATTCAAGAAATATTTGTTTGAAAATTCAAAGGAAAAGAACTGAAATGAAATTTGAAACCCTCGATACCGATGTGTTTCCCTAAATAAATAAATGAAATGTTGTTAAAAGGAAAGTTTTCAAACAAATTAGAAAATCTTTGTATGTAGATGGACGATTCTCTTTCATAACAAACGAACTGTCGAGCAGAAACGATCTTCTCATGCTAGAATAAGGAAATCGCCTGAGGATAAATAGAATTTGCTCACGAAAAGATCTTCAAAGAAGACAAACCACCTGCTTCGAGAATGTTCTTTTAATCAATGAACAAATTTAGACTTTTATTGAGAAACAGATTGTTTTATTGAATATTTATCTAGGAGATATTGACAAATGCACGATTTTTTTCATTAGTTTGAATTTGAACACAAACTCAGACGTATCTTTGAGAGAATTTCATGTAGATTCAGGGTTTTTTTCTCATCTACGATGATAGACTACTGGCTTTTGAATTTTTTCATGGAGGTAAGACAAACCTGTCTGAAAGAGATGAAATTCGACGATTGTACATACTTTTCTCGAAGAATTCATTGTCGAAGAGAGAAATAATGCCTGCCATCGTTTCGATAGTTACTTTACGTCTTCGTTTAAGTCGAGTATCCATAGGAAATATCTCAAGTCAATAGATCCTGCTGTAGAAGAAAGAAAAAGACCGGAAGGAACTTTCTAATTCAATTTAAAGTTTTGAAAATCTCTTCAATAGGTAAAGACTAGATCGAGAAAAATGAAATTTGAGAGAATTGATCAAATAAGACAAATCTTTGTTTCTTTTCTAGTATCCACTTCATTATCGACAATTAAGTCACCGTTCCCATTCACATTGTAAGTTGTCTACTTAATCAAAATGAAAAGTGTCGAGTTCTTTTTTGTTTTCAGTTTCGGATGATAGTGATTATACGTCCGATGTTTCATATCCAATAAATAATCCAGCAAATGTCAATTATCCTGTTCCATCCATATCTCAATCCAATGAAAATTCCTCTCCGAAACCGATTAACAAAAAACCGTCAGCTTTGGTTCAACCGCTCGTACGAGAAGCATCTCGTCGACCCAATCCCGATCAAATTGATAAGAGGAAGTCCTTAACACAACAAGATCCACTTTCCTATGTCAGTCAACCGAGAAAAATGATCAGTCAACTGTCTCATGATCAACCGTAAGTGAATTTGTCCTGTGAAAACTTTCGTTTTTCTCTATATTGTCTTGTCTGTGTACTATAATTAGAAAAAATCAAATTTATTCAGGTAAATGTCATTTGCTATTCATACTGCGTGCATGAAAGTGTTTTTACAACCGGGAAATTCAATGCACAATCATGTTTTGCATGTAGTTCTTGGTTTTGTTCTTCTTCTAACATAGTTTTAGTTGATCTAAAACCAACTAGAAATGATTGATAAACTGAAAAAGCGAAGAAAATCTCCATATGACATGTTTTGTTATGACAAGGCGAAATTGATAATAATAATAATATTTAGTCAAATGAATTTCTCACCGGAACAATTAAAACAAAAAACAACATTGATCTTTTGTCTTTTGAACTATTGTCGAACGAGAAATGTTGACTGAGTGTTGTGTTCTGTTCTAACATATTCTGATTTACACTGAGGAACACATATGATTCAGTTGTGTAATGAATTGTTCTCATTTTTTTACCATAATCGTCACGTAGGAGCGAATGTCAATAAATTCCTCGTTTTATTTTCCTGTTTTGCATAGAAAAACAGTTTTAATCTCTCGTTAAATGTATTTAGGCAATGGATGAATGAGAAACTAGGCACAGTTTCATTATTCATTGACTTCGCAATGAAGTTTTTTCTGATAGTTCGACTACCTTATGAATTCCGACTTCTTTGATCGAACGATCGATCGATCTAAATATATTGAGAGGAAAGGATGTCATTTTCCCTGCAGGAATTCTCTATCATTGTATAGAAATGAAAGGAGGGAGGGAAAGAGAGGATCTTACTCTTAGTCCAAATGAGTATATTAAAAGAATAAATGAAGAATGAGTCGAGGTCTTTTTCTGTCTGTTGGTTGTGAATAGAAGAAGAAGAAGAAGAAGAAGAAAACAAAAGAAAAAGAGAAATCATAAAAGAAAAAGATTTAAGCAACATTACCCGTCCAAATAAGTGAAGAAAGAAAGAGAAAGAACGAAGAAAATCAATGTCATTTTTTTTTCTAATTTATTAATGAGCAAATACACATTCTCGCATTCTCACCCTCCTCTTTCTTCTTCTTCTTTTTCTCTTCCTTGTTGTTGCCGAAGGGACAGAGGACAGGATACACAACGTTGATGACGACATTGTCGCTTCATATCGCGTGAAGAAAACTCCCTGTCGTTTTCTTTTGCATGTGTTTTACTGAAAAAGCAAAGCGGGAGGGAGAACAACGCTAAAGCGTGTTTCTGTCTGCTTCTCTCGTTTCTCTCTCTCTCTCTCTCTCTCTCTCTCTCAGTATGTTCGGATGGTTGCGTGATACACTTGCCAATACTTCCCCTTCTCTCTCTTACCGTCATTCAATGATACCATCTCGACTTTTTCGTCAACATCAAACTCAAAAGAAAAAAGGTTTATCATCTTCATCAAATGACGATGAAGAAGAAACGGATGAAGAAGCCAATGATAATTCTTTCTATCACAATCCATACCATTCAAGTGGACAAATGAATTACATCGATCTACCTCAACAACAGTATGTCAATCATTACACATATCCGACATATCTAGCTGAACAACAAACATCTCATCCATTAAATATATCCCTCGATGAACAAATTCACGAGAAATTATTATCGTTAAAAAAACGCGGAGATCAGTACTCATATTATGCTCATCGAGCAGAAAATTCGCCTAATCTTCGTCAAACATTTACTCCAGACATTGATAAACAAACAAATGATATGACAGAAGATGAAGAAAATGCCGATAATTTCCATGATGGAATACCGGTGTATTATCCCGGTCATTATCCCAATCAGGATGAACACTTCGATTTAGCTTCAGTTGTCTTTTGGTACCGAAATGTGATGCAATCAGTAAAAAAATTTATGTGAGTGGAAACGAATTTATCGTTTGGGTTATTTGATTATTAGCTGAAAAGAAAAACATCCGTACTTAAGGCACTCTTCTCTATATATTAGAACGCTAATTTTGCCTCTTCAAAGCTAGAAGTTCCTTTTTCTTCACTTAGTTCTAAACATTTGATTGAATGGCTTGATAGATTAGGTCGCTTGTTCGAATCTCGTTCACGGATACAATATGGCACGTGTATCAACTCATTTGTATAGTTGATAACACTACTTTTGTAGTCCAAAATTAAACATTGAGTATCTTTGCAACATTCACATCTGATTATATTCATTTGTGAACTACTTAGAAGAAAAACAAAGTCAAACCTTTTCTTTTTCCTGTGCGAGTCCCTTTTCCCTCTACTGTCATATCTTATTTTAAAAACGAGAATTCTGCATTCGAGAAAGGCTGAAATGAAAAGAGGATTGTCCTAAGGCAAATAAGCTGGATGAAAAAATTGACTTAAGAAATAAATACGGGCGAAAATTGAGAATGAATGATAAACATTGACTGATCATTATTTGATTTTGCGCAGAAATCTAGTTTTTCTTAAGCTAACTTTCAGATTCTTTCGTAATTCGAACAAAAATGTCAACGAAACAAAAGATTGAAAATGTCAATGGAATACCAACGCACATCTATCAACTAGGAAACGCAATGCAATCATCAACGACGATCGTTATTATACCCGGTAATCCTGGTCTCGGTGGCTTTTATATTCCCTTTGCGCATGAACTTTACAATTTGTTCAATGAAAACATCTCGATTTTGGTTATTTCTCAAGCAGGTCATAGTCCACCTTTGAAACATCGTTTTACTTTGAATGAACAAATTGAGCATAAATTACAATCAATCGATCAGCTACTTCCGCGAACGCGTCAACATCGATTGATTTTAATTGGACATTCAATTGGTGCTTATATGGTTTTGCGTATGTTGAAGAAATTAGAACATCGACTTGACCGAGCGTTTCTGCTCTTTCCAACACTTGAGCGAATGAGAGAGAGCGATGCAGGAAAACGTTTTGTACGTTTCTATCCAGTGATGCTCTATCTGTTGCCATTATTGTGTTGGATTTTCAGTTTTATCTTCCCGTTCGATTGGTTGAAACGCAAATTACTTTCGTATCATTTTGCTGATTCACCCGAAGCTGATCGTTCGATTTTAGTCGATACAGTTCTGTATGATTTGTTAAATCCGGTGTCGATGAAAAATATTCTACAAATGGCAAATGAAGAAATGTCAGTTGTGCGAAAACGAGATGATGAAATCATCAAAGAATTTTTGCCTAAATTAACATTTTATTATGGATCAAATGATCATTGGGTACCAGATGATGTGCCAAAAGAAATGAAAGAACTTTATCCTCAGGGAGATATTATTAAATGTAGTAATCAGTATTTGCATGCATTTGTTTTAAAGCATTCAAAAGAATTAGCTAAGATTGTTTTTGATAAGATTGATTAACTTTGATTTCTTTCCGTGTTTTTCATTCGAATAAATCTTTTTTTTTTCTTTTTTCTCTTTTCTAGGCCAACTGGGAATCACCATTTTATTCATCCCGAAAAGGACGACTATGCCAATCATCATTATTCCATAAGTAGTGAAAATCATCTCAATGATAAACAAGACGAAAATGACAAAACCAGTGCTTTGTTATCATCATCCAAAGCCAAATGGTTCGACGCCGTTCGAACTGTCAAACAGCTGAATCAAGTAAGTTCCAGAAGCGATGAACGTCACTTGAGAAGAAAAGTTAAATATTCAATTCGAGGCTCGATGACGCATATCCATCTGTGTCAGCGTGATAAACTGAGAAATGTATCGTTTCTTATGTGCGTGTAGATAGTTTAATAATTGACTTTTTTCTTTTGATAAATCATCAATCGCTGATGGAGCGTGTTTTAAAGCAGCTGTCGCCTTTTCTTTGATGATAAAAAAGAAAACGCGAGAAAATGAAAACCCGTTTCTCTTCGTTTTACATAAATACTCAATACCCTGCTGTTACTAACATAACATATACATATGGAAATAATGTGTTCCACTCCGAGTTCACGATCAAATTCTATGCCGAAATTATTCCGTCGTCGTTCAATAGCGGCAACGTCGGGCGTCGGAGAAAGTCTCTATGGAGACGATTTAGAATGGGATAGATCCGATTTCGCACGAAATCTACCTGAATCGGATGCATTGTCAACTTATGACGTCAATGAAATGGCGGAGATTTTACGAAATCGCTTTTTGGAGTTCGATATGACATCGCAAGCGGGTGGTGGACGATATACTCCATCGCGTCAATCGTCGATGATCAGCGAGGCTCTAACACCAATGACCAATTATGATTTCACTATAGAAGAATTCTTAAAGAACAATTTCACCAGTCCAAAAATTGCTTTTGATATTGAATCACTGTGTGAAAATCAAATACTCGATCGTCCATTTCATCGAAGTCTATCTGATCTGACCGTAAAAACTCCGGAAAGAACTGTTCTCCTCTCCAAACATCTCTCCTTAATGGATATCACATCAATTGAATGGACTTTTCTGAAACATGCAACCCCTCGTGCATTTCTCCTGGCCAAAGCCAATCATCGAACATCATTTAGTCATTTACCTCGATCATTGGAATCATTTCCCGAACCATTTTTAACAGATACGAAAACAAGTTTGAACTATTCACGTTTGTCTCGTTTAGCAATGATTCGTCTCTACATGAGCAAATTACGCGAAAAAGTTTGCGAGTTTGTTATGCAAACAATTCAACCGACAAAGCCAACGCCAATGCCAGTTATTACCGAAGAAACCATCGATACTTACGATATTATCGGAGAATGAGAGCAGAGGAAAGAAAAAAGACATGAAAACCATATCGCGTGCGTTTTTCTTAATATAAATAATTAATGAAACGTTCAATAGTCCTTGATAGGACATAGACAAAGTTTTCAAAGACTATAATTGATGGAAGAGACTTCTTTTTTTCAGATGAAATCAGATTTCTTCGCATCATATTTCATCCATGAAAAGCAAAAGCAAATCCTCTGATAGAAACTTTCTATTTTTGTCTTTCTTCGATTAGAAAAACATCGTTTTATCTTTTCAGACGTATCCTCCAACGTGAAATTTACTCAGATTTTCGAAGATGTTTCAGTAAAAATAGTTCGGCAACGGTTTTACATAAATCATTAATAAATTACTCGAAAAAACTTTCCCACGTGACGTCACAGTTGATGATGACAACTTATCAGCTAGAACCTATTCAATCTTTATCAACTGTGGCATAATCGCCGGAGTTTTCTCTTCTTTATTCATTCATTTAATAATGACAGTTCTATGTCAAGTACATCGATTGCGTGACACCGACAAAGACAAAAAAGAAGAAGCCATACGAAGAAAAACAAGCTTCGATGAGATAGTTTGTCTTCTGTTTGCAAAACATCGAGATAAGTTGATGTTCTAAACGATTAGCTTTCCTATATGATGAGATGCATTTCCTGTGTTGTCCGACGATATTATCGAATGGTTATAGTTGTCCATCGGATGAAAATCTTCATCTCCAATCGAACTTGACTTCATCTGTAAAACGCGTTGATCGAACGTTGAGTTGTTCGGCTGATGAGAAAAGTTTCAGTGAAGAATTCGATGAAATATTTTTGTTCGATGATGAAGATGTGAGTTTTGTTCGGTTTTTACTTGAAAATAGTTCTTATACGATAGTTTAATCAATGGTCTACTTTTAGAATACAACTCCAACGCCGCACGGACGTTTTGCTGATGCGGTAACCAAAATCCGGCAATTGCACGCACTTGATGCGGATGGTAAACCAGTTACACGGCGACTTCTACCAGGGATAAACAATAACAATAATTCCAATTCAAATATCGATGCTAACGGAAAGTATGTGGAATAGATTTTCATTTTTCTCGATGATGATGTGTCTGGCGCATGACCTTGTCCTTATTCATACAGCAAAGAATCAGAAAAATATGTGATGACAGATTGAGACTTCGTTTAATGGAATAGATCTTCTTCTCGTTGATACGTCGTCGTTGATTAGTTTTTAGTTCATAATAGAAGGCAATTAAGAAGGTTTTAGAGAGCCTACAAAGCACTGTTCGAGATGCTGATGATCTTTTGGGTATCTGAGTATAGAGACAAATTGCTTTTTTGTCTAAGAAGAGCGATTTCATTATTTATTAACGAGAATATTAGTATTAATGATTCATATACATTTTTAATGAGCTTATGTCGATAAACATTTACCTAATCGTTGACATGAGAAGTCAACAAAATTGAGATTAAGAAAATCTCATGTAGCATCAATGAAATTTCTTGTCATTTCAGTGTATCAACTGATCCACAAGCAAATAATGCATTCTACAATTGCATTGATAGTGCACCAGACATTCCTGATGCAAAACCAGTACCATTGGGTCTTGATATGGTAAATGATATGATCGAATATTTCAAGATCGAATTGAATCTTCTTTTAGGGAATCACCGTGGCCAAACGTTCAGCTGGTGTTCCGACCGCCATTGGACGACATAATTTGAACGATGAAGAACTGGTAAATTTCGTTGTGTATTGAGAGATAACGACCGATTTTGTACTTTTAGCGTACGCATGTATATAAAAAAACATTACAAGCATTAATTTATCCGATATCGTTAACAACTCCACATGATTTCGAATTTTGTTCATTTACCCATCCAACCTATTGTTATGAATGTGAGGGTCTACTATGGGGAATCGCTCGGCAAGGTTTAAAATGTCGAGAATGTGGAGTAAAATGTCATGAGAAATGCAAAGATCTTTTAAATGCTGATTGTCTCCAACGTACGTAGTGTTTCAATCTCGTCATCGATGTTGTTTGTCATGTCCACACTATATGTTGTGTTCTAGTTTCATTATCTAATGTATTTTATCCGGAAGAAGATATTAATGAGAAACTTGGCGAGGAGAAACGTATGCGAGAGTTCTGAATTAACAAAAAGATTTGTTTTTTGTTTTCACCCTGCTTGTTTTCTCTAAATGGTCACGCTTTTAAATAATGCACGCTGCCTGTTATTAAGCGATCTAGTTCGCCGGATTGTTTGCCGAAAGGAATGAATATTTTATTGAATATTTCTCTTTAGGTCGAGCACAGAAAAATGCCAAACATGGTGCTGATGATAAAGCGAAAACTTTAATGGAAGCCATGCATGAAAAAATGACACATCGAGAAAGTACACGACCACATCTTTTTAAAACCATTCGGTAAGTTGGTTTGGAATTCTATCTGATTAAACTCTTGTTTTTGTTGTCTAGTGACGTTTTCAATGTTGATGAAATCTCTCATGTCGGTCATATGAAAGCTGTTAAACAAAGTGTACTGGATGGAACATCAAAATGGTCAGCCAAATTGGCGATAACTGGTGAGTAGAAGGCGCGGGTGTATCTAGGAAAATCAAGAAGATGCTTTGTTTTAGTGATAAGTGCTCAAGGTTTAATAGCGAAAGATAAATCTGGTACATCTGATCCATATGTGACTGTACAAGTTGGTAAAGTTAAAAAACGAACGAAAACGGTTTATTCGGAATTGAATCCGACGTGGAATGAAAAATTCTTTTTGTAAGATCATCTAGTTTTGAAGAGTTTTTATCGGCAACGTTGTCATTTTAGTGAATGCCATAATTCATGTGATCGAATCAAAGTTCGAGTGTGGTAAGTAGAGATTTAGATTAGAAACAGATGTTTTCAGACGTGCATTGTTCGTTTAGGGATGAAGATGATGATATTCGCGCTAAATTAATGCAAAAATTAACTCGAGAATCCGACGACTTTCTCGGTCAAACGATCATCGAAGTTCGAACTTTATCAGGCGAAATGGATGTTTGGTATAACTTAGAAAAACGAACAGATAAATCAGCAGTTTCTGGTGCTATTCGTCTTCATATATCAGTTGAAATCAAAGGAGAAGAAAAAGTCGCTCCATATCATGCACAATATACATGTTTACATGAAAATTTATTTTATACTCTTTGTGAAGGCAACAATGGCCAACCGATCATACCGGATGCTAAAGGAGTAAGACGATTTTCTTTGTAAATCATCTATTGATTTGTTTGTGTGAAGGATGATGCATGGAAAGTTTATTTCGATGAACCATCTCAAGAAATCGTTAATGAATTTGCAATACGTTACGGTATTGAATCGATTTATCAGGCAATGACGTGAGTTTGAATAAGTTTATGAAGACGAATGACAATTAATGTGGATTGTTTTTTCAGGCATTTCGCATGTCTATCAACGAAATATATGTGTCCGGGAGTTCCTGCTGTGATGAGTACTCTTCTAGCTAATATTAATGCGTATTATGCACATACAACAGCTACGACTGCTGTATCAGCAGCTGATCAATTTGCAGCATCGAACTTTGGAGTAAATTTTGTTGTCGAAGAAGAAAAAGTGAAAATTGCTTTTGTGTTGTTTTTGTTTTTGTAGAAAGATAAATTTATTAAACTATTAGATCAATTACACAATTCAATTCGAATTGATTTATCAATGTATCGAGTAAGAATTTGGTTTTCCGCGTGTCTATTTTATTTATTTAATAATAAATCTTTAGAATAATTTTCCATCTTCAAGTCCAGAACGAATGCAAGATTTGAAATCCACTGTTGATCTTCTCACATCTATCACATTCTTTCGAATGAAGGTAAATATTCACTCCTATCGAAGAAATTCCCATGAAAAATATTCGTTAGTTTGCGAGACTTATTCATTTTCGATTAATTTCGAATAATACCGTAAGTCTAAGCATGAGATTTCGTTTCGATTGACTTTGCCTGACATATTCTCCACAATTTAAGTTTATTAAACAAATTCAAATGTTTTTTATTTCAGGTACAAGAACTGAGTTCTCCGCCTCGAGCGTCTGGTGTTGTTAAAGATTGTGTGAAGAATTGCATTCGTCATACTTACAACTTTCTATTTGCTAATTGTGATGAAGTTTATAAACGAGAATCGAAACAACAACCGAATGGAACAGACAATCCTCCGGAACAACCGGTGGAGGATGTAGCACAAGGATCAGTACCAAATGTTGTTGTGCCAAGTCTGAAAAGTCTACAATTTTGGCATCATTTCATGTATTTATTAACATGTATCATCTCCGAAGATCGAGAACGATATAGTCTAGTGCTAAATCAGTAAGTTTGTTTTGGTTTTAACTGCTTGTACATCTAATAACTTTCAACTGATTTAGATTTCCATCAGAGCTTAATGTTGGTCATATAAGTGCAGATACACTATGGAAATTATTGTCCACAGATCTGAAGGATCATCTCGAAGGTAAATTTCTTGAGATGTTTTTCGATGAATACATCGATATCGATTGAATTTTTCAGAGCATGCTCGAGTTCCTGCTGAACGTCGAGAAATTAAGAGTGCTGATTACATGAATCTTCATTTTATGATCAAGCGATTCTATGATACATTAGTTAAAGTCATTCCCGAATCAAAAAATACAGTTCCTGAATATCCCAAGTAAGTTTTTCTTTTCATTAGTTTGTCACATTTTCACTGAATACTCATGTTCAGTTATTATACACCTAAAGAATTTAAACGGTATAGAAAAGAATGACTGACTTTGCTTGAGCATGAATTGCATGAACATTATGTTGTTTTTTCTTCTTTTTAAAGGTGGTTTGAACCGTTTGTTATGCAATGGCTCAATGAAAATGATGACATGTCTATGGAATATCTTCATAATGCTGTCGAAAAAGATCGACAAACAGGAGTAAGTCATTTCCTTTGAATTCTTCTTCAAAAAATTTCTATTTGTTTCTTTTTAAAGTTTCAACAAACATCTGAACATTGTTTATTCTCTTCATCTGTTGTTGATGTTTTCACCCAATTGAACCAATGTCATGGAATCATTAAAACTCTCGATCTTCACGATCCATTGGTCATTGCGACATACATGCGACGATTTTCCATGACAATATCTCAAGTTCTACTTGGCTATGCCAACGCCATTCGTCGAACATTTGGATTTGTCGGTGGACAGGATCATACTTGTTCAATATTAATGAATAATATTCAACAATTACGATTAAACTTAGAACAATTGTACGAACTAATGGGCGGCGCACAACTTGATGAAGATACCAAAACGCGTTTGAATGAATTACAAAAACAATTAAGTGATGTTCTTGATGAGTTAAGTGCAACATTTGTGAAAAGTATTGAACCAACAATCAGACAATCAATTGAAGAAGTTTATAAACAATTACAGCAAATCAAAGGAAATCAAATTGGACCAGGAAATAATGGTGGACAACAGAAAGGCGCAGAAGCAATGCTTGTTACTAAACCACTATTGGATTATCTCGATCAGAAGTTAACATTCTTTGCTGAACAATGTGAAAAGACTGTGTTGAAACGTCTTTTGAAAGAATTGTGGAAAGCGGTGATTAGTGATCTGGAGAAAGTAATCGTGTNTTATAAACAATTACAGCAAATCAAAGGAAATCAAATTGGACCAGGAAATAATGGTGGACAACAGAAAGGCGCAGAAGCAATGCTTGTTACTAAACCACTATTGGATTATCTCGATCAGAAGTTAACATTCTTTGCTGAACAATGTGAAAAGACTGTGTTGAAACGTCTTTTGAAAGAATTGTGGAAAGCGGTGATTAGTGATCTGGAGAAAGTAATCGTGTTACCGCCATTTGCAGATGCGAAAAATCTTTTGACGATCCCAGCAGCGAAAATTGAAGATGCTTATCGACTTCTATCAGGGGTTTGTATTTTGATCCTGTTTGAAAACTTTTGTCTATTGCGTGCTTTTCTTTTTATAGGAATTAGGTCGAGATACTGATCGAAGTTTGACGCAGAAACAATGTCAAATCTTAGATCGGGGCTTAGAAGATTTAAAAGAATTCTTTCATGCATCTGGTCAAGGTTTGAAGAAGAATTACTTGGAAAAAACTCTCGAATTACAATCACTTAAATATGCACTTTCACTTTACACACAAACAACTGATTCATTAATTAAAACATTCGTTCAAACTGAAAAAGAACAAGGTAAAACAAGAAATTCCTTAAGTTGACAATCTAAGTTACCGTTTGTCTATTAGATCGACCTGCATTAGAAGAATCTTTTGGTGAAGTTTCAATTCAAATTGATCTATTTACTCATCCAGGTAGCGGTGAACATAAAGTGACTGCCAAAGGTTTGTTTTTCATGAGGGAGAACAAAAGCGTGTAATATTTCTTTGATTTGTGAATTAGTTGTGGCTGCGAATGGTTTGAAATGGCGTACAACGGGAATGTTTCGTCCGTATGTCGAATTGGCTATATGTGGACCGCATTTGAGTGATAAAAAACGTAAACATACAACTAAAACAAAAAGCAACACATGGATACCAAAATATAACGAAACATTTCATTTGTAAGTATCATTTTCAATCGAACTAACTTGAGAAAATCTTTGTTTTTTTTTTTGTAGTTTGTTGGGCAATGAAGAAGAACCCGATTGTTATGAATTGAATATTGCTGTAAAAGATTATTCTTTTATGCGTGAAGATCGTTTGATTGGTCTAAATGTTATTAAACTAACTCAAGTTATTGAACAAGGTTCATGGTCATCATGGGT